TTTTAGTGACCCTACGATCATAGGCCTCAAAAAAAAGGTGTTTCTAAACTTGAGATAAAAAATGATCGACCATTTCTAACAAGCATCTAGAAGTATTCGGAACACCTCACAGAGCCAAAAGATGGCGTGATACCATCAATTTCGATGCCAATTTACGTGCTCCTAGGTCATAAATCGAACAGACGCGGAGAAGAAGTTAGGGAGGTCTTAGTTGCCCAGGCGCTTTGCATGTATTATTGATGGGAATCGTCTTCGAATTCATACATTCATAGAGGCGACGGGCCCCCTGCAGGAGAACATCTTCGTCTCCTTCCGCTCCTTTTCTCCTACAGCCGCCCATTCAGGCTTTTCACACTTGACACAAGCGTTCCTCACCATAATCTTATTTTTTGTTCTATTCTTGGATTTTTCTTCATGTCTGCCTGTTTGAATTATTTTTTTTTGGCTCAATTTTGACGGTCAGTAAAAATAGACTTCTACAAGAGAGAGGTAATTTTATCTAGAAGTCGAATTCCAGTAACAAATGCTCAATTTTTCCCAAAGTCTTATTCACATATTCTATTTTGAGCGTGTATCTGCCTTCTCAAAGCTTAAAAAAATAATAATTCCCCTTTTTTTAAATAAAATTTTTTTCTTATTGTTACTCGGCTCTTTCTAAACCTTTCGATAGTTCATTTTGATCGATAAATCATTACTATTTTTTTGGAATTTTTTTCAAGGAATTTTTTTCAAACTTGCCTCGATGATCACACATTTTGGCCATAGGGCAGCTTTGCAGAAGTTTTTTCGCTTCCTAATGAAATAAACTTCTGTCCGAAAATCAGAACTAGTGTAAATTTTCAAGGAATGAAAAACTCTGTAAGTTAAAAACGATTGCTATTTTTTTCACAGCATTCAACAAACTGGAATTAAAATTCACAAAATGAGGGGTTCGAAAAAAAAAAGTTTCGATCAATGTTTCAATACTCTATCCTAACCAGAAACATGTAAAACGGAGAGCTCTACAAAATAAAATCATTAGAGCAGAACAAATGCATTTTGTCAAAAGAGCATCTTTGCTGCAAAATGAGCGGGATTTCAAACTCTTTTTTTCTAATTTTTATTAATGATTTTTCTACTGAAATAGGAGTTTCTGTACATTTTTCAAGTTGAAGTTCGAAGCTCTCAAAATCTTTTTGAATTTTTTTCTGATCTTAAAAAAAACTTTTTTAAAAAAATTCTAAAAAAACGCTGAAATTTCTTTTTCAACTTTTTTTCCGTTCCTATTTGGGTTTATTTTTTTCATTTTAAAACAGAATGGTAACTTCTGTTTATTTTCCTGTAGACCGTTCAAATCCCAGCAGAAAAAAACTTCTCAAATCTTCTGTCATACTGGCCACCTTCAAAGGATATACAAAACAATCACGCAACTTGACAAAAAGAAATTCGAAAAGACGCTGGAAATTCATTGAATCTTGACGGGTGTAGTGGGGGGAGAGGAGAGAGATTCCCCAAGAGGGCTCGAAAAATAATCAAACAACTATCCGCCTCCATATGTTGGAAAGCAGCGTCCCCCGGACAATCTCCTAAATTTGCTTTCTTTTTCGATTTTCCTCTCTGAATTTGTCCAGTCGCCCCTTTTTTTCAAGTTACCTTTTGGGATAAGAGTGGTTCTTACTAATTAGAGAGCTCTTTTAAAATTGAACTTGGTTTTTAAGCTTCGAATATTTTTAAACTGGACCTCAACAGCTTTATTTTTTTCGCATTCATTCCAAAAATTTTTCCCGAGTCCAGCAAAAATCCCTAGCCCTTCAAAAACTACAAAAAAGCTCTCCAAGTCACCTCAGTTGCACCAAATCGTTCTAAATCTCCAAAACTAGCAATTTTGAAGCTTCTTCCAAAAGCTCAAAGCTTCATGGCCCATCAACCTTTTGTGATTTTTATGTTGTAGCTTAAGACATCCGTCAACTTCAAATTTACGACCTTCAATGAAAGAAAATCCTCACTTTCTTTTTGGTTTTGGTGGTGGCTAAGTTTTTTTAGAAGAAAAATATTTTTTTCAAAAAAATGTTAACGTGTAAAAAAAGAAAGAAACCTGCTAGCTAAAAAGCTCGAATTTTTTTCAGCTCCTTTTTTTCTTTTTAACTTTTTTTCTCTGTGAATCTCCTCATTTATTCGCCAATATATTTTTTTCTTTGAAAACCTAGATGAACGAAAAACCGAGTGAAAAATTAAAAAACCGTTAAAAATAAAATTTTGCCCAACATTTGCGCTCCATGGCTAATGAAACAAATTTTTTTCCATTTCTTAACTTTTTTTCAACATTTTTTTAAAAAAATATCAGCAACAGAGCGCAAGGTCCCATTTTTTTAACGGAGGCCTTTTTTATCAGAGTTTATATCTTTATTTAGCTCCTAAAGCTTAAGTGGTCCCTATAGGGATTTTTTTCAATTTAATTTTTAAAACGCTTATTTATTTAGTTTTTTTCATGGAAATGCTTCTTAGCATAGAGCACATAAAAATTATCGGCTAGTATGTCCCCTATAGGGGCCACTTTCGCAAGCTTTAGCGGCCGCTATAGTGGTTGGTAAAGTGATCCATAGAGGGGACGCTCCAAGGGCCTTAAGATTGCCCCTATAGGGGCTACTCCGGAGTTCCTATATTCTCACACCTCTCTAAATATTAGCAGTTCTCCTTCCAGAAACCCTGATATCAACTCAATTCTTCTACCTTACATTGTTTTTCAAGGTTTTCTGGCTCAAACCAAGGGCAACAGCGGCCGGATCGCATTTCAGTTCACGAAGGGCCGTGTTTCCAGACGGCCGTCTTCCAATTTCCGGTTGCCACCACAGAATCCTTCTTTTCCCTACATTCTTCTGGCCTACTACCCAGGAAAATCTCGATTCTACTGAATTATTCCATGTCTTGTCATCATTCAATCAAAAAAAAACTACCTCTTGTAGGGACCTTGTTTAAAGGCGCAAGAAGCTTTCTAGGTTCCTCCTTGCGCCTTAATAAGCTCACAGAAAGAACATTAGGAGGAGCAGATTTTTTTTTAAAAATTTTCTCAGTTTTTTTTTAAAGGCGCAGGACACACACTTCAACGTAACCATTTTCGAAATTGCTCCATGCGCCTTTAAAATTCTCAGAAGGTTGCTATGAATGAATTATCTGGTTTTTGGGTTGAAAAAAGCGGATTTCACTAATATCCCCCTATAGTCTTGCTTCATTCCTTTTTTCGAGTCAAATAAAATCTAAAAAGTCTAAAAACTTCTCAAGCTCCGCCCTGCGCCTTTAAAAAGCTCAGAAGGTTGATATGAATGAACTATCTTATTTCAGGCTCAAAAAAAGCAGAGTTCACTGGGAATCACCCTATAATCTTTTTTCTCATTTTTATATTGGCTCGAAGAAAATCTAAATTTAAAAGCCTAAGAACTTCTCAAGCTCCGCCCCTGCGCCTTTAAAAATCTCAGAAGGTTGCTATGAATGACCTATCTTGTTTCTAGGCTCAGAAAAAGCGGATTTCATTAGATATCACCATACAGTCTTACTTCTCTTCTTTTTTCGAGTCAAAAAAATGTTTAAAGCCTAAAAACCTTTCAAGCTCCGCCCTGCGCCTTTAAAATGCTCAGAAGGTTGTTATGAATAAACTGTCTCATTTTAAGCCTTGAGAATAGTGGATTTGACTTGATATTTCCTCTTTAAATCTTTAAATTGAGACTTTCTTCTTAAATTTTCAAAATTAAAGCTTCCTTATGTTTAAATGGCTTCATGAAAAGAAAAAAGCCACCTTGCACCTTTAAAAAACTCGGAAAGTTGCTATAAATGAACTTCTGGTTTCTAGGCTCACTGAATATTACTCACTACTCCTACTCCTTCTGGCCCGAAGACGTTCGAGACGATGCTTATTACGCGGCGGCGCATATTTGCCCCCCTCCAGATTCGTTACTGCAAAACGCAAAACGAGGCATTTTGCGGGGCTATCTGCGTAAAAAATCTCAAGCTCGTATCCGTCCACAAAACGGCGAACGTTTCTGGAACATTCGGTTTCTTTCTTGGATTGCCCTTCCGTTTCTTGCTCATTGATGTCTCACCAACAGTTGAATTTGAAATGCTTATTTTTGGTCCCAAATCATGCAAAACCGAAAATTTTTGAGCTTGTTTCGAAATTAGAAGGCTTTTGGTGAGAAATGTTAATTCTGATTTCTCAAAAAAAAAAAAACCAACTTATAGTCCGTTTTTCGCGACTGGGCGGGGTTTCTCTGCGCCCTCCTTATCTCTCGACGTCTCTCTCATGTTTATGTGCTATTTTCATGTTCCTCTGACCTCGAAGGTGAGAGAACAGAGAGACGCAGACACGCAAAAACTGTCAAGTCGCGCAGGATGGACTATAACTTATTTTGCAAGCTTGGAAAAAGTTCGAAAATCCTCATTTAGGTGTAATTTTCCAATGTGTTTCTCTGTTTGTGTTTTTTTTATTTCAAATTTTTTTGCACTTCACAAGGTATCCAAATAACACGTAGAACGCCTCAAAGCGATTTGCGCCCGACCTAAAACGGCTCGGCTACAACCACAACGCGACCATCACGCTTTGAGCCATTCAAATGCGACGTTAAATTTGAATTTTTTTAAACCCACTCATCTTCGCTTTCTACGTTAACATTCTCAGACTATAGTTATTCCTTCTGAACCTAAAAAAAGACCGATTGAAAATTACAATCTATTCATGAAGCATTCTAGACGCAGCCGTCTTTTTTTCACCTGCTTTACTAATCAGAAGGTGTTAGAAAGGTGGAGCTTGGAAGGTGAATGGAACTAGAAGGTCTTGAGAAGGCTTTTGAACGGTTTTGGAAGGGGATAATGGAAAAGGCCTGCTAGAAGTCTTCCAGAAGCCTGCTGGAAAGCTTCTGGAAGGCTTCAGTCAGACCTTTTTTACGTAGAAGTTGTTAGGAAGCTATGTGGAACAAAGGTGAGTCGGGAAGTCGATACAAATAGCTACCGGGTAGCAACTTTTGAATAAGTCAATCGTCGTATGGTAATCGGTGGTCGTTTGTATGCGACTGGGTACTATCTCTATGGTACCCGGGTCGGAGGTCGATGCAAGTAGCTACCGGGTAGATATTGACATTCGCGATTGCTACCGGAAAGTCTGGAATTGCTTCTCGTGTCATTATTTTTTGTTTCAGCTTTATCCAACAAGACCCTGGACTTGGGAAGGTGTAAAAAACTGATTCTTTATGAACGACCGATTTGCAAGTCACTAGCAAGCGTGAATTCTGGGTACCTACCCGGTAGCATCCAGATACCGACACGGTACTATCCAGGTACAATAGAGATAGTACCCGGTCGCATACAAATGACCACCAATTACGATACGTCGATTGACTTGAGTTGCTGCTCGGTACCCAAACCCCCCACCAGTGAAGGCGTTCGATCACTTGATGGAAACCTTCCAAACGCTTTCCGAGGAACCGAAAGCAGAAGCTTCCCAACTTATACCTGAGTAAAAAAAGCACACCTCATTCATTACACTCTTACATACATTTCTGAACACTTCATAAAATATTTAACGACGTGTCGTATCAGGTCAGAGGCCGGATAATTGCCCGACGGCCGGAAGGAACCCATCCGTCAAATCCCCTCAAGACAACTTGACTATGAAAAGTTTTTCTTTTCTTCTTATTCTCCTTTTTTTCTCATTTATAGGACTACAATCGAACTATGAAAATAATATATCTGTTCAAAAGTCCTTGCAAGACTTGAAAATAAAACACTAAAAATGCCTCTCACCTTGAGACCTTTTCAAGATTGGTCCATGCTCCTTTAAACACCATAAAAAAGTCAAGCTCTTATGAGAGCGCGTAAAAACTCTAAGACGGAAATTAATGAACTTCAAAAGACTTTTGTGAGGCACAAGCATTAAATTCAAGTAACTTATCAAATTGAGGACAAAAAAATTTTTTGAAGACCCCCTCCCCCAAAAAAAATTGGGGAAAACTGTTTTTCTAATCAAATTATGTGAAAATGCAACCCTTGAGGAGCAAAAAAGATTTTTATTTGACGTTGTGTAAAAGTTGGATCACCTTGAAATTCAAAAAAAAAATCGCGACTATTTGACGTCTTCCTCAAAATCGTAGTTGATTTGAATCAAATTCCGACTTTTTTCTAGATTTTTTCAAAATTCGCGACTCTTTTCATGCTCCAAAATGAATTCCTATTAATCCCTCGTCTTCAGAAAAATAAAACTCATGTTGGTCGTGTGTGTTCGTAAGTCAAAAGAGGCTGTTATTTTGGCGGAGCCGACACTTGTCTTTGGCACCACCCTACGGATCGTAAAATCCTCCTTGCCCCATCTTCCTTTTCATTTGCTTGAACTTTTTGGATGTGTACGAAAACTTGAAAAACTTGAAATCTGTCAAATTTAAATATTTTTTTTTGAATGTAGTTCGGAATATTTCCTTCCAGCTTCACCTTCTAATGCCTCTGAATATTTCTACAAAGTTCAAAATTTCAAGATTTTTTCCTTCTTTGAAAATCCGGCATTATAAGAAACCATAGTCGAAAAAAACTCATTTAACAAAATTTCTTTCCTCCGTCCAATTTTCCTCCTTTTTGTTCCTCAATCTCCTCTCTTGAAAAAAGAAAAATCGACCAATTTATTTTTAGTTTATTCCAAAAAACAGGCATTTCAAAATCAACCAGCTACTTGAAAAAAGATCGGCTTTATCATCAGAGCAACTTTTCATATCGAAAAATAGCCTTATTAAAGTTTTTGCAATGGTCTAGTGGTTCAATGGAAACTCTGACAAGTAGCCACCCAAAAATCACGAAAAGTCATCATTATCATTAGAGCGCTCTTTCTGTTACCAAACGGCTGTTTTTCGTAAAAAAATTTTTCTCTCTCTAGAGATTTTTACAGTATCAAACTACTACGAAAACATAGGAACTTTGATTTTTCGACTTTTAATCCTTCATAACTTTCCTCACATGGTAATTTTGATGTTCAGAATCAATTTTTCGTAAAAAATTACATCTACCGACCCTTTTCCATTCAAAAAATTGAGAACTCGGTATCTCTCATAAGCAAGGGTCGTTTTATCATTGGAGCACACATGCTCCTGTAAAAACAGCCTCTCACAGTCATTAATCTCTGAACGACAATACTTCGAAGCTTTCATCTGCAGACGACGAAAAAGTGAGAAACGGAATCGATGTGCACCCCAACGGAGGGCTCAGATTTCACATGTTTAATTAGCTTCATCGTCGGCTCATTCTCGCGCATTTTCTTCTTTTTCCCCCCATACGACTCTAAATGGCCATTCCGCTCAGCTTAATCCTTGTAATATGATGAATAATCGGTCGCCTAGATTTTTTTTGGGGCTCGCTTAAAAAACCTGGAATTATGACAAAGACTGGAAGAACCAAGAAGCCATTTTTTTTTAAAATGCTCCTGGGAAGTTTTTAAAGTTTAAAGGAGCATGGGTAAAAAGGTCTTGAAGCGAAGAGCGGTTTCTAGTTTCATTTAAAGGTCATGCAAAACCATTGCGTCTTCAAACACTCAATCAAGCTTTTTCGGTCTGACGTCATGTTAATTTCCAACAATTACAAGCTCAGCCATTTCCAGTGCGGTCTTTTTAAAGTTTAATAAGTCAAACTGTTGCCTGTTCGGCACCATCTTCCATATACAGGGTGAGTACTAATTATTGAAACACGTTTGAACAAGCGCAACTCCGAGGAAAAGTGAATGATCCGTACCAAAACTTTTCGTTGGCAATTCTGGCATGTACATTCCGAAATTCATGAAACTATTCCAATTCCTATCTTCATTCAGCTCTGCTCTGGCTCGAAAAGTGTGTAGGACCCAAGCCCCAACGGCACGCGGTCATTTTTCGATGTTTATAACTGGTAAAAAGTTATCTGAACGTTCATGTTCAAATAAATACACAAAAACTAAACTTTGGGTTTTTCGCAATATTTCTTAGAAATTTCCATCAATGAGCGTTAACAAAAATGATAGGAACACTCCCCGAAAAGAGCTAACAAAACCGTTTTTTTCATTTTCAAAATCATGCAAAACGGAATTTTATCTGCTCGAACTTGATTTTTTCTAATTCAGGGTAGAACTACTTTATACAAAAGCCCAAAGTCTCAGCTTTGAAAAATATATAATTGGGTCAAGGTTAGGCTGTTCTTATTTGAGAGGGGGGCTGTAATATGCGATTAATCGTTGATCTTAGATTTTTTCGCATATTTTGCAGTTCTAAAAAGAAAGTAAATCTAGAGTAGCCTGAAACACATTTAGAATAAAGAGTAACGCTAGTAGTATAAGACAAAATAATTTGGGTTCCTAGAGTTGGCTCTCTTCTAAGAAAAATTGCCGTTGTTAGAGATGATGGTTAGCAGCGTGCCAAAACCTCATTTTGGGCAACCGATTTGTAGGTTCCAATTTATCATGATTTGATCAAAAAACAAGATATTAGAAAAATGTTAAGACTTCAAGTTCACGAAGGCGTATAGACTCTAAAAAATTATGAGTGAGTTTTATTCATCAAGTATGATAGGTACGCCAGTCCTGAAACCGTTGTTTCAATATTTAGTGCTCACCCTGTAGTTATTTAAAAAAAAAGATGGAAAATTTATAGTTCATCCGCCTCTGACAGTTCTCGCGTGTCTGCGTCTCTCTGTTCCCTCACTGGCGAGGTCAGAGAAACATGGAAATAGCACGTAAACATGAGAGAGACGTCGAGAGATAAGGGGGCGCAGAGAAGTTCGCCCAATCGCGAAATAGTCGAATTTTCATGGATTTCTTTAACTTGGAAAATTTTGCAGATTCAGGTTTTCAGAATATTTTTCTGGTACACCAAAGATGAATTTTAAACTTCCCCCCAAAAAAAGAAAAATTAACCCCGCTTGTCAGCAAGAGCTTTCCATAACACCTTAAAATTTATTATTAATCACCTAAGAAAAAGCCCCCCCATCTTAAAAAACCATCGACTGAATTCCTAAACACCGGCTTCTCCCCTCCAACAAGTGTCCAAATCTTCTTCCTCTCCCCATTTTTTGAGCCGTTTTTTTCAAACGCTGAATTTTTAACAATCTCACCTTGTTTTTGTTTTTTGCAGGTTCAAAACCAATTCAAGAAGGAAAAAAAGTGAGAAGCTGACGGGCCCAATGTGCACATGAGCCGACTTTATGGTATGATTTTTTAAATCAATTATCCAACTTTGTTTTGATTTGAATTTAGGGTATGGAATTAAAATGCATATTCTACATACAACATCTCAACTGAAGTTCTAAGCCCAAAATTTGAAATTTTTGATTTTTCAAAATCTTATTTCAGCTTCATCCATTAAAAAAATTAAAAAAATTCCTCTTTTTTTGAAAAAGTTTTTTTCTCAAGAAGCTAACTTTATGATATCATATTCTAGTCGAATTGAAAAAAAGGCCAAATAAAATTTTTTTATTACATTGAACCCAAAAAAATGCCAAAAAAACTATCATGATCTGGTATTGAAAAAGATTTTTTTCGAGTTCAAAATAAATATGTGAGTCAGAAAAAGATCAAAAAAATATTTATTTTTCAATGCAAAATTGAATTTTTCTTTTAACTTTTTCAATAGTGATTTTTTTATCGAAACTCGTTTCATCTTTTAAAAATTCTTCTTTTTTTATTCAAAAATCCTAATCGAATTGAGTTTTTTTCGCTCCTCCTTCAACATTCTAACGTTCTAAAAAAATCTAACTTTGTCAAAAAAATTAATTTCACGGAAATCCCCCTTTCATAACCTTGAAATGTAGTAAAAACTTCAAAAAAGAATTTTAGCTTTACAGTTTGAAAATTTTGAACCTTGCCTTCAAATTTTTTCCATACTTTAACTTTAAATTAACCTTTTAAGGTGCAAGAAACATATCAAGAAAAAAAAACTAACCTTTTGAAAATTCCAGGCCTTGTTGACATCTGCCTGCTTGCTGCCTTCGTCAGCTCGAACGACTTTGAGCTGGAAACCGGTGGAGCGCTGGTTCGTCCATTTCTTTCCTCATAAAGAACAAAAAGCTGAAAGTTCAATAATTAATAAAAAAAAATGCGGGAGAAGCTCCGGGTGCTTCGGACAAGTGCAAAGTTTGACGATCAAAAAAATTTCCATTGGAGAAAATTTAAAAAAAATTTTTTTCTGAAAATAAAAAGTGTGTTTTTCACTCAAGCAACTACTTCAAAAAAATAACAACTGAAAAGCAAAAAAATTTATTATTTAAGAAAAAAAAAGTGGTCTCAAACCTTTTTTTCACTTGCGAAACTGTTTGATGAACTTTAGGATTACAAAAAAATTGAACTAGAATTTCAAAAAAATTTTTATAAAAAAAAAAACGGTTCATTTTTTTCACTTTTTTTATCTTCAAAATATGCAATTTATCCTTCATTTCAAGATTATTTTTTTGTCTCATTTTTAAAAAAATTCTCAGGTAGAATGCGTACAGTGCGTTCAACTCTGGAGATCAGCGTCGGCGAAAGAAAGTCGAGTTTGTACAAATGGGGCGACGACTTGCCGTGGAACCGCCTGTTTCATGATTAAGTCTTTTTTTCCTCTAATTTTAGGACATTTTTCCCAAAAAAAATTTTTTTTTTGAGATTCCCCACGAACTTGTGGGATGAGGAGGAATCCAAAAAAACCAATTTTTACCTAATTCGTCAATTTCTGATTACAGGACAATGCAAACACTGCCCGGTGTACCAGTACATGTCCGGCTGCGTTCAGATGACGCCTTGGCAATTCTCCGATTTGGAGGTTTGCCAATTTTTTGATAGAGTCTTTTTCCAAATTTTACTCACATGGAACTTCTAGGACCTCGGTGAAGCAAACCAGACGCGCCTAGGACGTTTCTGAGAATTTCTAGGGATCACTTAAGAGATCTGAAGCATTTCTGAAGATTTCTAGTGATGAGAGTTCTGAAGCCGCTCTGAGCATTTCTAGTGATCACTTAAGAAATGTGAAGCCGTTCTGAGCATTTCTAGTGGCCACTTAAGAAAATTAAAGCCGTTCTGAGAATTTCCAGTGATCAATTGAGAGTTCTGAGGCCGCTCTGAGAATTTCAAGTGGTCACTCAAGGTTTCAGAAGCGTTTCTGAGCATGTCTAAAGATCAGTTAAAAGATCTGAAACCGACCTGGGCCTTTGAAGTGATCACTTGAGATTTCTGAAGCCGTTCTGAGAATTTCAAGTGGTCACTTAAGTATTTTGAAGCCGCTCTGAGCATTTCTAGGGAACACCAGAAGGTTCTGATGCGTTTCTGAGATTTTCTAGTGGTCACTTAAGAATTTTGAAGCCACTCTGAGTATCACTTGAAAGTACCGAAACCGCTAAAGTGATCACCATAATTACTCAGAAATGCCCGGTTTCTCAGGAACAACACAGTAAATGATTTCGAAAAGTGCTCACAAAGAGTCTGTGTGAAAATAAATTTGAGAGCCATACTTTCGAGTGCCTTTCCTTTATGACTTTTGAACAAGAGATTCGATATCAAGCTTTTAAAAAATGATGTGAAATGAATAAAAAGAAACCATGATATAACTGCCGAAAAAAGATCGTAAAAAATTAACTACATTTTACAGATGAATCGGCGTCATTTGGAGCTTCGTATGCGACGGATCGGAGCCGTCTTGCTCTGCGAAGACACGTTCAATCAAACGACTTGCGTTTGTAATCGGTGATTTTTCTTTTTTTCAATTTTTAAGTGCGCTCCATTGACAAATTTTTTTCAAGAATGATTTGTGAGTTTTTTTTTTTGCCTATAAAACGCCTAAAGATTTTTCAAAAAAATTTTAAAAAAATCCCTATGAGCTTTTTTTGAAATTATCATAATCAAAGTGGAAATTTTTTTAAAAAAATTGTTTTTCTGATAAGGAATTCAAAGATTTGATTTGATTCGAAAAATGAATTTTTTTCAGTCGCGACAAATGCAACTCGATTCATTCGCGTCTTCCCTATACGACCTATTCGGAAGGTCTTTTCAAAGGAGTCGTCAATTTCGACGCCGTCATTGGGGACCTCGATCCAAGGTTCTTTTGAGCAAAAAATAAAGATTACGATCATTTAATAAGGACTCGATTTACAAGTTTATTATATAATTTTGAGTAAAACTCAATCTTTTTCTTACTTACTGGGAAAACTTTTAGTGGCCACAATAGAGGCTCGCCAAGGACTACTTGAAGACGAAACTAAAGTGGCCACTATCTTCCGTTTTAGTGACCACTGTAGAGGTTCCCTATTAAGTGGCCACTTCAGTAGTTTTTCATCCAGTATTCCTTCCAGTAACTCTGATAAGTTTAAAACAAACAGATTCGACCAGTTATGTTGATCCATTGACCCCTAAAGTGGCCACTAAAATTTTTAGTGGTCTAATATTAGCACTCAGACCGCTATAGTGGCCACTATTTTTTAATCCCTTAGGTGGCTACTAATTTTACTACTATAGCGGCGAATAAAACGTCAAAACCCCATAGTGGCCCCTAAAAGTTTTTCCATTATATCTTTAAAAATAATCACAGTTTCAATAGAAATCCATTATTGAATTTTTTTTTTCATGTTTCAATTGATCAAATTTCAGGATCATATTCCTTTCGATAAAAAAAGTCAATTTAATTTAATTCTTCAAATAAGTAAATGCAAAAAAAGTTTTTTTAAAAATAATCATTACGATTTTTTTACGAATAAATGAAAGGATTTTTTTCAACTGGAAAAAAACTTTATTTTTGTAATTTATTTTTTTCTCTGACTGATTTTTCTTATAGGATCTAAATATGAATATGAATAAAAAGGATTTTTTTCATCCTTTATTCGAAATTTTTTTAATATTTTTTTAGCTTCCCAAACTTCTTCCAGTTCCCACTGGAAAAAAACTCAAAAAAATAACGGTTTTTTTAATGATTTTTCTTGAAGTACTATTTTTTTGAGGTTTAAAAAAAGCTTACGTAGGTATCCTTCTTCATTTTTAAAAATTATGGTTCATAGGAACAGTTTTTTTAAACTTGAAGTGTTCATTTTTTTGCTTTATAATATTCAAAAAAACTCAGAAACTGTCATGAAAAAAACAAAACTTGTTTATTCGATGCGTTTTAAAAAAACTGTCGTCATACATTGTTATTTTTTTAATTTTTCAGGATTCCCTTCTATGTAGGAGTGTTAACCATTGTCGATTTTATCTCTCCCTCAATTTTTTCTCAAATCAGAACAAGGAAAATTTTTTTAAATATAAGAAACAGGCAAAATGCAACGAAAGTGACGGTTTTTTGAACAGCAAAGTGGGCGTGGCTCTGCGGTCTCTACTTAAAGTTAGGGGCTTTCTTTTCTCATTATCTACATAGCAAACAATGCAATAAACATTGAAAAATAAGAAAAATAACCAGATTTCCAGGTACCTGGAAGTGATGTCGGGCTACCACTTCCGTTTCACCGCCGCCAACGTTTCTTCTTCACACGATTGCCTTCTTCCTATGTTCCTCCTGATCGTACTTGTCTCGTCCAAACTCTTTCACTTCACTTAAACTGCAAAATTCGGCTTCAATGAACATTTTATTTCAGCAAAAAACATCACGAAAAAAGCTCTTTTTCCTTTTTTCTCATTTTTCACTAACCAGGGTGCTTGTGAACGTGAATATTAGTACATGTAATCGATCGAACCGATTCGAAAAATTGGTTAAGAAGAACTTGGACTTGAACCCAAAAAAAAGAACATAGATCACAAGGATTGGAAATGGTGTCGAAATTTATGCAATCAGTACAAAAAATGACAGAAAAAGCAAAAGTCAAATCACGGGGGGAGTGGTCTCAGTCGTCTGATGGTATACTGTACAGGGAACCCGGGCTTAAGGGTTACGGTAGCCTGATAGATGGTAATACTGTAGCTGGGTGGAAAGAGAAGGGGAGAGGAACCCGTCGAAGGAATCGGAGAGAACTAAAAGCGTCTAGGAATCATATCGTACAAATAAATATATATTATGTATACTGTAGACCCAGGAAGGATGTGTGTGTGTGTTTTGTTGGAAGCTACCGTAACCCAGAAATGATGATGATCAGCCCCAGCGGAGGAACGACGCCGGCAGGTAGGCCGACAGTCGAGCGCTCAGCGACGCGTTATCGCCAGACGATATCGCGACGTCTTCGCGTCCGGCCGTCGTTGGTTCAGACTGAGACTCTCCCGCGCACCGTCAACTCGACGCGCCGCCGTCTTCCTGCAAAATTGTTCTTTTTTTTTGAGATTTATTTTGGATGTATCTCTTAAGTGACCCCTCGAGAAAGTAAAAAAACACTCTGACTATCAATTGAAAATTAAAAAACAAAGAAAAACGTCCAAGAACTCTCCAGTAACCCCTAGAGTGTTGTGAAATTCTCCTCACCCTTCTAAAAGTTCCAGTGACCCCTTAAGTGATTTATTTTGTACCTTATGTATTTATGTTTAAATGACCCCTATTTCCGACTTCGGCTGATCTTTCTAGGGATCCCTCCAGTGATTTCAGCTTTTTCTTCAGAAAGATGACATGTGGAGACTGGAAACTATCAAAAAAAAAAAACTAAAGTGGCCACTTAAAAGTGACCCTTTAAGCGTTTTTAGCAGAGGACTTCTGCGTGAGCCTTTCAACCACTGAGCTAATGTTCCGTTTTAAATACAAAGAGGTTCTAAGAGACCCCTTAAGAGATTTATTCTGTACCTTATGTATTTATGTTTAAATAACCCCAATTTCCGACTTCGGCTGATCTTTCTAGGGATCCCTCCAGTGATTTCAGCTTTTTTCTTCAGAAAGATGACATGTGGAGACTGGACACTATCAAAAAAACTAAAGTGACCACTTAAAGTAGCCCTTTAAGCGTTTTTAGCTGAGGACTTCTGTGTGAGTCTTTCAACTAATGAGCCAATTAAGTTCAGTTTTAAACACAAGGGGGTTCTGAGACCTTGAAAGAAACTGTATATACCTTCTCCCCGATTTCGAGGATCTCCGGATGACGCTCGATGACTCGCATCAAGATGCCGTTGATGTAGACGCGGAGCTTCTGGTTGCAGATCTCCTGTTCGCGGAGGGCCTCCAGAAGCTGCGTCGAGTCGCCGCCGGCGAGTTCGTCGGCGAGCGACGGCGCGTCGGCGATCAGCGACCGGCCTCGCTCGACACTCTCGGCGAGCAGCTGCTCCTGGAGCTCGTCGCGTTCCTGGCTGACGAGCCGAAGGTTCTTTCGGAGCTGCTCGACCTCCTCTTCCATTGATAGCATCTGAAATTTGTCATATTTGTCCGGCTGAAACTTTTCCAGAACTGGAATCAATTATTTTTTAAAATCTAGAGTTTCATTTCTTCTTTGGGTGGTGAAAAGCTCTACAAGGTGACATCGAAACCGCTCAAGTACCTGCTCGGCGATGCTGCCCTGACGCGGGGCGGCCTTGCGTCGCAGCTCCTCGGTCTGCTGGGTCAAGACCTCGACCATCTCGGAGCTGCTGTCGATGTCCTGCTGGGCCTCCTCCTTGTACTTGCGGAAGTCCCTCTCCAGCTGGATCCGCTCCTCTTCCATGTCCTGGAGGACACGTTGCGATTCCTCGAGCTCGTCTTTGGCTTTCATCAGCTGCTCTTGGGCTTTTCGTGTTTCTTCGTTGGCTCTCTCCACTTCACGTTTCTTCTCTTGGAGGTCTCGTTCGAGCATCTGCAAGGTTAAGAATTGAACAGGGCCGACAACATGGTCCCTATAGACGGTTAGGGAAACAAACTGCCCCTATAGAGGCCCTAAAAAATGGTCCCTATAGGGGTTCGGGGTCTAATCTTTTAGCCTCTAAAGCTCAAGGGACCACCATAGGGATCTTTCAATTTTATTCAAAAAAAAAATATTTATTAATTTTTTCCATGGAAATGCTTCTGTTTATAACAATTATCGACTAGCATGTTCCCTATAGGGACCCCTTTTGCTATCCTTTGTGGCCCCTATATGGGTCGGCAAAGTGACCCCTAAAGGGGACCCTATAGGGAGAACCTTCGGGACTTTTCTGAAGTTCCAAAGATACTCCAAAACTTTCGTATACCCAAATAAGGTGAGTTCAAAAGCGCGATTTTATAGGAAAGAACAAATTCTCCCATTTTGTTGAGATTTATGATGGAGCAAAAACAGTCAAAATTCATGGAATTATCCAAGTTCAAACGCATTTTGGAAAAATTCCAAAGTTCACCTGATACTTGAGACCGAGACTTTCAGCCTCCAGAAGCTTCTCCCGCTCATGACGAGCCTTCAAATCCTTTGTCCGTGATTTCTCCTCGTGGATTTGCTCCTTGTATCTGTAATTTTGAAGAGTTGTAAAATTCTTTTGGCGGACCACTTTTTGGGGAGTAAAAAAAAGATTCAGCTTTCTGAGAAATTCAGAAAAGCCTACAAAAAGTTGCTAATGAGTCTACGTTCCAACTTCAAAAATAAGAGAGCGTTCGAAAATGAGAGGTTTTCTTTCTCTAAACGATTTCTCGTCTACCAGTGCTCAATAGCTGTTGGAGACGTTTGGAAAATTCTCTTAGAGCTCCAAAATTCTATTTCCAAAAAGTTACCGCTGCTCGGCGACGAGAAGCTGCTCCTCGAGCATGTGGATCCTCTCGTTGAGCACGGCATTCTCAGTCTTGAGCCGTGCTCGTTCCTCGGCCGTCGACATGTTCCGCTCCTCCAGTTCGGAGAGCCGTTTCGTGAAGGACGTCAACTGTAAAAATGCCTTCAGCGCAAGTCGGGAAAGGTCGGGCGCAACTCAAAAAATCGCCAGCGACCTGAAGAGACGCCAGAGAAAGAGATTTCTCTGACTTCTCTGGGGTCTCTTCAAGTCTTTTGTATTTCTTCTTTTTCAGCTCGATCGGAACATTTCAGACTTTGAAAGCCTTAAAAAAGAGGAAACTTATTTCATCCGAAATTTCGAAGTGGAAACAAAGAACAAGCTTCATTCCATATGCAGAATACTGCGTGTGAAAAATGCTTCGACAAGGCGTGAGAATAGAAAAAATTGGTTTTTTCAGAACCCATGACGTTGTCAAATTTCACCTAGGTCCTTTGAAATGGGAAAAAAATGGCCGTACTTTATTGAAGTCAACTTTATACCCTCTAACCTGTCTGCGTCTCTTTTCTCTCACTGACAAAAATATGTTTTTATCACTATTTTATTTTTTCAATTTAGAAATTTTGCGATTGGTTCTGTACCGATTCGGCCCCCACCCCCTATAATTCGCTTGTGAGAAGCCCAACTCAAGGCTCAAACTACAAAAACCTCGATCCTTAATCCCACCTGGTTGCTGAACTCGCTCATGTTCTCCGAGTCGGTGTTGAACGCGATGAGGTCGGACTCGGACGAGCTTCCGAGACTGTCGCGACGGGATCGCGTGCCGTAGAGTCGCGAGGCGACTGATGCACTACTCGCCGAACTGCCTTGCAGTCGCATCGGCGAATCCTGCAAACAGAGTTCTCTATATGTTGCTCGATGAACGGAAAAGTAAGATATCGTTTTACAAAATGAAAATTTTTTGATCAGCTGTTTAGAGCGTGAAAATGATTGAAAACAACTTAATTTTCTGAAAATGACATTTTTTGCAGATCATTCGATGTTAATAAGATTGCTATGACAATGATAAAATACACTAATCTCTTCGAAAAAAATTCAAAAATTCGATCCATAAGACTTGTAGGTACTCGGGAAAAGTCGGAATGGTGGATAATGGGCGCTAAAAGGGAGAGGCTCAAAAAAGGTACCAGAAAGGCAGCAAAAAGGCTCAAAAAAGGTCTCAAAAAGGCAGCAAAAAGGGTCCCTTCATGTGACCCCCCATTTTTCTAGAATTCAAGAGGCTCAAGAATTGGTTGAAAAAGGGAGAGGCATCCAAAATGGTGCATAAAAGCCGATAACAAAGGCTCAAAAAAGTAGCAAAAAGGGAAATCTCTATGGAGCCTTTTCCACCCTTTTCGACTTTGGTTTTCCGATCAAAATTTTCCGTAGAGCACACTTGCCGGGTTTCAACATTAATTTTTGTAGATGGATTCTGAATCTCTCCACTAAACTTGATATCAATTAAAAGTGAGATCGAGGACATCCTATAATTTAGAAACTTTCAAAATAAGAAATGTTCCTAGAAGGAAGTCCGCACGAATGGCCGAAAAAGGAAAAGACGAGAATGCTTATCAAGAAGAAGAAGAAGAAGAAGAGCGCGTGCTTGATTTGGTCAAATTAAGGCGACGGAACGGTTCGAGAAGGAGAAATTCCAATTGTGAATCACTTTTTTTTTCTCAGCCCGGAAATTTCATTAATTAGTGATTAGGAGAACTGAATTGTGTTTGGAAAACAAGATTAGGAAGTCCAAAAAAGGAAAAAATGGGATTCTTTCCATTCAACCCAACCTTCCGAGTCGACAAAAAGCTATTGTCTTTTGAGGGGGCAAAAATATTCCAAAAAAATCAAAAAAACGGCTCATTATCAATAGAGCGAACATGACGAGGAAAAAAAGCCTCAAAAAAATTAATTTCTATACCGTCGCCCTTGGATTTATCTCTACAGCGAAAACTGTGTTCACTTTTTTTTTCTCAGTCCGGAAATTTCCTTGATTAGTGATTAGGGAGAACTGAATTGTGTTTGGAAAACAAGATTAAAAAGTCCAAAAAGAGAAAAAAAATGGAATTCTTTCCATTCAACCCAACCTTCCGAGTCGACAAAAAGCTATTGTCTTTTGAGGGGGCCAAAATATTCCTCCTCTTCATTATGAATTCGCTTTTTTTCGACGACTAGGGCTTCACGCAGAGGGGCTGCTTCATTATTTGCCTTTTTCGACCGACCTTTTTCGTTTCGGGTTTTGTTCCAATATAGACAAGCCATGTCATTTTCGAGAGTGGGTCGGAAAAAAAGGTCGCTAGAAAATTATCAATGGAGCAAGAAGCTTTGGCGAAGAAAAAAAAGCCGAAAATTAGAAAATTAGACTGCAGTAGTGTAACCGTTTTTGCACTTGAGAATGAAAAAAAATATTTTTTTCGCAATGGAGCAGTGTTGACACAGACTAACGGTTTACAGCTTTTTCCTGGCGGAAAGTTCGCTCCACTAATAACCAAAATTATCGTTCAATGAAGCAGAACTTGCAAAAGTGCTGAAAAAAAGCCAAAAACTGCATCGAAAAAAAAAATCAAAAAATCGGCTCATTATCAATTTAGCGAACTTGACGTGAAAAAATAGCCCATTGACTCAAAAAAAAAATTCACATAGATCGTCGCCTTTGAATTTATCTGTACAGCGAATTTGAAAAAAAAAACCTTCCTAGTGAGAAAAAAAAAATCAAAAAATTGGCTTATTATCAAGAGAGCGAACTTGACGAGGAAAAACAGCCCATTGTCTCAAAAAAAAGTACATATATACTGTCGCCCTTGGATTTATCTGTACAGCGAATTTGGAAAAAATACCTTCCTAGTGAAAAAAAAATCAAAAAATTGGCTTATTATCAATAGAGCGAACTTGACGAGGAAAAACAGCCCATTTTCTCAAAAAAAAGTACATATAGACTGACGCGCTTGGATTCATCTATACAGCAAAAATTGAGTTTGAAGGGGCCCCTTCTAAAAAAAATTTATAGCTCATCCAGAGGAGATGATTTTCTATCAAGAGATTTCTCAAGAGAGCAAATTTAACCCGAAAAATCCAAATTTTTCCAAGACAAAAATTTTGATTTTTGCCAAAAAAATCCAAAAACCGAAGAAAATTCCTCGGATCAATACAGCCGGTCACGGTCGCCGACACGGCAATTATCCCCCCGTCAAATCCAATAATAATGACGTCATTTGAGAGGCTAATTAGTACTGGAGGCAAAAAAGCGCGCGCGGGCGGTAGGCGGACAATGATGCCCAAATTTGGAAGAAAACTGGTTTTTTCCCTACTTTTTTTTCTCTCTTCTCTCTTGATCGACCAATCCTCCGTGTGCACACAGCCGCAACTCCACAAATAGACCTCTAACAGGTGGATCAAAGCGGAAGGGGCCACTTGAGTGCTTGGTAGTTGCAAAATACTGAGCTTGGTTTCCATGGCAAAAGCTTAGAAATTCAGAAAACATGGTTAAAACTTCCGGAATCCAGTTTTTTTTTTCGTCTGACCTGTCTGCGCTCTCTTTTCTCTTACAGGCTAGGTCATAGAAACAAGAAAACAACATGTAAAAAGGAGAGATCACAGAGAAATAAGCTTTTTTTGAGGTCAATAAAATTCAAAAGCTCATGGTCGCACTGGGAATGGCTCGAGGCTAAAAATATGAAAATCTTACGGTAGTAAAGCCATTCCAAATGCGACCATGATGCTTAGGATTCAAAAAATTTGAAAAAACCCGCTTTTTCTGATGACTGAATTGTGAGAAAACCGAGAATTTCAAAGCAATCTGGACTTTCAAAAAGCCTTAAAATAAAGATGCCTTTGGCTTCTGAAGGAAGTACTTTAGTAAAATTCGATTTTCTAGTAAAAACAGTAGATAAGCTATAAATAGCCTCGTAAATCTATACACAAACGATAAAATAAAGAGTTGTGAACATGCGATTCGGCTTGTTTGCCCATCGTGGGGATGATGGAACGAGTTGGATTAGGTTTCGTGGGGGTCCATTTTGAGCGATTTCTGTCTTTCCAAATAGATAGAACGGTTCAATTGGATCATCAATGAAATAATTTATTTCACAGGGGGGAATAATCGGAAATGCTAACGTTTTCAACTTGTGACAAAAAAAATCATCTCACTAAAAATTCGAGCATAACTTCTCACAAGGGAGATCATTTTAATTTGTGGTTGGGATTTTCCTGAAAAATGGCTATAACACTCCTTGATGTATCAGGTTTTAATTTGTGGTTGGGATTTTCCTGAAAAATGGCTATAACACTCCTTGATGTATCAGGAAAAGATTCTGAAAGTCTCATCCTGCACAACTTCCTAGTTCTTAAAAAATAAGGGGATGAAGCCTCAAAACAGCCTATCTTCATGGATTTTGAGGGTTCTCTTCGAAGTTTCTTTTCTCGAAAACTGGGAATTTGTGCAGGTCGATACTTTCAGGATCTTCATCTGGTACATCAAGAAGTGTTCCGGCCAATTTTTAGAAAGTTCCCAACTGCAAAGTAAAATGACCTCCTCTGTCAGCTTGAAGCTTGAAGCCCCTTAAAAATGCCACTTCAAGCTTGAAGCTCAAAAACCTTCGAAATGTTTGTAAGACTTCTGAAAAGCTTTTGGAAAATCCTGAAGCCGAACAGACCACTAGAAATCGGTTAAGATTCGAGAAAATTCAAAAAAAAAACCCTACAAAATGGAAAAAAAAAATCTCATTTCTCCAGCTTTTAATGGTTAGATTTTTCAGCTTCCAATGGTTAGACATTCATAATTCCTTTCATTTTGTCGGGTTTTTTCAATTTTTTTGAATCTGATTCGATTTCTAGTGGTCTTTAATGAAATTTGGATATTAGAGCTTCTACTCGGCTCCAGGATGAGTGGTACTATGAGAAAAAAAAAAAATGGAATTCCTCGACTTTTTTCGAATTTTCATTTTTAAGGACTATTAAATAGCCATCGATAAAACAACCTTAAAATATTTTTGAAAAAAAAACGATCCCTCGAAGAAAAATTCGAATTTCTCAGAGCCTTGTAACCTTTGAAACTACAAAAATTATTGAACCCAACAAAAAAAGAACAAAAATAAAACGTACACTTCTTCCAGAGTAGAGAAACTCCATAAATTGTCGAATAAAGTATAAAGTAGTAGGAAAATCGGCGTGAAATCGGTGGAAAATGGGCGCTTTAGACTCGGCCCGCATGCCTTGTCGCCATGGTGATCCTACTTTTTTTCTACATCTTTTTTGAGAAAAAAAAGTCGATTAACGTCATAATCAATGGGGTTTTAGGAATCGTGCGTCATTGGAGAAATAGAATGTGGGCTTAAAATTATGCTAAATTTGAAAAAAATCATAGGAACTTTCTTGAGTTGGAACCAAACTTTACTAGTTAAAGCCTCAAATAAATATATTTCTAGCAATTTTTTTCAGGTTTTATAATTTTTTTAAATCGTGTTGAAACTAAAAAAACCAGTACCTTCAGTAAAAAAATCATTCTTCCTATAGACAGAAAAAAAATCGACAATTCTACGAAATTTTGAGCTTTGTACATCAAAAAATGGCAACTTTTGAAAATAATACTTTTAATTTTGACAAGAGGTACATTATGGAAGAACATCCATTAGAAAAAAAATAGACAAATCCAAAAAAAAATTCTTTGAAACCGAAACGTGAGATTTATACAGCGCGAAGACTGAAAGTCGAAAAAAAACCATAAAACCGTTTCTCGCTGTAAAACGACGCAATTCACTTCCCTGGAAATAGGGAAATAAAAACTGGGGACAAAACTTTAAATTCCATCAGTCAGAAGTTGAAAAAGAGGAAATGAACCAACCGAATTCCCTAGAAAATGAGAAAAAATTTTTCGAAAATTTCAAGTTGAGATTTTTTTAATAACTTTGTTCAAAGATACGGTACTCAAATCAAACTAAAATTAAATACATAAAATAAGGCTAATTAGTATGAAAAAGATCAGATTCGCCGTGAAGTCTCGAAACATCGAACTACAACGTTTTTCTAAACAAATCGGCCAACTGCAACGGGAAAGAAGAAAAGGCAAACTCAAAATTTTGAACAAGTATTGATCAACGACAGTTACGGTCTCAGACTAAACATGTTTCTGGAAAGAATCTCCTGGCCAAATAAACCAACGGAAAATGATTCCAGCTTAAATCTGTGATTTAAAAAGACAAAACGAGATCTTTCAAGCAGCAGAACGCTCAACGTGACTCAAAAAAAGCTCATTTTCAATGGGAGAAGTCGAAAAATTTGGTTAATCAATAAAAATAACATTTCTCTAGCCGATCAAGAAGTATTCAGTTGAAGTTTCAGAGAAAAATAAAAATCTGGATCAAAATCAAAATCCTAACGAGTCCAACCGAAAAATCATACCTAGAAGGCCAAAAGATGATATTCAACAAGATTAAAAAGAAGACGCACCAGACGGAAAATAATGCAAGCTTGAAGCTGATTTTACCAGAACAAACACTTTTCAAACACCAAAATGCTCCAAATGATTCAAAAAGAGCTCATTTTCAATCAGTTCGAGCGAAAAAAGATTCAGAAAGCTCAAAAAAGGGAACGGTACAGTTCTTCTAGCGAAGAAAACCACACGGGAATAATTCAAGCTTCAGTTTACCAGAAAAAAAAACACGGTCCTCCGAGCACCAAAATGCTCCTGGTGGCTCACAAAGAGCTCATTTTCAATCAATTCGAACGAAGAGTAAGATTCAAAAAGCTCAAAAAAGCATTGTTGTTCTGGCCAAAATAACCAGACGGGGAATGATTCAAGCTTGTTTCCACCAGGACAAGAGCGACTTTTGAAACACCAAAGTGCTCCAGTTGATTCAAAAAGAGCTCTTTTCAATCAATCTGAGCGAAAAATAAGATTCGAAAGCCTGAAACATGGAACGGTACAGTTGTTCTGGCCAAGAAAAAGGGACCGGAAATGAAAAACCACGATTTTCCAAGCACCAAAATGCTACTACTGATTTGGAAGAACCCAATTTTCAATCGAAAAAGACGGAAAATTCCACCGAAAAGCTCAAAAAAAGGGAACGGTACAGTTGTTCCGGCCAAGAAAAAGGGACCGGAAATGAAAAACCATGATTTTCCAAGCACCAAAACGCTCCAGTTGAATCAAAAAGAGCTCTTTTCAATCAATCAGAAGGAAAAATAAGATTCAAAAAGCTTAAAAAAAGAAAACGGTGTAGTTGTGCTGGTCCAGGAAAGGAAAGAGCCTCAGAGAGGCGCCTGAGCCAGCCAACAAACAAGGGCGGATGGAGTGTGTCCTTGTACGGGGCGCCGCTCTCAATTCTTCCAACAATAGGGCCAACACCACCTCCATCTCCCCCCTACCAAAGCAGCAAAAAGGCCTCGACACCATGCCCTCCTCGAGATCGGTTGTTTGAACAGCAGAAGCTGAGTTCCTTCCCCCCAGGCGCTCCTGTTCGTTCATTTGAACTTGACTCGTTTATTCGTCATTACTCAAATGTTTTCTTACACTTAGGAACTCCAGAGTGGTCTCTATAGGGGTCTTGGAGGGCCTTCTCTCGGGACCACTTTAGCAAACTCTACAGGGGTCCCTAGAAATGGCAAAAGTGGCCCTTATTTTCCCTACCCTTCCCTAACGCCTATAGGGACCACTAGAGCTTGCGGAAGTGATCCCTATAGGGGTTATGAAGGGTCTTCTCTAAGGACCACTTTAGCAAACTCTACAGGGGTCCCTAGAAATGGCAAAAGTGGCCCTTATAGAGATCCTCTTCTCCTGAACCCTTTAGGGGCCACTGAAGCTTGCTAAAGTGGTCCCTATAGGGGCTTTAGTTAGGGGCCTTTATATAGGACATGATAGTCGATGATTTCATGGACTTTATGCGAAGAACTAATTTTGAATAAAATTTAAAAAAAAACCTCTATAGGGACCACTTTTTTTCGGCCCCTAATGCTTGAAAATCAGCGCCCAGAGAGAAAAATCAAAAAAACTTGTAAAAAGAAAAAAAGTTTCAAAAGCATTCTCACTATATTTATACACTTTTTTAAAAATTTTCAAACTCAACAAAAATAGATGAAGCAAAACACGAGCATATTTTTTTCAAAAAGCATCTCTCTCAATTGATGTTTTGTGTACAGAGGAAATATAAATAAATAATATTTTTTTCAGCGATTTCTATTTTTTTGGCTTGTTCAATAATAGTTAGACAATCACGTGGAAACCATGAAAAGGTTTTTTTGGATATTACGGTATTCGATGAGAGAACAAGTGAAGTTACGGTAGTAGGTTTCAAAATTTGAACTTTCTCTGAAACGGAAAAATTTTCACATCTATAAACTGAATTTGAATCGATAATTAAACGGGGAACCCGATTCGCATCATTTTTGAGACGATCTGACCTGTCTGCGCTCTCTTCTCTCTCATCGGCTCTACATAGAAACAGAAAAAAGAGCACTTGAGCTTAAGAGAGCGCAGAGAAACCCGCAAATCTCAATTTTTAATAAATGACGGTGATCTTCTTATAACTAAGGTTCTACAGGAAAAAGTTGACTTTTCAAAAGTATACATTATTTTTCTCGCTGACATCATGAGAAGCTTCGAAAAGCCGCTGTTTGCGTTGAAAAAGTCAACAAACAGGTAAGAGAAAGTGAATAACAAGGCGATTACTTGTACCTAATTGCATGGATGGCTAGGAAAAACAGGTGTAAGTAGTTGCTTTGTACTAAAAACAGTGTTTTGTGAAGTTTCAACAGAAGTGGGTCCAAGCCTTCAAATCTTAAAAATTCAGCAAAAATGATAGGACCGTAATTTTTTTTTCTGATCAAGATCAGGTTCAATTTTTGTCGATATGAGATTTTTGAACCCATAAGCTCAAAAACCCGGATTTTGCCTGAATTTTGACGTTTTTGAAGACTTCTGGGGACTTGAGATACTGAAGAAAAAATGGCAAAAATATGATCTTCCAGCGGCGGGATTGATCCAGCGACCTTTTTATCTACAAACAAGAGATTCGCCACTGATCTACGGAGAGCAAAATTACATCTCTATGCTTTTTCATCATTAGTATGGTCTGAATATCGTGTAAGAGTGGAATTAAAAGCAAAAAGGAGTCTCCTAGCCGTGGGATCGATCCAGCGACCTTTTTGGTGATAGTTTAGAGGATTAACACTGAGCTACAACAAGAGGAGATCCTTGTTTCACGCTTTTTCATCATTAGTATGTATGATCTGAATATCGTGTAAGAGTGGAATTAAAAGCAAAAATGAGTCTTCTAGCCGTGGGATCGATCCAGCGACCTTTTTGGTGATAGTTTAGAGGTTTACCATTCAACCACAAAAAATTTGATGATCTATCATCTACAGCAAGCTCAGATTCGATTCACGTCAATAAATCAACAAATTCTAGTCCCAGCTCTAGAAAAACCTCCAAAAAAGGGGCCTGGAAAAGTAGAAATTCGGGTCCGACGTCAACCGCGTCGAGAACCAATTTTCCGCCACTGAAGTGTGATTCAGTCGTCGGCAACCGATTTTTGTGGCTATTCAACGTGAAATAACGTGTACACGCCGTGAATGAAAAGAACGGAAAGAGAAAAAAAAATCTCGTCAAACATTTTGAGGGAAAAAGCCGCTCACTTCACCTCATTTTTTTTTTCAATTTATCTTGAATAGTTTTTTTTTTCTGACCAGGATATTATACAGAACCGGAGAAGGTGGAGAAATATGAAAAGTACGAAAAATTGGGGGAAATGGCTCAATGAGGGGTGTAATTGCGCTCCAGTGACAAATATAAAAAATTTCGAGGCCAGAATTAATTTATGCAGATTGTTGGTAATGAATCTGAGGTTAAAAAAATCAATTTGATGCCAGAAAAATTATCCACAGTTCACTTTTTTTCCGAAACTCGGGTCCCTATGAGGTTTCCAGAGCTTTTTGATAGAAAATAAATCATCACTAGGTGAAAATTTCAAATACAATTCCTTTTATGCGTCAAGTGCGCTCTATTGGACAAATACTATTCCAAAAAACGTCTACGTTTTTAAAATTTTTATAACTTTTTTCTAAAAACTAGAAGCTTTTCTGAATCTGAAGCACCACTAAAACAAACGTTCCACTATCAAGTTCAAAAATCTCCCAGCAGAAAATGACTAATTTACAAAAGCCCTTGGAGAGACCGAAAAAGTGTTGCGAAACAACTGATTCATTCAGAACCCGGTCCACGTTTTTTTTCCTTTCTTCTTTTCCTCCAACAACCATTGAAAAGACAACAAAAGCGGTAAAACTCAATAATGTTATTGGAAAGTGAAAGAAGTTGGCAAAAAGTCAACAACGAGTTCTTTGAAGAAAGTTAAAGAGAACTTTAAAAATTTCATTCTTTGGTATCTCTAAGAAATACAAGCTTTCAAAAAGACACTTTTAAAGTTAATCAGCTGAGAATATCTGTTAAAACTCTTGACGATCGGCGAATCTTTCCGTAGCTCAGTGGTAAGAATCCAATCTGTCAATCAAAAGGTCGCTGGATCGACCCCCCTGCTTGTAAGTCAATTTTTGCCATTATCAGTTAAATTTGTGGATTTTTAACATAAAAAAGGCCGAAAGAACAATGCAAAAAACTGTCACAACAGCTTAAAATTGAGCGTATTAACTTCCTTCTACTTTGGCTCAATGGAAAGTCTCCAGTCTGTCACTGAAAAGGTCGCTGGATCGATTTCCTTGCTTGTAAGTCAATTTTTGCCATTATCAATTAAAGTTGTGGATTTTTTACATCAAAAAAGCCAAAAGAACAATGCAAAAAAATCTGTCTTAAAAGCTTAAAATTGAGCATATCTGTTCCCTTCTACTTTGGTTCAATGGAAAGTCTCCTGTCTGTCACTCGAAAGGTCACAGGATCGTTCCCAGACGCATTTTTGCCATTTATAAAATCCCAACAGAGCTTTGATAGATGTCTTACCAAAATTGAAAGTCGAACTTTTTCAAAAAAATAAACAGAAAGTTACAAAAAACCCAATCAACCATCTACCTAACGGTGAAGCCAATATGAACCCTCGAAAATCTGGATTTTTCAACAGGTTTCGCATTTGTTTGCTTTTCTGCGCGCTATCGATTGAACCAACATGGTTGGCTTCTGGGAAAACACTGGGACAGTGGGAAAATTACGATGGGAAATTAATAAATCTTCGGAAATAGAAAAAAATGTTTTATAATGAAAAATCAGCGTTGGAGGGAGGCTAATGGAGCGAAAAAAATTCAGAAAAAAGGCTTTAAAATTTTTTTTTGTGAAATTTTATTACTATGACCTCTTCTTAGCTTTGAGAAAAATTTGAAAAATACAAAAATGGAAAAATTAAATTTTCAATGAGTTCTCAGTTCCAAAAAAAAATACAAAATTTCTCAGGCTCAAGCCTAAAATTACTGTACAACCCTCTCATTTTTGCACACTATTTCTCTATCGTTCTAGGACTTTTTTTCACAAAAAGACAATGAATTTCAAGTGGTTTCTTAGCCAAAAAATCAGCCTTTTTTGGTTCAAATAATAAAGAAACTTTTTTTACAATCTTCAACAACTGTGCTCAATAAAAAAACTGAAAAATCAAAAATTTTATAAAAACTTTTTCCAAACCCACCACATAACTTTCCGCGTCGCGCTCTTCAGCAGAGCTATTCATTATGAAAAGTCAGGAATTAAGAAATATAATTATGTGAAGCCAGGAATAGCTCGAAAAGGGCTGACAGGCCGAATTTGGTGAAGAAGACAGGGTGGAGCTTTTTCGGTGGGGGTCGGTCTATTTGCTGTTTGGACCGGGGCAGCGAAGAATGGGAAGTGAGAAAGAGAAGCAAATTGACGCCCTCGCTAGGGGCGAATCCTTATCAAACGCCATCGAAATGCTGATAGCGTCATCAGGAATGGATCACCGAGGGCTTTCGATGAAGCTTAACATTCCTCGCCGTTCTGTTGTTCGTCTTGAGGTGTTGGATCAGAACGTGTGATAATGTTCAATTTTTGTCCATAGAGCGAACTTTGACAAAGTAGGAAGCTTTATTTTTAGACGTCCGGGACATAAATCTCGCTGCAAGAGAATGGTTAAGAGGTGCTAAAAACAGCTGACACACGGGAAGTGCAAAAGGTCAAAGTACTGGAATTCAATGAAACTTGGTATATAGGTACTTTCGGACATGCTGAACCCAAAGAAGTTGAAAAAAGTACGCCTTCTTGGTTCTAGTCGAATTATGGTCTCTCAAAGTCAGAAGACAAACCTGACTTCAAGGGAGTGCCTAAGAGGCTCTAAAACCCCTTCAGTGATCATTTAAGGGGTCAAAAAAGTTCGAGAGAAGTGGAGAGAACCTCAGAAATATCGGACAAATTAAAAATTAATCAAACACTGGAATCTACCGGAATCAACCTCCAGGAGGTCATTTTTTTTTTAGCCATTCTTTGAGAACTTCGAAACAGCCTACTTCAAGTGAGGGCTTAAGAGGAGTAAAAACCACTTGAGTGATCACTTAATGGCTCAGAAACGTTCGAAAGGCGTGGAGAACACCTGACGCTTCTCGTGGAACAACAACCTCGAACAGAATAAAAAAAAGTCAATGAAAAAAAAATAGGAAACTAGCGTTTGAACTTTGAACAAGATAAGGGAATAAAATTTTTTTAGAAGCTCAAAAACTTATCCAAAACACTCTTTGACAGATCAGAAGTCTGAATCTGAACATCTTGAAGTCTTTTTAAACACCATCAAAATCCACTGAAAGAAAAGGAATGTGAGACCTCGAGCTTCAGAAACTAAGGATTTTGACAAGTCTATACTCTCAGGATCTATACCAAAGAGTGTTCTGGCCAATTTTCCAAAAGGTCTCAACCAAAAAGTTAACATTTTCTTTGTCAAAAGCCATTTTTTCGGGAAACATAAAAAGCTCAGGACTATCAGTTTATCACAGGCTTTTCGATGAAGCTTAACGTGTCTTCGTGTTCATTTGCTCGTCATGAGGCGTTAACGCGGCGAAAATAGTCCGATAACCTTGCAGTTAAGCTTTTTCATCAATAAAGCAGGATTGAACGGTTCCTTTTGCAGAAAATTACGCAAATTTATCATGAAATCTCTCAGAAATGGAAATTTTTGATTTTTTTTTTTGATTTAATTTAAATCAAGCTTATCTTCCAGCTTATAATAAGGATTTTTCTTTGTAGAACCAGTTTTTTTTTTCTCAAAAAGCCGAAATTTCACGTTGAAAAAATTTCGAAGCTTAAAAAATGTAACTAACTTTGAAAAATTGCCAAAAATGATTCTGTTGAACCTGTTTTTTCTGGATTCAAAAGCGCATGAAATTCGAAAAATCGCCTAAAAATTCTCGATTTTCGAGAGATCTACAATGTTTCCGCGTTCATATTTTACATTGGATCATTCATCAAACCTTCAAATTTGCAAAAAACATTCCATTGAACCCAAATTTTTGCCCAAAAACGAATAAAACTCAAAAAACTCGCAAAATCCTCTCGAAAAATCTCGATTTTCAAAAATCTTCTATGTTTCCAAGCCCATATTTTACATTGGATCATCCATCAAACACTGGCGAACGCCTTATCAGCCCCCATGCGCCGATGAAATAATCATATCACGTCGAATTGTCAATATTTGGCCGTCCCGTGTCGCGCATTATGGAAAGAAAACCGAGGTGCGGCTGAATTTTCGGCCAAGTTCAACGGGACACGGCTCAAATTTCTTTACACTTTGAACACTTTACATCGTGTTGTTTGGATTGGGTGATGTTACAGATTACAAAAAGGATAAAATGAGAGAATTTCTTATCAGAAAAAATTGAAAAAGAATTTCATCAATGGAGCAGATTATCTTCTAGAAAAAAGCTACTCTCAAATATTTCACTTTAACAAGGGAGCAGCAGATTTCCTTCTAGAAAAAAAAATTTTTTTGTCGATGGAGCAGACTTTCTTCTAGAAAAAAGCTAATTTTTAAAAATCTAGTTTCATCGAAGAAGCAGATTTTCTTCTAAAAAAACCTGTTCAAAAAAATGTTTATCAATAGAGCATACTTTCTTCGAGAAAAAAAAGCCACCTTAAAATATTCTTTTATCAATGAAGCCCACTTTCTTCTAGTAGAAAGCCACACTTTCAAACTGAACCGTTTTTTTTTTCGCCTCTTAAAAAAGCTTTCCTGTAAATTAAAAAAAATCCGGAAAATTCATAGAAAAAAATCTACAGTACTCGGAACGAAAACTTGAACAAGAAAAGTCTAGAGAAGTTATTCTGAAGACATTCCTACACCTCCTAAGAATAGAACCAATAAACTCGGATGTTCATTGGTTCTCTGACTGAAAAATCTCGTTTTTTGCGCTCCTCCAACAGATTATGTGGTGTTCCAGCTGTGGATCTTGCGATTTTTTGGTAAGAAAATTCGGCTATTTTTTCAAGTTATTCCAACGAATAGTCAAGAAACAGAAACTTGGGGGAAAATCGAAGAAATTCGACGCTCTCAAACGCTGCAATTAGCTGGACTTTACGGTCAATTTGGGCCTTGGTTCCTGTGAAAAATCGGGTCAATCCTCATCGTTTTCCACTCAGAGTTAAGTATAGGCTCAGCCTTGAGAAATTTGGGCCCAGAATAACTCTTTCGTAACTTGGAGCCTCGTTTAAAAGAAAAAAAAAATCGAGGAACTATGATTTTTTTTTCAAGAAACTGAAACGTAAATCAGTTCATTGCTTGGGGGAAAATTGTTATTAGTTAAAAATAATAAAGTTATCTGAATAAATTTGAAGCCAATTTTTGCGCATAACTTCAGCGTCATTTGGAGCTTGGTTCCAAAAAAAAACAAGAAAAAACAAGAAAAAAAAATCATAAAGTTAGCTGATTATCTCAGCGTCATTTGGAGCCTTTTTGAGGTAAAATGAAGGAAAAAGACGATTTTCACTAATATTTCAAAGTCGGTCATTTGGAGCATCGTTTAAAGAAATGACATGAAAAACCGTCAAGAAAAAGTGCATTCTAAAAGCTTTTCTGATCTCTATAACACTGATTTTCCTAAACATGAAAGATTGAAAAAACATGATTTTGGCAGAAATTTCAAAGTCCGTCATTTGGAGCATCGTTCATAAAAGTTATATAAAAGTCTGTTCAGAAAAAGTGCATTTTAAAAAATTTAAAGTCCTTAAAATCCAGATTTTCTCAGAAAGAGAGAATATTGAAAAACTAGATTTTGGCAGATTTCAAAGCCCGTCATTTGGAGCATCGGAAAAAAAAATGAAAGACTGTTCAAAAAAAGTGCATTTTAAAAAGCTTTCAGATCTCTACAACACTGATTTTTCCTACACAGAAAAAAAAGAAAAAAAAACATGATTTTGGCAGGTCCGTCATCTGGAGCATCGTTCAGAAAAATCGTACAAAAGACCGTCGAGAAAAAGTGAATTTCAAAAGCTTTAAGACTTCCAGATTTTACTAAACAGAAAATATTGAAATAAAACATAATTTTGGCAGATAATTCAAAGCGTCATTTGGAGCATCGTTCAAAAAAAAAATCACATATAAACCCGTCAAAAAACATGAATTTTAAAAGCTGACAGACCTCCAAAACTTAAACTTCAACACCAAGGCTAACAAAACCCTTCAGAAAAAAAAAACTGAGCGATGAATCATAGTGATAATCAAAGCGTGGCGAGAAAAATAGATACAACGGGCCAAAGTCAACGGAAATTTTTTCTTCTTCTCCTGAGGCAATGTGTCATCCAAAAACACACAGGTGGGTTTCGCCACGATCATTCGTCATGTGAAGGGAGAAAAATTGAAGAAGACTAGGAAAGGACAAAAAAAATTTTGATTTGATCTGGAAGTTGTAAAATAGGTCTGAATAGAAAGTTTTTCAAATTTTCGTGGTTTGAATTATCTCTAACTAGACTCCAGATGACAGCTGGAAAATTCAAAATAACTGATTTTTCTAGATTTTTTCTCGAACGAAACTCCAAATTACGGCGTAAAATAGCTGATTTTTCATTATTTAATATAAATGAAGTCATCAAGAAATCCTATATCTCGGATATTTTTTTCTCGGATAAGAAACAGAAAGCAGGTTCCAAAAAAAAAAAAACAAGTTGATTTATTCCTCTCGATTTTCTCGAACGATACTCCAGATTACGAATGAAAAGAGCCGATTTTTTTTCTACAAATGAACTCTCAAAAATTCCATTTATTCCAATATTTTCTGGCAATTTGAGAGAATCGAGAAAAAGACAAGGAGCAGGCCCTAATATAAATTCGAAGAAAAATCATTCTTCAACATTTTCTCGAACGAAACTTCAGCTTACGGCGAATATAAACCTGATTTTTCATAAAACCATGCAAATAAGTAATCAAAAAGTACACTTTCTCAAGTTTTTTTTCGTGAAGAAGACAAAAAAGCAGTCCTCTCTGCAGTAGTTATACTATAATAACAGCAAACAAGTCGGTTTTTCTGCACCACTCGAAAAATTTTTTGCTTACAAGTGGATATTGTCGGACGACACTCGTGCACGATTCCACGCGTGACGTCACATTATTTGAGCATTCATGAAAAGTTTTACGAGGTACAGGGAAAGGAGGGTTTTGAGTGGTTTTTTTGCGGTTGAAAAATGTTCTTCTTAGAAAACCCATAGGGGCCGGAAAAGTGGTCCCTATGGGGGTGAAATCAAGGTGATCCCTATAGGGTTTTTAGGTCTGGCCCCTTAGCCTCTAAAGCTTAAGTGGACCCTATAGAGGTCTTTCAATATCATTCTAAAAAACGCTTATTTATTAATTTTTTCGCATGGAAATGTTCTTCGCGAAGAGTACGTAAAAATTATTGACTAGGATTTAAATTTAAAACCCCATAAGAACCACTTTTGCAAAGTTTAGTGGTCCCTATAGGGTTCGGTAGAGGTTGCCCCTAGAGAGGACCCACCAAGGGCTTCTAAGGTTGCCCCTATAAGGACCACTCTGGAGATCCCAAGTAATAATGAAGTTTCAAAAAAATTTGAGGCATTTTCTAGCAACTTCAAATATCTGGATGTCTTCAAAAACACTTTTCAGAGCTTAAAATCAAGCTTTTACCTGTCGAAACTTCAATAAAAGTGCAAAAATCGAAGAAAGCCAAAAGAGCCCAACTAACAAACAAACACACGTGTGAAATGAATTCAAAATCGACGTCAAAAGTGAGATATTGAAAAGGGGCGTGGCCCGACCGGCGCCGGTTCTCGCCAGCCGGCCACACACACACGTCCAACGCAACGGCTAATGGAGTTTCTTTCCGGCTTATGTTTGGCTGTTTGTTTTCAAAGTGAAATCCGAGCCAAAATACGGAAACAAAAAAGTCTAAACCGGCGACGCTTATTTGCCGTGTGAAATTTGGTTCGACTGGATTTCCGATGCGTGAAGATGAACTGTTCAAAAAGACCAAAAGTCATGTTTTTAATAAAGTCTTCAAGAATCTTTATAAGGAAGAAAGATTCGTTTTTCTTCCGCGACTTTTCAAAAATTGATCATAATACTTTTTGAGAACGCCTAGAAAGCCCAAAATTGCCTAGTTTCTAAGAAAAATATCTGAAATTCTCAAACTAGCCATTTCAACGCTATCCGGTGGTTTTCTTCTAAATTAAGCTCTTATTTTTTGAAACCTAGGAAGTTTTTGGTTTATTACCAAGTCATTCCAATATTTCATTCACATTTACTGTTTTTCAAACTTAGATACTTGGATGAGACAAAGGAATCAGAACTTTTCAGGTATAAAGTTTTTCCCTAAAAAACAGGATATTCTTCGAATGCCTATAGAAAAAATTCATTTTCCTACATGACTCCATTAGATAAAGTGATAACTAATCTATTCGCCAAGTCTAAAGAATTTTTAACACGGACAAAGTACAAAAGGTTTCAAAAAGGACTTTTGGAAAGAAGGGCCTTTAAATGGCCTTTTTCTGAACCTTTTTTTGGAAAGGACCTTTTGAGCGGGTGTAAAAAAATGAAGGCGGAAAAAAGGTGGAAAAAGGAGATTTCGAGAAACTTTTGACACATTTTGAGGAGCTCGAAAAGAGCTTGAGGCTCTTCTTTTGAGGTCATTTGGACATTTTCTGGGAATTTTTGTTGATATGCTTGAAAATCTCAAAAAAGGAACTGACGTCGAGGCCAGACGACTCGAAGACGTCGGTCATCGCCGCGACGCCTTCATCCTCGCTGGCGCCGCCTTCCGTCGGCTTTTTGGCCATCCGACGAGCCGCCAGCGTCGGCTCCGAATCGCTCGGCATTTCTGAAAGTTCTAAGATTTTCTCAAGTTTTGGAACGACAGCAAATTAAAAACGACCAAGAAAAAAAAGAAAAGGAAAAAATATGAAAAAAAAAGATTTTTCGGCATCTGTCAGTGTTCTAAAATCTGGGCTTTCTGTTAAATTCCAAAAAGGAGTGAAATTTGGACTATTGGAAACCAAGGCAACGGGAAAGTTTGAGAAAAGAGGCGGAGCAAAATAAAAAAAAGCAAAAAAAAACGAAATTGCAATTTTTCAACTGTCAAAATGAGAAGCTGTAGGGCATAATCTTGAAAAAAAAGAACTAAAGAAAAATTAATTTTGAATGAGAGAACTGTAGGTCAAAGGCTACTGACGTGAAGATCAAAAAAAAAAACTAGGATTCAGAAAAAGGCGGGAAAATGTGTGGATTCAAATCTTGAAGTTTCATGAGATCAAACATTAGGTTTTCTAGTTATGAAGACAGGTTAGCTCAGATTAACACAAACTCTCTTTTTAGAAGACGAGTCGAATTTTGTCTAAGAACACTACATAAAATTTATATTAAGGAGAGTCATTTGCCAGTTTCTCACAGTGTTTTCAGGAGATCAAATTCGGTACGTGCTCCATCACGTCTTATCAGAGTAGGGATTCGTTTCGAAAATTTCTTTGAGACGTTCATCCCTCTTTGGAATAAACTGGCTACATTGGGAAACCTCAATGTTTCTCCAGATCGTTTCAGGTCTTTGTTACTATCCCTCGATAACAATTTCCTTTTTGGATCTATTCCCAGCAGACTCCGTTGAACCAGGTACCCGTGCTTTAGCCCTACTCTAATCCATCTTATGCGCGTCTATATCATTACAAACGATTAAATTCCCCACTCACCTGTGCTACACTGTGTCATAACTTATACTTTCTTTTTCTATTTACTTTTTTTACCTTTGTGCAATCCTCACCTCTTATTCTTTCATTACTGGCTCAGAGGCTCGTGAGGGGCCTCAAGTGCCTTTTTATTTATTTATTTCAGGCTTAATGCCAAATTTTTTTCTCTTTTTTTCTGTACATGTTATTTTTGTTCTGCCTGTAAATAAATAATATTATATAAGTTCTTAACAAGCTGAATTTTTGACATTTTTTCGACGCGTTCAACGAGTTCGAGGTCAACTAGGTCAGCCTGTCAAAACCTCAACCAAAAGGTTCAGAAGCCTATGTAGTTTTTGTGGTGAAAGTATGGTTCAAAAAAAAGCAACACGAATTTTAAGTGGCATCGCTCTTCTCGGAGAACGTTTTCTTCAATAATTTAGATCCCTGTAACGATTTTATCAAGTTTCAAATGAATTAAATCGAGGAAAAAGGGCAAAAAATAATACAAAACCCGTCAAAAATATGCTTCATTTTCAGCAAAAGGTCCTGCAAAATGAACAAAACGGAAGGAAGAGAATATAAATTCGAGTAAAATGGGGAAAACCCCGTCAAGAACTCATATTTCACTCATGTTATGTGAAAAGGACGAGACCTGAAATTGAGAAGAAAACGAAAAATCGGGCAGAGATTTCAGGATCTTCACGAAGAAAAAAAACAGAGAAGAAAACGGGACCTGAGGAGGGATCGGAAAAAACGATGGCTAGGGAGAGCATGCTGTGATTTACGGAGCTCTTCGATTTTCGTTTTTGATCGAGGCCAGGTTAAATATTGCGTCTTTTGGACTCAGGCCTTTTTTCACTAGAAATGTTGCTCCAAGGATAAAACTGTAGTTTTCAAAAAAAAATTTTGGAAACCTACTTAGGAACTCCAGAGTGGTTCTTATATACATGGAGGTCGCTCTATAGGGGTCACTGAAGCTTGAAAAAGTGGCCCCTAGAGGGGACAGGCTAGTCGAATATATGAAGAAACAGTTCCATGCGAAAAAATTCGATAAATTAGCGTCATTTGAATGAAAAATTATTGAAAGGGGATGACTTGATCAAGTTCGTCTTTTCCAACCTTAAGATCCCTTGAATTTTCCCCTCTAGTGATCACTTTACATCAACCTATAAGGGCCACTAAAGCTTGCAGAAGTGGATCGTATCGCGGATTTCTTTTTTAATTTTCAAACCTGAATAAAAAATTAATAAACTCTCTAGGGACCACTCGAGCTTTAGTGCGTTGAGTACCCTAAACCCCTATAGGGACCACTTAAGCTTTACCCCTATAGAAAGCACTATTGTGTCTCCTCTGAGGGCTGTTTTCACTAACCCCTATAGGGACCACTCAAGCATTCCTTGGTGTGTATTTTCTAAACCCCTATAGGGACCACTTAAGCGTTCCTTGGTATGTATTCTCTAGACACTTTCAAAGATCAATACTTGACCGGAAAGGCTAAATTTTCTCGCAATTCTTCGCTCCATTGATAAATTTGCTTGTTTTAGGAGGAAAGTTCGATTTTTTGTTCTATGATTAATCTTTGAACGAATCTTTTTTTTAATCCACTCGAATTTCAAAGAAAAAAATTTTTATTTGGAATGAGATCGAGGTCAAGAAACTCTTCTTTACGGCCGGAACGAACGAACGAGGCGAATTGGAAAAAAAACCAAACAATACACTAAAATGTTTGCTGAAAGTTTTGGCGGCGGAAAAAAACGGGACGAGAAAAACGGGGTGAGAAATGCACACAATTCATGGGGAAGCTATGAAAACAAAAGAATTTTTAAAAAAAGGTGGCATGGCTCAGTTGGTGAAGCATACTTCTAACGTCAAAAGGTCGCTGGTTCGAGTCCCCTGAAGGTTTTTTCGATCTTGAAGAACACGAAGAACCAGTGAGAAAGGCCAGTGAATCGAAAAGATTGAAAGGTTGAGATAAAGCCGAAAAAAAACGCGATTTTCAGCCAAAGATTACACAGAAGATGAATCTATTAAAACCGAAAAATGTCTACTTTTTCATTTCTTTTAGCTTGAAAGAAAAGTTGCTGTGATCTCAAAAAATGCTTCTGATAAGAGACCTTTTGTTGGTGATAAGAAACCGAAGGCAGAGTTTTTTCCGTCTTCTTTGTCACGAGCCATGATATTTCTTATTCGGAAAAAAAGTCAGAAAATAATAAAAAAATATGAACTCGATTTAATGGCTAGAACAGGAAATTTCCGGAAAAAGTCAATTTTTGTTCAAATTTTGAGCGGAAAAAAGTCGAAAACTCTTAGAAATTGATTAAAACCGCGACGCAACCGCTCCGCATGACACAGTCACAAAATTAATCAACGGAAAAATGGAAAATCCTATTAAAAAGTGATACTCTTTCTCATTTTCAAGTTCGGATTTTTTTAAAAAAATAAATAAAAAAATATTTTTTTCAATACGAAGTTTATACACCGTAGAATCAAAATTAAGAGAATGATAGAAATAAAAAAATTTTTGAAACCAGAAAAATGACGGCAGGAAAATTTCGATTCGTATATTTTTAAACCCATGGAATCGAGAGGGAGTCAAGATAAACAAACCATTTTGAATAAACTATTTTTGTTTTCTCGTCAAAGTTTATTTTTTGGAGTTGGAGAGAAAAAAATGAAATGATAAACTGAAAAAAATATTGTAAAATGATAAAAAAAAAAAAAAATGATGAGAAATTGAATGGAAACCTAAAAAAAAAATCCGGCTTGACAAGACTTTTGAAATATAGAGATAAGTCGATGGAAAAACGAAAAAAAGTTATTATTTCTTATTATAAACTTTTCTGAAAAACTGGGATCTCAAAAAAACAAAAAAATAAATTCTTGGCACCTTAAAATCAGACTCCAAAACCTTGTGATCAAACTGAAAAAAAATTCAAGTTTTCCAATTTTTTTAAATCTTCACAGCGCAAAGAGCTAATATTTTTTTCAATAATCTTTCAATTTCTCCGCCCACTTTAATTAATACCATTGAAAAGTCAAATCCTACTTCCTTTTTTTCTCAAAAAAATGATTCAAAAAAATGTCAAAAAAAATTCAAAAATAATACAGTTTTTACATTGCTGTAAAATCCAAAAAAATATCAAACTTCTCAAAAAAGTTCCCAAGAAAACCGATGAGAAAACTGTAAAGGAAACGGAAAATAAACGAAGAAATGAATGGCAGGTGGGGCCGGACAAGGTCGTCTTCTAATTACGTCGTTATTCGATTTCAAATCGCACTTTAAAAAAACTTCCTATGGTTCTGAGACTAAAAGTTCTTTTAAACCAATAAAAAAATTTAAAAAAAGACTTGACAGCAAAAACGAAAAAAATCTCGAATCAAAAAAACTTTTTTTCTTGGAACTAAAATCCTCAAACTTTAAGAAAACCATCTAAATGCACTAAAAATGTTTTTCGTTTTCCTCTAAAAATAAAAATTTTTCTGTTTTTAAACCTACCAAAAAAAGTTATCTGACCAACTTTGAAACCCTCCCCCATCAAAAAAAATAAGACAACTTCCTTCTAGAGATCTGCCTTACTTTCCTCGGAATTCACGAGAAATAAATCAAAATTCATACAAGAGAAATCGAGAGAAACGAAAAGAGAACCAAAGAAAAAGGGAAGCGTTTGGAGGGTTATTATCCGGATAATACGGAGCGAAATCGGTCGATTGTGATCGCCGACGATGTCTATCTATTGTCGAGATTTCCCCCGCTTGCGCAACTGCTGTTTCAGCCCGAAATTGTCCCGAATTTGGAACGGAGAGGCTTTTCCGGGTGCAACAGAGCACAAAAGAAATGGAAAAAATATTTTCCGCCATTTCCTGGAAGGTCACTTTTGCGTACGGTTTGGAATTTGCTCAAAAAAATCTTTGATGGACTGGGAATCGATCCCTCATATTCCCTATCTGCGCAAACTTTTCGTTTTGAAGATATGATTTTTTAAAGTTTTTACCCTTAACCATGTAGCGCTGTTTGGCAGGAATCTAGCCGCGCCACCAGCCGTTTCATGACAGCTTGCAGCGTAGTGCAGTGGCTAGAGCGTTAGCCTGGGGAGCCTATAACGAGGGTTCGAATCCTTTCGCCGCTATCTTCTTTTTGCCCTTATTTTTTCGACAGAAATGTCGAATTTTCCTTATTAAAACAGACTATAAGATGGCCTCGCCATTGGTTCATTGAATTTTCTACTTTTTTGATCCGATAAGAGTTCGTAAGGAGACTATTTATGAGAGAAAAATATTCAATGTCTGAAGACGGATAATAATCAAATATTAGTTTCAGGAGAACCGTAGTGAGATTCGGAAAATTAGTTCAAAAAACTGTTTCCAATTGACTTTTTCTTTGGTCCGAAATTCTTTTTTGTTTGTTCTTTCCTTACTGTCCTCACCAAGAAAATAACCAAATTTCCTGAAATATAAAATTTAAAAAAAAACGTTTCTTGAAAGAAAAATAAAGATTTCAGACTTGTTCCGAAGTTTTTTTTTTATCTACTGGGGGAAAATATTTTCTCATAAGGAGCAGGTGAAAAATGAATTTCAGTCAGAGAATGCTTTTTCTCTCAAATTTTCGAAATTTTGTTCCTATTTCAAGTGCTCCATCTTGTCTTGGAACCAATGTATGAACATCAAATTTGTTCTAAAGCTGAAATTTTTTTGGAAACGGGAATCTTTTTTCAAAATAAATCAAAAAAGCTTCTTGAAGATTACTTGAAAATAATTAAAAATATCAAAATTTTCAAGAAAGGATCTCAAAAAAAGCTTCAATCATAAAAATAAGGAGGTTTTTTTAAAAAATAACCGGAAGAACATGGAAAAATCTATGCTGTCTGAATGGTTGTAATATCATGAAAACCAGGAAAAATATTTAAAATTATTAAAAAAATACTCAAAAACCCAGTCCAAAAAGCAAATTTATTCTACGAATTGTAGAATAAGACAACACAGAAGAGTTCTCATTCTCAGTCTCATCTCGGCCGGTAGAAATAAAGAAAAAAAAAAATGAAATGAGGCCTCCAGTGGCAAAACGACGTCGTCGTCGCACTTACCGACCGGTTTTTGCCAAAAATGAAGACGTTTCGAATAGAAAACAATCAAAAAAAAATCGTGATGAGAATTCGTTTGAAGTTTTGGAGGCAAACAAGTTGAGAACTTGACGAACGGCCGCAGTAACAAGGCTGATGAGAAGGAAAAGGAAGAGTTACACAGTTCTTTTTGGGGCGAAAATAGCCTGGATAGGATCGATCAAGTGCGCTCTATGGAAAGTTACAGTTATTGGAAAAATTCAAAGAACAGCAGGATAAATTTCAGAGTTTTTAGTGTTTAAGGTATTTGAATCTCATCAAAAAAACCCGCCTGAATAATTTAAAAATTAAGTGAGTTCAGCGAAGTAACTGGTCCTTGTTGGGCAAAAATAGCCTCGATAACATCGATCAAGTACGCTCTAGGGACAATTATAGTGATTTTCTGGAAAACTTGTCGGATAGAAATAAGACTTGCAAAGCTATAATGAGAAAAAGTAACTGAAAAATATTCCAAAAAAAAAAAATTTATCCATGAATATTTTACGGAAAAGGAGAAAACATGAGAGTTCAATGAGAAAAACGAAGGAAGGTCCAGACTTTTTTGTTGAGAAAATAGCCTGGATCGCATCGATCAAGTGCGCTCTATGGACATTTACAGGGATTTTTCCTCATTACTTGGAAATTTTGACAGAATAGCGAATCACAGAGCGAGTGATAAAAATAATTAAAAAATCCTCCAAAATTTGTTGTCTATGAACAATGTCAGACAATGAGACAATGAGAAAATATGAAAATGCATTGAAAACAAGAAGAAACAAAATTCAGAGTATTCTTTGGGAGAAAAAAGCCTCGTTAATTTCGCCTAAGTGCGCTCTATAGACAAAATTACTTTGCAGTTAATCTGAATCTTCGAAAAATTGAATGAGTTTTTAGTCAAAAACTTCAGTTAAGCAAAAATTATCGTTATGAAAAAGATTAAAGTTCACAAAAGACCGGAAAATCTCAACTCTCAAATTTGAGCTACAGAGCACGATTTTTTAACTAAAAATCTTCAGCTCAAATTTTGAGCCTCAAAAACCGCCTAAAGGTCAGAAAAGGGGTTTATTGAAGGTTGAGGGAATAAAAGAACTTCAAGGTAACTATGAGGTAGAAAATTTCAACTTTAAAAATTCGAGCAAAAACGAGAAAATAAAAGTCGTGAAAAGCTCAAACGCCAAGAAAAGCCAGAAGAAGCTCAAATCTCCAAAATTTAGCCGCAGAGCGCGATTCAAAATCTAAAAAAATCAGCCATTCGGGCTCAAAAAGCCAAGACGAGAAGCCGTAATAGAAAGGCGTTCATGGGATCGGTAATTTAAAAAAATTAAAAAAAGGTAATTTTTAATCAAGGTATAGGTAATGTAAGAGCTCCAAGAAACTATGAGGAGGTCGGGAAATTTGGGATTTATCTGGAAATTAATTTTTAATCAAAAATTTGTGTCAAACTGGGAGAATAGTAGCACAGAAATAGTTCTAAAGAGCAGAAATTTCAAAGTTTCATTCTTTTCTCATCAAAAAATCGAGCGAAATTGGGACAGGAGAACTTCAGAAAAAGCTTGAACCTCCAAATTTAGTCGCTAAAATAGGAAAAAATTCAATAGTTACACAAGCAATATAAAAAATGAAACTACAGGAGCCCGAAAAAGCTCAAATCTCCAAATTTAGCCACCCAGCTCGATTCAAAATCCACAATTCAACCAATCAGGCTCAAAAGCCAAGACGAGAAGCCGTAATAAAAAGGCGTCGATGGGTGCGGATATGGGTATGGTTATAGGACGGAGGGCGGCGAGAGGCAAGGTGTCAGGTCAGACTTGGCCCAAATGGTGGCGGTGGGCCAAACGTGAATGCATTATTTGTGCATGAAGGAGGGGGGAAGGAGGGAGAGTCGGACTCACCTGCGCCAGCTCACGGCGGCTGCCACTGAGCCGCGCATGGGAACGGGAGCGGGATATTTGGTCAGGTCTAACTGGTAGCCCTACGTTTGAAGGAAGCTGTCTTTCCATACAAGGTACAAAAATACAAAATTTGAAAATTTGATGGAACTTTGTTTGAGATCTACTTAAAGGTTCTCTAATTTCAGAAAGAAAAAATAGATGAAACCTTCCAGCAAAATGTACGAAAATTTCTTTCCAACGCTTTTATTCTCTAGACTACTGTTTTACAGACTATTTTCCTATTTTTAAAAGTCGAAAGACTAGGATATGTTCAAAAGCATGCCTTGCATGACTAAAAGTACTTCTAAAAACGGCTCTTCGCCTCGAGACCCTTATGAAAATTTTCTACACTACTTTAAAAGAAATGATACGAGATAGAAGTAAAAATAACCCACTAAATGTTCAAAAATCTGAAAAAAATCTGAATATTGAAGCTAGTTTCAGAAGTACAAAAAAGCTGGAAAAACTCTGGAAAACTACAAAAATGATAACAACTTAAAAAAAATAAAGACCTTCAAGTGTACACAGTTGAATCAAAGTTTTTAAAAAAAAACTCGAATTAGTGATAAAATTACAACTATTCCTTCTAAAAATTTTAATCAAAAAAATAGTTTTTTTCAAAAAAAATTGAAAGAAAAAAAGCGCAAAAATGCGATTTTTATGGTTCCAAATATCTTTAAAAAAACCGAAAAAAACAAGTATTTTTTTCAACTATTTGGAAAAATTTTTCAAGTGAAAATTTCCTTTGGAGCTGTGAAAACAATACTCAAAAAGGAGCAATAGGAAAACAAAGGGTCAAATTCCAAAAAAATTTAGCCCAGTTCATCAAAAAAACTACTTCTAAACGGAAAAAAACACCTAAAAAAAATTTAAAAAAACAGTTTTTTTAATTCGAAAAATAAGCAGATCGTTTGAAGTTGTCTTTGAAGTCAAAAGTTCGAAAAAAAGAGAACTACAAAAAATTTTGACCTTCATAGTATTCCAGAAAAAATAGACAATGAAAACTGCTGAACGGAAAGTTCAGGAAGAACACGACGAAAATGCACATGGCGGTGGGGCAGCGTGAATTGCTTCGGAGGAAAAAGAACAGGTTCTGTTCTGGTTGTCCTCTGCCGCTTCTCTTTTTCCCTCCCTTCGAACAGTCGGCCGATGAACTACCCTGCATCGGAAACAACGAGAAAAAAAGAGAAAAAAAAACTTTAAAAAATGCCTATTTTAGTATTGCGCGTGCACGCGCGTGGAAAAAAAAATAGTATGCATGGTTGCACAGGACACGTACTTTCATTCTACAGTTTGAAATTAGTGTTTCCTTCAACATAAACTGAATTACCCTACAAGGGAGGAAAAAAAGATAAAAAAATATAAAAAACCTTGAAAAAATTCCGATTTCAGTATTGCGCGTCGAATGTAAGCAACAGTATGCATACACGCGCGATGCACGTACTTCCTTCCTACAGTAAGCAACTTATAGTTTTTTTTTCTTTATTCCATTCCGCGTCAGCTTGAGTCGTTTTTCTTTTTGATTTGTGAAAAAGATTGTGCACAATCGGTCCAAATTTAACCAATCTTCGGTTTGAAATTTTTTTTTACAGTTTTGTAGAGCAAATTGAAAAAAGCTATGTTTTACGAGAGCTTTTTTTTTTTCTAAACTGCCCTTTTTGCACAAAAACACTATATTCAGTCAATTTATAGCCCTCAAATTTTGCTCCAAACGGCTCAAAGCAATTAAAAAGGCAGAGAATTGGGCAGAAAAATGGAGAGAAGACAAATTGGGAACGGAATGGCGTCCAGAAGGCGTCGGGATGAAGGCGTCGTGTCAGCGACGTCGCCTCGGTCGCGCCCGCCAAATATGACAAATGACAAATGAGTGGCGTCGAGGGACGAAACTCATCCGTTATCCGCTTCTTCACCAAACAATGGCCTGGGAGCCTTTGGCTTCTTCAGAAGATGATTCCTCTTCTGAGGGTCCCCACAATGAGGATCGTTTACTTGGCGGTTGGGAATTTGATGAAATTGGACAGGGTATTCCTTGATGTATCACGTGAAGATTCTGGAAGTCCTAACCTGCGAAAATTCCTAGTTTTTGAGAAAACAAGAAAAATGTCTATTTTACGAATTTTGAGGGTATTCTTTGAATTTTCGAAAATTCAATCCATTCAAGAAGGACCTTATTGAAGTACGTCTTTATCTCAGCACTTTTAGAATATCAGACAAAGATCCTGGAATTTCGAACCTCGAAAAATTACAGCTCAAAGTTTCAAAATAAGCTCATTTTACAGGTTTTCATGGTCCGACTTTGCATGGAAAACTTGCCAGGTACCCTCAAAAAAATCAATCTTTCAAAAAGACTTTTCTCTTCGATTTTTATAAAGATCCAAGTGAAAAAAATTCAAAAACTTTCTTATCAGCTTCATCACGGCAATACACAACTCACAGCTAGTTTTTCATGGAAAACTGACTTTTTTTTGACCATTTCTTGAAAAAAATCGTTAAAAATTGGAAAGTTATGATGAAAAAGGTCCTGTCACGAAAAGTTGAACAGAAAAAAATAAATCCGACATAAATCTTTTTTTTTGGATATGGAATTCTACACGCTTATAGAAAAGCTAAAAAAATTCAAATTTTTCAAATTTGACCAACTTTTTTTGGTCCCTGAAGTGATCCCTTCCACACAGAAATCTCCAAAAAAAAATCAGAAAATTATCATTTTTCTGCATTACGCCACCTTCCTACGCGCCTTCTTTGACAATCTTGGTCGCGTTTGGAATGGCTCAAAGCGTCGCAGTCGCATTTTCTCACAAGACTCGAAAAAAACAAATTTAACAAAAATACATTTCATTTCGCTCATTGAAAGGAGGCCTTATCGCATCGGTGGCGACCACAATGAAAAAAAATCACAAGAAATACATAAAACACATTATTGAAAAATAGATGTCTGTAAAACTAACACGTATGAGTAAAATGTGATCCCTGAGGTCGTGTGGCGAGTAGAAAGGTTGTCTTGAGCAAGGGCAATAGAATCGGAGAGAGCAATTGAAAAGAATATGAACTATTATAATACCATCGCCACAATTGAAACAGTCTGATGTCTCTGGGCCCTCCACTTTTTTCATGTTTCTCGAGGGAAAAGAGAGCGCAGACGAGTCAGAGTGTTTCAAGTGGTGGCGAATGGACTATATATCAATTATGAGCGATATGTTTGCGAACAATTTAATAGGATAAATATAACATAATTTTTGAGCCAAATTTCTGGGATATAGAGGAAAATGAGCGGTTTTTAAGGAAGCGGCAAGACTTGGCCCATCAGGAGTTCCCTCATTTCTTCGAGACCGAAGTTCTCCTCGTCGTCCTGAAATCAAATAACCCTTGGAAAAATCCTTTTTTGGCCTTAACATGACTCTAACTACTTAGGAGTCTTAGTGTGGTCCATACAGCCCCTACAGGGGCCCGAAAAGTGGTCCCTATAAGGGTAAAATCAGAGAGTTCCCTACAGGGGCGTTTCAATTTTATTCAAAACGCTTTTCTATTCAGTTTTTCGCATGGAAATTATTCTACATTCATAAAAATTATCCAATAGCCTATCCCCTAGAGAGACCACTTTTGCGAGGTTTAGTGGCCATTATAGGGGTTTTTTTTTTGTTAAGTGGTCCCTAGAGGGGACCCTCAAGGACCTTTACGGTTGCCTCTAGAGGGACGCTATGGAGTTCCCTTTTTTTCCGTAGAGTAAATTTCAAGGAAGAGATGAACCCTATGACCAACTGAGTGATAACTCTAGTAGTTTTAGCGCCCCTTAAGTGTTCCCTTGAAAGGCAGAAGTTTTGAAAGTTCTTTCGTCACTTTAAGAAAATTTGTCCAGCTCATCGATTTATAGAGAGAACGGAAAAACTGGAGACACCTAGAAAAGCAGACAAAAAAATGGCTGAAACTTTCCAACTGTCATATTCTCTCGTTTTTTCTAATATCAAGGACGGGGCATCAAATTTTCAACGGGAGGCTGAATTGCAGCCTACTTGCTAGAGACTCCACGAAAAGGAGAGAATCTAGAGAAACCAAGGTGGACTCTAGCTGTCTCAGGCACTCTGCATTTCCCATGCTCTCTAAATTTTCCGTTCCAGTGCTAATTTGAGTCCAAAATCCCTTCAAAAAATGAAGTTTTTTAGAAAAACTTTGAGATAGCATGAAAAAGATGGAGACATCCAGACAGGCAGAGAAACTTGAGCTGTCTGAGCGTCTATTTTTTCCTCATACTCTCCGAAAAAACCCGAATTTTTTTTTGCAAGACCGTCAAGAGATAGAAAGTCCCGAGCTTTAAGAAAAAGTAACATCAAAATTTATTTTTTTGAACTTTTCAAAAAACTAACGACAAAAGGATCCCAATCGCCGCCGACGCCCTTGTGGAACTCGTGGAGGTGCTTGTAGATGTCTTGGACACGGCCCTGAAATCATTGAATATTATAAGTGAAGAAAAGTAGGGATGAATAAAAATCGATCAAAATGAATAAAATGGGAAGAAATTATCTCAAAATTAAGCAAAAAATTACCGTAAAACAGTCGCAAAGCCAGCAGAATTCGGTTTTGCAAGCCGAGCAGGTCATGTGATTGCATCCGCGTTCCTGGAAATCGCAATCTTTATTTGAAGAAGTTGAAAATTAGTGATTTCTTCACACCATTTGGACTTTTCCCGCTCATATTTTCCCTACTTTCCCTGATTTATTTTTCCCTAACATTTTCTTGTTTCTATTTTTTACTACTGCATCATTTGTATGAAGTTCTTAGGATTTCCAGAAACGTCCCTATAGGGGTTAGGGGAAAACCATCTATAAAGGGGGCCGGAAATGGTCTTTATAGTGGTAAAATCAAGGAGGTCCTAAAGGGGTTTACAGTCTGACACCTAAGCTCCCAAAGGTCAAGTGAACCCTATAGGGATCTTTCAATTTCAAAAATTATCGATTAGCATGTCCCCTATGGGGGCCACTAACTAAAATTTCGATAGATACCACTTTTTTAAGCTTAAGTGACCCCTATAGGGGCTGGTGAAGTGAGAAAAACTTCAAGGGTTCTCCCTATAGGGGCCACTATGGAGTTCCTAAGTTATTGAGAACGCGGAAGCCACGAAAAAAAAATCGGAAAAGTTACTATTAGTTAGGCAACTTTTTAATTTTTCACCTTGTATTTTTCCTACTTTTGCTAAATTTTTTTAATACCATTTTCATGTTTCTATCCTTATTCCATTGCATTGTTGAAGGAGGGCATTCGGAACAAAATTATGAAAAAAAAATAATCAAAAAAAAAAGACCAATGTGAGAAAAAAAATCAAAGAAAAACCACAGCGAAATTCTTTGATTTTTCATGAATTCCACCAGCAAGAATGAATAAATTAATCAATAACCTTCTCGATGATGGCGCCACAAGCCGTGTTGGGACAATTTCGCAATTTTCCTTCCTTCAGATTTCTCGTGTAGATCAACAACGACATGTCGGCGTTATCTGTGAAAAGACATATTTGGAAACGAGTTCAATTGAAATTCTCCAAGAAGAAGAAAAAAAAAACGAACGATGGAGCAAGGAGTTGGTTAAACAGCTGACGGCGCCGTGCCGTGGCAGACGACACTTGGTGCAAGTGTCCTGTCGGCATTCGTAGCAGGTTATGATCTTGGCGGGCAGGTCCTTTGGTACAGCCTAAAAAAACGAATCACTATCGAGTGCGGAAAACGGGTGCAAAATGGCCGCTAAAAGGGTTCCCTATATTTAGCTTTTCTTGGTGGGCTAGAAAGCTTCAAAAAAGGGTCAAGAAAAAAAACTCTTAAAACTTTTCACCGAGTTAATTTTAGTAATAAGTGTGCAACACCCCCAAAACTCTGAAAAAGGGGGTTCTTTTCCCAATTTTACCTCATAAATGCCTTGACAATCGACCGTCGGGCAGGCCAAAATTCCGGCGCCAGACCTCAGGGCCACTGTGATGGCGGCTCGCGTCAGAGGAACGATTTTTTGGTCGTCCAGACTTCGTACACGGTTCGAAGGGCCGAGGATCAAGTACTGAAGAGAGAAATCAAGAATTTTTCAGGAAGAGGGTCAAGTTTATTTTCGTTACAAAAATTTTAATCGGCTGGATCCGACTCCAGTCTTCTGCGCGCGGAAAAAAAAATTTTAAATGTACTGAGATAGACCGCCCTTTTCGGGGGTAGGCCGCAGTTTGAGCGGGGTGAGGGGGGCCGCACCCCGGGGACGTATCTAGCCGACGTATGATGTGAAAAATCTTGAAAAAAATCTAAAGTTTTTCAAGATGCCAAGGATCGGAAAAAAATGAAATAATCAAGATTTTTTTCAACAGCAAAAAAAAAAAAAATTCGTTCAGTAAGAAAAAAATTGTGAATGTTCTGAAGATTATTAAGGCGCTTATTTATTATTTTTATTTCGAACAATGTGGAATTTAATAGAAAAATCATATTTGAATATTTCGAGCAGTTTTTCAAATATGTTGGTCATCGTAAACTGAAAAAAAGTTTTTTTCGCAGAAAAAAATATTTTATATGTTCTTCTTGCCCTTGCTCATTATTTTTCTTTCAAAATAAAAAAACAATTAATCAGGAATTCATTACTGTTTTTTTCAAGTAGCTTTAAAATTAGTACAGCCGAGGATCAAGAACTAAACAGAAAAATTCAAATTTCACAGAAAAATGTCAAAAAAATTTCTCTTTACAAAAATTTTCTCATTTTCGTTATTTTTTTGATCATTCCCGTCCGAAAATATATTAAAAAAACTACTTTTTGAGCAGTTTTCCAATAAATTCCTACAATTTATTCATGATTTTCCTTTGATTTTGTTCAGCCTCTTTAATTTCGTCCCAAAGTTATCCTTGGAGCGCACTTTCCTTGAAAAAATAACGAAACCTCTAGGTTTATTTTATCCCATTTTTTTAAATCCCATTCGTCTTTACGTAAGTTTTCTCTTCATCTATGGAACCTCCAAGCTTTCTTATGCTTCCTTTAAAGCTTTTTCGAAACGTATATAGTCCATTTTATCAACTTTTTCGTCATAATTTCTTTCAAGCCTAGTTTTTGACCTCAAGTCATAAAGATCCCAAAAAAAACCTTCAAGTCGTCCGGCGAAACACAGAGATTACAGCCTTCCTGTGCACATTTCAGGGGCCAAACTCGATTTAAGAGGTCATGTTTGACCTGAAAAAAATCCTCTACTTTTCTCCTTTTTTTTCTCCTCTGTACCTGTCCGACGAAACAAGTCCGGCAGTAGATATGGGCACAAGAAAGCCGGAAATAGTCGTCGGGAACCGGACAAAGACAAACGGCGCAGTCAGGTCGGTAAGGCACGGAGTTGGGACCACCGAGCATCAAGCGCAACTGAAAAATGATCGTTTTTCAGTGAAAAAAAAATGAAAGTCGAAATTTAGAATTTTCCTTTTATCCGGAAATTATTTAAATTATTCAATACAAAAAACAATTCCGCTCGAAAAAATCGCTAAATCGACCTTTCCAAAAAAATTTTCTCTATAACGACAGTTCTATATAAAGGAGCCAGTTTTTTTAAAACGGCAAAAAAAGGATTTTTTTCACACTAACTTTCAATTTACGCCAAAATTTCCAACTTGTCGAAATTCCCAATGAATGAAAAATTATATGAAATTTGAAAAAAATGAGGGTTTTTTTGTTATTTCTGGTGGAACTCAGATTCAATGAGAACATGAAAATAAATTGACTGGAAACTTTAAAAAAATGATATTTTGCTGATTATTAGCCAGATTTTTTTACTTTGTAAAACCGATAATGGCTAAAAAAAAAACTGAAAATTAAAAAAAAGATAATTTGATATTTTCGTCAATTTTCGGCAAAAAATCTAGCTCTGGCGAGGAGTCGAACCCTCTACCCCTAGATCCACACTCCAGACTCTTAGCCACTCTACCTCGATCTAACGAAAATGAAAGGAATCTCAAAGCCTCAAAAAAAAATTTTTTTACATTTTCGCTGATTTTAAACAAAATTTCCACTTATCAGAACCAATGAGGAGCCTAAAACGAATATAAGTCCAGCAAAAAAAAATCAACCCTGGTCAGGAATCGAACCCTCGACCCCTAGATCCACACTCCAGACTCTTAGCCACTCCACCTCTTCGCTGATCGTCTCCAGGAGCTCGTTGAGTCGCTCAAAAGCCGCCACTTTGCCACGGAAATCGATCATATTTCCCTGGACTTTTATGCATCCGTCCTCTCCGACGTGTTGACTGTAAAATCAGCTTTTTTGACATGTCTGATGGAATATTAAACAGACTTGAAAACATCGTCATTATCATACATAAGGTAGAGCAAGTTCATCATATTCGGCGAGAAACGAGGCTCGTCGATCAATATTTGGGCGTCCATGTCAGTCAAGTGTTTTCTGAAGGATTTTCAGAATTTTGTGAATAAAAAAAATTTTCAAAATGTTCAACTTTGAGTGGAGGAATCGATATTAAACTAAGAAAAAAATGCCGAATTTTTTTGATCCTGTGAAAAAATTAGCCTTCTAATGTCTCAATTTATACCTTTTTCAAAATTTCATTTCAAAACGTCCATTTTTTTAACGTATTTATTGCCAATTATGAATCAAAATAAACTCCAAGAGAAAAAAACACCTGCTGAAAAAAATTCCCGAAAATCTTATTTTTCAGCATTAAAAAAACGACTTTTTTTCTTTCATATTCTCAAATTTTTGGTCAAGCTCAATTTTTTTCGCAATCTTAAAAACTTGATTTTTTTGAATCCGATTGGAATATGTTGAAAAAAAGGGGAATTATCTGGATCCGATTTCATGAAATTATTGGGAAAACTTTCAAAGAAAACAAAAAAATTCAAATTATAAAAAAACGATCATTTTGCTAAAAAAACAGAAGATCAGATCAAATAATGATTTTTAGCCAACTTTTTAAAAATCGTAACATCAAAACTCACAATGGCTTCATATTTCATATTTCTTATAAAAAAATCACAAAAAAAGTTTCTCTGTCGAAAAAAACCCTCAAAATCCGTTAAAACAGGCCATTTTTTTGGCTTTTTTTAAAACTCTCATTCCCCTAAACCACCCCCCTCCAAAAAAACTTTTTTTCCCCTAAAACCAAGAAGTCCTGCATGGTCAAACTTTCAGAATCTTTTTTTCTGGTACACCAAGGAGTTTACTGGTCATTTTTTTCAGGTAGATCCCAACAGCAAAGTAAAATGACCTTCCTTCTGAAAAATGAATAAAAACGAACGATTTGTGGAACTTTTCGAGTTCGCCCTTCACAAGGCCAACGACTTCATCCCTGCCGAAAAGCGCGATTCTCTCATTATACAAATCGATATCCATCACAATTTTGCCCTGCTGCCATTGGACCAACGTTTCGGCCAATTTCAATCCGGGCCTAAAGTCGGGAAATGAAAACAGAAATTTTTTCTGAAAATGGGACTTTTTTCAATTTTCTTTTTGGATTTTGATGAACTTGATGAACTTCTGATTCCAAGAAAGGCAATAATTTTTTTCGCAACGATGCTTCAAATTTGACAAACTACCAGAAAAAATGAAAAAAGCGTTATTTTAAATCTTCAAAACTCAAAAAATGAATCTACTTTTTTTAAAAATTAGTCCCTTTTTTAAAATCAGAAGTCCCTAAAGAACACTCCGTCAAAAATTAATCCTTAAACTTTTTTTTTTGAAAATTTCCTTACCCATAGAGCAGACAAGCACTTTCTCCACTGCAGTCGATGAATATCGGGGCGACCGCGTTAATTAAGTTATTATAAACGTGGACGACGTACCTGAAACAGTAAAAATAGTGAAAAAATATGTTCTGATTGTCCAAAACTAGAGAACACTGGGAAACAAGAGAGAGTTCAGAGAAAGAAAACCACCTGCCCTCTTGTTTTTGAACGCTCTCTAACTTTCAAACTCCGACTTTTAGAGAGTACTGGGGAACAGGAGAGTGTACAGAGGAAAAGGGCTCTCATTTTCAACTTCCAAAAACTAGAAAGCACTAGTAACCAAGAGAGCGCAGAGAACAAAAATACTCTCTCATTTTCTAACGCTCTCTAAATTTCAACTTTCCAAAAACTAGAGAGCACTGGGAAACAAGAGAGCGTTCAGAGAAAAAAAACGTTCTTTCCCATTTTTGGATGTTCTCAAAAATCGTAAAAATAGCAAATTTTAGGCCAAAAAAAGAAAAATCCTCAAAATTCACAAAAACTTTCCAGACTCTTAGAAACTTGAATACAAAATTTCCTCAGAAGATTACATTTTTGAAAACAAAAAAAGGTCTCAAGACGAAGAAACATTCACGCAAAATCCTAGAAAATCATGCGCCTTTAACCTTCTTTTCAAGTAGTTCTAGACCTATTTTCCTCTATAAAAATCATTATTTTCGGTGTTTTTTTAATATTTCCACTATTTCGACCCAAATCACGAGCTTAAAAGTCCATTTCCGTCGTTCAAAACTCACTCATGAGGATATCCTTCAACGATAATCGATCCAAAATCGTTATTGACACAGAAATCGTCAATTAATCGGACATAGGTGAACTCGCAATCCTCACGAATTTGCTAAAAAAAATCACAATAATCATTGGGAGATTAACTCACCGTTTCGCCACGGAACCCTTTCTTGTGGTGTCTGCAGCTATTGATCTCTAACTCATATTTTCGATTTTTAGAGTCAAAATTCCCAAAAAATTATTATTGTTCGTCTATTTTCTGTTCACAAATTTCGAAAAATTTGGGATAAAAATATAGATCGACGAGGGGTTGAAGAGACGTCAGAGAAGAAAAGCCGTCTCGTTTCTCTGGCGTCTCTTTGGGAGCTAGTGATCTCTCGCTCACTTTTATGCGATTTTTAGAGTTAAAATTCTCAAAAAATGTCCTTTTCCATACATTTTCTGTGGAAAAATTTCGGAAAAGGCTATTTTCTCGTGAATAATTTATTGAACAGGTTCAAACAAACTCGATTTGGCCCAAAGTGTAGCGAATCCTTTTCGAAATGTTCAGGTAGCGACGGACGGATGGTATCAGTCGAACCTGGAAAAACTCAATGAAAACTTTTTTTTTTGCTTTTTTTTATTAACAAACAAAGTCAACGGAAAATGGGATTTTTAAAAATTTTATTTTTTCGACTGCTTTCCCCAATTTTTCCATAACAAACATCATTGCCTATTAAAACTATTCTCACTAAAGCTCTAGAAAAAATTGAAGAAATTTCAAAAAACTTTATTTTTCCAAGGTTATCGAACCTTTGATAAATTGCATTCTCACATGATTTTTTTGTCTTAACTAACAATTAACTTTATAAAAAAATCATATGAAGAAAGTTCTAATTGAAAACTTATGATTACAAGTTCAAGAAGGTTCAGAAAAAAAAAATCGGAAAAAAAAATTTTGGTCTCAAATCAAAATTGGTAGCGATCCTATCCCATAGTTCCAGTTTCAAATGAAAAACTCAAAATTTGAACCAAATTCAGCTCTTTTTCGTCTAAAAACGAACCCCGCGACGGTCCTTGCGGATGAGGGAGAAAAACTGAGTGCTGGGCATCTCTTTGGTCAGTTTCTTGACCATCGCCTGTCCGAAGACCCGATCGTGGAAATCGACGCGAATTCGGCTTTCGCCCGGCGGGTTATCGTAGTTCATTTGAGGGCCCATCGTCCACGGGTGCAGGCTTTCGTCTTCGGCAATCTTCAAAAAATGACCAATAATTTATTGACAGATCAGTGTTAACCCTTAAGAGCTCCCTAGGATCTGAAATTCGATAATAATAATTAAACAAAGTTGAGAGAGGAAATATTAGAAAAAGCACTTTTTAAAACGTTAAAAGTTCAATTTTTGAAAGTTAAAAAAAATCATGCATCGGCCTCATTTTTCAAACAATCAAAAGGGTAAAAATTTCGAATTACTTGGTTCAAAAGCGATTTCTTCCAAATATTATCCTACAAACTTCAAAAAGGATCTCAAAAAACTATAAAAGCGCTAAACAAGTCAAAAAAAAATTAATTAAAATGAGGTTCAAGCCAACAAAAAAACAAAAAGACCCCACTGGATTCGATCCAGTGACCCTCTGATCATCAACAATCTCCTATCCCACTAGACTATTTCGTCAAGGCAAAACCGACCCTGTGAATGTTCTCATAGTCGTCCCTGGCGACCGGCGGACCGCGCCAGATTTTCTCGTCGTTCGCCGTCAGAATGAGCCGTTTCGCGACACGTTGGCGGGAGTCCAAGGAGCTTTTTACCCTGGAAATTATCCGATGAAATCGAAATTATCTTGGCAAAACTCTTTAGTTATGTTATGATTGAGTAGAGAATCTTTTTCTAAGACTGAATAAATTCATATTTTTATTTTTATTCGTTAAAAACGTGGGTAAAACTGCGCATTTCTACTTCAAAATGCAATTTTTCGTCTAATTCCTCCTCAAAATCTACACTCTGACCAAATTTAGCTCTTTTTTTCAAGTTTTAAGTAATTTTCCCGCGCCTCAAAATTTTTGAAACTTGATTTTAGGCTTCAAAAAACTTCTTACGGCCCCTGTAGGGATTTCGAACATGCTAGTGGTCCCTAGAGGGCTTTTAATTCTCATTGAATAAGCGATAATTGAATGAAAAAATTAATTGATCAATTTTGTCCTGTTCTCTTTCGAATCACTTTTAGACCCTATAGGGACCACTTAGGCTTTTTAGACTAAAGGTCAACCTTTTACCCCTCTAGGGACCAAAATTTCGCCCACTACAGGGGCTGTTTTTCTCTAATCCCTCTAGGGACCACTTAAGCTTCCTGAGCTAAGGGATCAGACAATTAAGCCCCTCTAGGGACCAAAATTTCGCTCCCCTATAGTCACTGTTTTTCTCTAATCCCCTCTGGCTTTTCTGAATTTAAAAAAAAAAGATTTTTTTGAGCTCGACCTTTAAGCTCGATAAAAATCAGTTCTATCCAAAATTGGCTCCAAAAATATGATTTTTTTTTTCTGTAAAACCACGAACATGTCCTGCGGTCGATGGAAGTACATCTCGGCGCGTACGAAATCGAGATTGTTGGCCTCGAAAATTTTCTCGAGAAGCCAAACCAACTGGTCCGTCGTGTCGATGACGCTCGGCATGAATTGAAAGGTGATCTGAAAAAGTTTATAAACCACTTCCAAACTAGTCCAATTCATGAAAAAGTAGTCTACTTGAAAAAAAAATAATCAAAAACAGTAACATCATGTTTTAAAAAAAATCCGAAGACACTGGGGAAATTTTTAGTGACTACTATAGGGTTTTGACGTTTTAGTAGCCACTATAGTAGTCAAATTAGTAGCAACTTAAGGGGTCAAAAATTAGTGGCCACTATAGGGTTTTGACGTTTGAGTGGTCACTGTAGTAGTCAAGTTAGTGGCCCCTATAGAGGTCTAAGTGCTACTACTAGACACTAAAAATTTTAGTGGCCACTTTAGGGGTCAATGTATCAACATAACGAGTCCAATAGGTTTGTTTCTAAATTATCAGAGTTATAGACGATTCACGGCTAGCTTGGGACGCAAAAAGGCGTGGCCTGTCTGCACTCTCCGCCAACCAGGGCACTGTCTCGTCTCTTTCCGTGGCAGGACCCTTTTCTCGATGGCTCAAGCCAGCCGTGAATCAGTTATACTGGAAGGAATACTGGATGAAAAACTACTGAAGTGGCCCCTTAAACGGAAAATAGTGACCACTATAGAGGTGGGTTTAGTGGCCACTTTAGTGTCCTCTCCAAGTAGTCCTCGGCGAGCCTCTATAGTGGCCACTAAAAATTTTCCCAGAAAACCCTTTTTTTCGATTTTTGACCCAAAATCTCACCTTTCTCCCGCCCAACGTCTCGCAATAGTCCCGCAGGATCCCGAAGCCATTTCCTTGTAGTACCTTGGCCGCGAAGCCGACTTCATGCGCATTTTTCATCTAAAACAATTCTTCTCATATTTCTTCCTTCCAAAAATGGATCTCACAAGAACGTAGCCCCGTCCGTTTTTCGGCTTTACTGTATAAATAAATTCCGCGGCGTAGGTTTCCACCGGGTCACTGTTATCGTACTGAGGATTGACGAAATGGTCGGGAATCACCTGAAATTTTCGTCTTGCTTTGGAACGCCAGAGTGGTCCCTTGAGGGTTTCGAGCGGGAAAACCAAAATAGTACTTTCTATAGGCGTCAAGGGTCTGCCCATGAAGCTCAAGTGGTCCCTATAGGGTCTTCAATTTTGAATTTTCGTCTTGCCTAGGAGCGCCAGAGTGGTCCATAGAGGGTTTCGGGAAAAACAGCCCCTAGAATGGACGAAAAATAACTCTCTAAAGGGGTAAAATTTAGGTGATCTCTTTAGGGATTCGGGGTCTAACCCATGTGCCCTTGAAGCTTGAGTGATCCCTCTAGGTCTCTTTAAATTATTTGGAATGATTTGGAAAATCAAAAAACCCCCTAGAGTGGCCTTTTTGCGAGCTTTACTATAGGAAAAGGTAAAGTGGTCCCTAGAGGGGAAATCTTCAACTTCTAGAGACCACTCGCGCGTTCCTAAGACAGATTAGAAAATTTTCAAAATGGCTTTTTTTGCCAACACACAGAGAGCACTAAGTTACAGCAAACTTTGTAAAAATTTTTAAAAAAAACCAAAAAATTGTTTTTAGCTGAACTACTTGAAATCCACGAACCCAACTGCGCATCAACTTTTTCTGAGCGTCGGCCCGGAAATCGGAAGAGGAAAATCGGATGAGTACCGCCTGATTGCTCAAAAAGACGTCTTTCATGCCACTCACAGCCGGGTGATTTCTCACGGCGACCGGTAGGATTTTGATCTGTAAAGGGAGAATAATGATAATTGTATATGAATGGAATATCATTAAATATTAAATCAAGAAATTTTTATTTCAACGTTTCTGAGACGTTAGAGATTGTGAGAAAAATTTTAAAAGCTTTAAAGTTTTAGAAATGAAGGCCCTTTTGTACCTTTTTTCAACTTTTTCAAAAATCGGATCGGTTTTTTGAGGAATTGGTAAGGCAGCCAACAGAAAATGGATTTCAAGGAATGACCGTTTTTCGGAAAAACGGAGAAAAAAGAAAAAGAAGAAAATCCAGATTTCAGAACAATAAAGAAATCCGAAAATCAATACTCGGATGAAGTCAGAATGGTAGATAATGGCCGCTAAAAGGGAGAAGCTCAAAAAAAAACCGTAAAAAGAAAGCAAAAAGGCAGCAAAAAGGTAGCAAAAAGGCCGCAAAAAGGGTCCCTTAAAGGGAATCCTTTTATCGAGCCTCCAATTTTTTCTTTGGAATCTGGAAGGCTCAAAAATGGTAGGAAAAGGAAGAGGCAACAAAAGTGGCGCATAACAGAAGATGAAATGATGCAAAACGGCAGCTTTCAAAAATAATTTTACAACGTTTCTTGGCCACCAACCTCCTTGACGCCATTCAGAAAGTCCTTATAATTGTGAATTTCCCATTTTAATTCGTCGAAAATGGCGCAACGCGAATTTTCCCAGGAGAAGTTGATGTTGGGCCTTTCACCGTCTTCCAGTTCGATCTGAAAAAGCGAAATTCCTGTTTTTCAATGCTACACACTCAAATTAATTTTTTCAAAGCTGTAAAAAATAACGAACAACGAAAGGACAATTCAGCGAAGTGAGGTGCAACGGCCGTCGAAATTCCATTCTTGACAACTTTTCTCGAGTTTCTCGGGCTTCGATTTCGTAGTTATTGTCGGGGAACGTCACAGAAACAGAGCGGAGTGGATCCGTCGCCGTGCTGCCCGATTCGATTCTCGCTGCCCACTGAAAATATGGGAAAATTAGGCAAATCTATACTTTGAACATTTTAGGAATTCCAGAGTGGTCCCTATAGGGGTTAGGGGGAAGAAAAACTCTCTATAGAGGCCTAAAAAGTGGTCCCTATAGGGGCTCAGAGTCTGGCTCCCCCCCCCCCTCTCTAAAGCTCAAGTGGACCCTATAGGGGTCGCTCAATCTCGCCTATTTATTCATTTTTTGCATGGAAATGCTTCTTCGCTTAGAGTTCATAACAATTATCGACAAGCATGTCCCCTATAGAGACCACTTTTGCAAGCTTTATTGGTCCCTAGGGGACCCCGCCCCAAAGGTTGCCCCTATAGGGACCACTCTGAAGTTCCCAAGATTGTGTTTTTGTGGCCCTAGCGAGGGAGGTTTGGAATTTTTCTGTTTTTTGATTTTTTATTTACAATCTGGATAAATTCCGATTAGATCATTCGATTGGAAAATTTCATTAAAATCCGGAAAGGTCTTCAAAAAGACTCTCTGAAATGATCCTAGAAAGATACAGAATTCATTTCGAAGCTCTAGTTCCATTTTTTTTTCTTCAAGCAATACGCAAAATCCGGAACGAACTTTCAAAAATCGTCCGTCACATTTTTTTAGAATAGAATTTCTCCCGTGTTTTCCAGCACCTTTTAACCTTCTTAAGAAAAAATCTTTCAACAATAAATTTAAAGAAATTTCACTCGTCTCTGACGTTGTTCCTTGAGGTGGAATCTTTAGCGCGCCCGACCAGAAACTACTTGGTCTCGAGACTATCTTCCACCATAGAAAGTCAGAAAGGTCGGGCGCACTTGCCAAAAAGCAGTGAAGCTTCAAGCCATTCCAAGTGTTGCAAAATCGGTTAAAAGGTGCAGGGAAAAGCCTAAGAATAAATCTTTTTTTCTTATTCAGCCATTCAAACACTGCTCCGACTTGAAAGAAAGAAAAAAAATTCAGAAAAAGGCTCCATAAAACAAAATTGCATTCGACATAGGGTGACAAAAATCCCAGAGATCCACAAAATACCAAAATTGAAAATTTGAAAAAAATAATCTGAGAGAAGTATTCTCCAACATTCCCGCACGAACGAAAACACGAAATTAAGATTTTTTTTCCTCTTGTAAAAATTAAAATTGAGAGCTCACCTATTCAATATCTTGAGAAAAACTTGGAGTTTATTATTTTTACTGATTTTTAATGACTTGAATCGTGCAAAAATAACATGAGCATAACCCCCAAAAAAATAAAATTCAAGAAAAAAATCAACTTAAAACGAATTATTACTTAAAAAAATTCTCCCCAAAAAGCCCGTAAGAAAAAAATTTTTGGATTTTTTTCTTCTTCGAAAAAAATTTTTCAATTGAGACCCTTCTATTGGATTCCATGATTATTTTCAAAAAAATGTCTTCTTTTCCTGATTTGAATGACTTGAATAGTACAAAATCTCATCCCCTAAAATGCTGAAAACCCAACAAAAAGTCGACTAAAAACATAAATTCATTCATATATTCTCCCGAGGCGTTAAACAAAACTTTTTAGAGTACAAAAAAAACTTTTTGAGATTTCAAAAGAAAGAAAAAAAGGATTAACATGAAAAATCGGCTCCTGCGGCTTCTGCTCCAGTTTCCTACACGCAGCCGGGCTCGTTGCAACTCGTATTTCCCGTTTATTCATCTAAAATGTTCGAAACTGAACTTCATATCACTCCTAAATGATTGGAAAAAGCTGGCAGATAGGCAAAAAACTTTTTTAAAGCTTGCTTGGGACAAAAGCGGGGTTAACTTGGGACATTAGAAGCATAAGAACTTTGTTAGAAGCTTGGGACAAAAGCGGGGTTAATTCGGGACATTGGGACATGGGAAGCATACGAAATTGTCGATTAAATGCAGATCATTCATAGGAAATTTCGAAAAAAATAATCTTGCGATTCTATTTATTCATAGCCGAAAAAAAGATTATAAAGTCTTTAAAATTACCATTTTTTTCTATGAAAATTATTTTTTTGTGTTAAGATTTTTTTCCACGTCAATAAAGGACATGCGAATTATCCCTTTCTCATTATTCAATCATCAAAACAAATACTCCAAGAAAATTTGAAAAAAATTTGAAAAGCTCGAGAGCTTGATATCATACTGAAAAGCTCAAACTTCTCTAAAAAAATTTTTTCCACCAAAATTTAAATTAATACTCTGAATTTAACATAGATAAAGCTTTATACTTTTTAATTTTTTTAAGGTTAAATTATCATTTCAATCGAAAAAAATGTCAATAAAAAAACGAACACAGACATAAAAACATGCAAATTTTTCAGAGGGGTCCCTGAAAATTGAGGAAAAAAATTCGAAATTTCAAATTTTTTTGCTAAAACAGAAGATCGTATTCATCAAGGTTTGAAAAGAAAATATTTTGTTTATTCTTAAAAAGTTCGAATGTTAAATATTTTCCCACAAAGCCCCGAGTGTAGAACTTCTCAGCTTCTAGAGAAATTTTCGACTGCGAACAATAGTTTTTTTCAAAAATTCGAGTCTGACATTTGAAAATTTTCTGAAAAGCATCTGAAAAACTTCAAAGGGGTCCCTATAGGGAGTTTAATAGGGCCCTCTCCCTATAGGGATCCCTAAAAGGCTTTCGTAGAGGTCCCTATAGGAGTCAAATTTGAAAAATGTAATAGAAACTTTGTGGGCGTAAAAAATTATTTTCAAACCTTTTTTTTTTCAATCGGGAAAATTACTTCAAAAAAAAACTTGGAAAAACAATTTATGTGCTTGATTTCATTTTGATTTTCCCCCACCCCCCGTCAAAATTTGCCATGGTGGGGGCTGTAACCGGGCCCCCCACCAAAAAGTCCCGTCGAAATTTGTTTTGAGGGGGGTGGGAGTTCTAGAATTTTTCCCAATTTTTCGATTAAGAAGTTTACTTCCTTCCTAATTTCTGTTTCACTTCTTGGATCCTCGTTTTCAAAAAACGAAATTTCTGGAGTTCACTTTTCAGGGACCCATCCTTCTTTTTCTCGCTTTTTCCAGCCTCTCAACCAACCAAATAATACTCGCGCACATGGCGTTTTTGCTGTCGCGGCAGGTTCTCGATCCGTTCGCGAATGGTTTCGCGTGGGATTTTCTCGAAACGAGCCCGAGAAGCCGAGGAATTGCCGGCGAACCGATTGCTATGGAAAGTCACTTCAGGGCCGACATGATTCGTTCGATATTCTCGTTTCGAGTCAGCGACCTGAAAAATTTGAACCCCTTTCTACACGGTTTTGATTTTTTTCAATTTATATTGTTTTTATTTTTAAGTTCCTTGCTTATCTTTTCTGAAAAAAACAGAAAAATTTTTTTCAGTTTTGCAACATTTCGAGGTATACTTTCCGGTAATATTACAAAATAATAAGATTTTGAACTGTTTCTAAAAAAATATTGAAATCGTTCTGAGTGATATCTAGACACAAAAAAACTGTCATAAAAGCTAAAATAGGGCTTAGAAAACGAGTATTTCAAGAATTTTTTTTCCAAACGATTTTTGAAACTTTTCAAATCGTTTCAGGCTATTCTAGACACATAAAACCATCATACATGCAAAAATACAACTCTAAAAAACGAAAAAAAAAAAACTCAATTTCAAGTCATTTTCTCATCATTTCGAGACTTTTTTCTAAGACTTATAAGCGAAACGTCAAACAAAAAACTGACAAGTTTTGGATTTCATGACATTTCGCGACATTTCGGAAAAAATTTTTTCTTTTAAAGAAGGATCAAAATATTGGAACACATTTTAGAATGATTGAAAGTGTTGTTAGAAACCCAACTATTAGAAACGTAAAAAAAACGACAATTTTTGAATTTCGCTACATTCCGAATCACTCAATTTTTGAAATTCAGTGCATTTTCGTTACATTTCGAGGCTTTTTTTTTCAGAAAATGGAAAAATTTTGAACGATTTCTGGAACCTTCTAACGCTTATCGAGGTACGTGAAACTATTAGAAACATTCAAAAAATGACAATATTTCAATTTCGCGACATTTAGCTCCATTTTGAATCAGTCAATTTCTCAACTTCAGTGCATTTTCCGTTCACTTTGAGGTCTTTTTTCAAAAAATGAAGAAATTTCGAACGGTTTTTATAACCTTCAAAGGCTTATCTAAGCTACTAGAAACGTAAAAAACTTTTTTTTCTAAATTTCGTGACATTTCGAAGCATTTCTTTCATTTAAAAAACAAATAAATACAATTCTTGAACGATTTCTAGCGTGATTGAAAGGTTAATAAGGCTTATTTAAGGGAATCCAACTATTCGAAGCGTGACAATTTTCGAATTTCATGACATTTCACGACATTTCGGATCAATTTTCCTCACCAGGGCTCCCGGCCGAAGGAACGGCACCACGTCTTTGTCTTCGGGCAGGATGAAGCAGGGGACTTGATGATATTCGACGTAGGCCACTTTTTCCTCCATCCTCTTCTGGGTCCTCAGAAACTCCCTCATGCCCGGCTCTTCATCTGATCGATTCCAATCGATCGAAGGGAATGGATCTCCCCAAGTGGGCTCCGAGTAAGGCGTCCGGCTCTGGAAAAACTCGGGTTTCTACGCAAAAAAGTGAACACTCGGACATTGGTAACGCGAAACGGACGTGCTCCGGACGTTTCTGGGCGATTCTAGGGATCCCTTAAGAGTTCTGAGGCTACTAAAGTGGTCACTAGAAATGCTACGACACGTCCGATTCGCGTCCCGTTCGCGTTACCAAGGTCTGAGCAATTCTAGATTTATCTATAGTCCAACCGCTCGACAGGTTTCAAAATCCCAGCAGAAAAAAATCTACCCTAAAATTTTTTTTCTGGTACTTTGTCTTTAAAAAACCATAGGCAAGGTCGGAAAACGTTCCTTTTAGGGTAAGGGCCATTTCATCGGCTTTTACGCACCATTTTTGCAGCCTCTCCCTTTTCCCACCATTTCTTGAGGCCTTTAAAATCCAAGAAAAAATGGAAGGCTCGATAAAGGGACCCTTTTTGCTGCTTTTCTGCGACCTTTTTCCAGCCTTTTTGCGGCCTTTTTCTTGCCTTTTTTGAGCCTTTTAGCGATTATTATTCACCATTCCGACCTTGCCCGAGTTTGCAAAAGACTGCAAAAAATGGTCTCAAGCAAAATATTTTCAAATTTGATACTAAGTCCATTCAAGGCTAGCTTGAGATGAAAAGGGGCGTGGCCTGTCTGCACTCTCCACCAACCAGGCACTATCTCTAACTTTTTCGTGTCAGGACCATTTTTTCAATGGCTCAAGCTAATGGTGAATCGGCTACATGAGCTAATTTCTACAAGAAAAAAGGACTAGAAAAAATGTCCTATATTCGGTTTTTATTAATTATTCGCACGATTCCGAATTTCCGAAAAATACTCCTAAACTAAACATTCCAAAATCCTCAACTTCCAAGTTTTCGAAAAAAAAACTTTTGAACCAAACGAGCCATCAAAAGCTCGTAAAATAGGCCATTTCGAAAATTTTAGTCCTCGAAAACTGGAAATTTTTGAAGTTTGAGGTTCTCAGTTTCTCAAAAAAAGTTCGGCTGATAATTTTTTTATAAAAAAACTAGTACTTCTTTTCCCACTTCTCTGAATGAAAAAAACTTATAAAAAAATGTTGAAATAATCAATTTTTTTGTGAAGAAATTCCAATAAAAAAACATCTTTTTCGCAAAATGACAGCTTGAACTGAATAATAAAAAAATTGCAGAGAATGATTTTTTTGAAATTAAAATAACAAAGCATTATTTTTTTCTTCAAATAAATCCATTTTTCTTTTTTTTTTCGACTTACCGAGGAGCAAAAATCCGACGTGGTTGTGGAGGTTGACGGCGTGTTCCAACGAGCGGCTTCCAAAGTTGGGAAGTCCTTAAAAAAATATGATTTTTTTCAGTTTCATCCAAAAACCCACCACTTCCCAGTTATCATCCCTGAGCGTTGATTTCATGGTGTTTTTTTGTGTTATTCTGAAAAAAAGCATTTTTTGAGGGGGATCACGAGGCGTTACTCATAATTCTGATTTCGATAAGAAAAAAAATAAAAAAATATATCTGAAACAGGCTTCAAAATCCAGAAAAATTGCTCGGAAAATGAAAAATATATGATCCGTGATATAGATAAAATGCTTAGAAAACGAAAAATGTTTTTTTTTCAAAGTCATTTTTTCGCACAATTTGTATTTTTTTATGCGTCTGAATAAGCTTTAGAACAGCTCCAATCACTTTAAAATCCTTTTAAAACGTCACTTATTTTTTTGTTGAAAAATTTAATAAAATAAAAAAATTTGAGGCAAATCACGATGTATCATATTACCCATATCGAAACACCCCGATAAGAAAAATAATCAGAAACTCGCCCATGCGGAAGACATAATTCTGGGCTTTTTGATAGAAAAATGAGAGAATCGATACAAAAAGAGAAAAGAAAGTGAAAACGTGGCCATCGAATGATCTATTTCGAAAAGGCAAATATTGGGGGAATGGTCGATTTTTATGGATCTTCATCTTTATTTGGTTACAATAAAATTGTCAAAATATTTCTTTATTTCAAAATCAGCTGAAGCATCAGTGAAATCAAGAAAAATCTGTGGCTTTGGATTTTCTCGAATATTCAATGGACGAATATAAAAAAATTCTTTCATTTTCTCAGTTCTATCAAATTTTTTGCTGAAATTTTGTGGAGTATCTTTGGAACGCTAAAGTGGTCCCTATAGGGGAACCCTTAGGAAGGTCCCCTCTAGGGACCATTTCACCAACTCATATAGGGACCAGTAAGGATTTAAAAACATTTCATTTTTCCATCAATAAGTTGAGAAAACTTTATCGTATTTTCAATGATCGAATACGTTTCAGAAAAGTTTTCAAAAACAAGAAAATTTTTTAGTTTTATTAATTCCATCAGGAACATGACACAATTCAAGAAAAAAAATTTATGGAGTATGAGACTCAGGATCCTACTGAATAAAAACAAAATTTAAAAAAAAATTAAAAAGACAAGAAAATGTGATAATTTCTCATTACTGAGCCATCATCTCAATTATTTCGAAGAGTTTCGAAAATATCGGGGAAGTCAGTATGATGCAAATTTTTTTCCTTTTTTTTTTTCTCAAACTAGCCTAATTAACAGCTAAATTCTTAGAAAACGCTCGACTTGTTAAGAGATAATTATTGATTGAAAAAAAGTGGAAAATTACTCTTCGTAAATTTTAGACATTTTTGCAGCGAAATCGCAAAATTTATGAATGCGAACTTGGCTTGCTTATTTTCAATTATTTCATTTTTCATCGAAGCTCATCTAAACAACAGGAAACGTGTGCAAATTTTGAGAGGGAACAGCCGCATTCTGGTTGTAACACTCCCACAAATGAACTATTCCAATAGAAAAAAAAGAATATTTTCTAAATGAAGCACAGCAATGAATCATAATTTGGCAGGAAAAGCAAAGATCGCGGCTTGCCGTTGTGATGAACAGCATTTCAATCGATGATTAAAACCGCTCCAAAGAGAGGCAGAAAAAGTGGAAATTGACAAATCGGAGTTGAAATAAGATGAATACAGAAGTTCCCACCAAGAAAAGTTGTTCTCTCTGACGAGAGGACGCCAAATTGATAGGAAAAGAAGGAACAAATGACGCTGGGAGTTGTATAGATCGCAGTTTTCGCACATTCGGGGGCGTTTGCGCGTGAGGCTCGCCGCATTCTCCGCGACTGCTTACCGTATGACTTTATTCTGCCGACCGGATTTTTTTTTCAATTTTTCGATGTATTTCTTTATTTATTTTATTATACAAAGCTTTTTTGTAGAAACATGGGTTGGCTGCCGCAGGACTGGCGCCTGGATCACGAAATGTTGATCGACGCCGGAGGCCAGCTGCAAAGGATCCGAATGTACCCGTACTTTGACACCGCTCATTATCTCTTGGTTTTTTTCTTCATTTTATATTTTTTAAAATGCAATATTTAGATGTGCTTGTCGGTACGGGATGATTTGGGTCCGACGGGGGTCGCATTTTCGCGACGTCATCCGTTCTCCTGCTGGCTTTCTTCAATGCTGATGTCCTTTGCCGGCAGCTTCTTGTCCAGTTTCCTACTTGGAGAACCAATTATTTCGCCGATGAAACGGCATGACGATGTTCTTCTGGTACACGAAAACCAAACTTTTTGATGTGTTTCTCAAAATTTGAGGCCTCGATTATTTGGTACCTGGTTTTCTACTCGCCTTTTGACGTCGTGTACAAATTGGTGAAGTTGACGCCGATTAGAGTTGTGATCTCAATAATTAAGGAGGTTCAAAGAGCACATAAGGTGATTTTTCGGGATCTTTTCAAGGAAGAGAGCCATTTAAGTGTTGCTTTCAGCTCAAGGAAATATTTTTGAGTATAAAATGAATAATTTAAGATTTCCCATGGAGTTTCCTACGCGGCTCGGCTATACCCGGAATCGTATCTAGTTCAAATTCTAGTCGGCGTTTCGAAAGGAGCCGGCTCAGGTGTCGTGAAAATCGTTGAGCAGGTTAGATTAATATCATTGTTCTGGATAATTTTTCTATTTTTAGCTCGTCCGTGGTTCCTGGGCTCCGAACCAACACGAAATGTTGCGCCCGTCTTTCACCACGAAAGCCTGTGTAATCGCCTCGATTTTGTTCACTTTAGAGCGTCAGAGTATGTACGTCACGGCGCCTCACGATTTGGTGTACTTGGTTTGTTTATTTTCGAGTTTTGAGCTGCTAAAATTTCGTTTCCAATGTTTCAAACCGGAAATTCGTTGTTTTCAGTGCGTCGTTGGCTTTTTCGCCTACTTCAAGTTGGCGGCTCTTCTCTTGGGAGTCACCGATCCGTTGTCTCCGGTTGAAAACGTCATTTGTGCCGTTCTGATGGGCGGTGTCTTCGACGCCCTCGCCAGGTTTTTTTCTATCCAATTTACTCCTGAACCAGAACGGAGAAGTTGACAATAGGAAGTTTTATGCCGTACAACGCATTATTTTGCGCGCCCATCATGGTTCGCACCATTATTTTTGACGCCGTTTAATAATTTTAGGCACCCAATTATTTTTTCGCACCCAAGCAGTTTAAGGCATCCAAACGTCTCACCCAACATAATTGCCTATATCGTAGCGGGCCGCAGGCGATATGGCGAAGGGTTCTCGCTGCGACCTCGTCAAAGTCTCGCTGCCATATCGCTCCCTCTCAAAAACTTGAAATTTACAAAACATCTTTTTTGATTTGTCTTCGACTTTTATGGTGTAACGAATCTAATGAAAGAAAAAAAAACATTTTTGAAGGAAAATTTTTCAGAAAACGATATAGCGCAAGACGTTTGCGAGGTCGCAGCGAGAGGCGAGCGATATTGCTCGCGGCTCCCCCGCGGTATAGCGTTGCGATATAGTCCACAAAATTGGGTGATCATAAAACTTATGAATTTCATACCAAAGGATTTTCGGCTGATACTTTTTTTGAACCATGCACTTCCGAACCATTGTTTAAGGGTACCTACGCTGAGGGAAACCACCATCATGCTTACCAAAATCAATAATTCGGAAATATTCGGAAATTCATGGGAAGTTATAAATTTTTATCAAGTTGTATGAGACTTTTGGTGCGTTGAACTGCTTGGGTCCGAAAAATTATTTACCGGGCTCAAAATTTGGTGCGTTGGACCGAATTTGGACTTCTTCCAAAATTCTAAAAGCTACTCAAAAACTTTAAAAGCTCTGCTCCAATAAACCTTGAAAATTACCATGCTCCTTCAAACTTCAAAAAGCACCCCTAAGACTAAAAGTGTCGACTCCTCTGAACCTTTAAAAACTCCTATAAATCTTTTGAAAATAACTAAAGAAACTCATTTCCCGTTTCAGAGCCGTCGAGTCGACGAAAGAAGCCGTCCAGAAAAAACGGCAACCCACCGAAGAAGAAATCCTCAGCAAAGAACGGGAAAAAGAACTGAAACGAAAAAAGTTGTCCGCCGCTGCGGCCAACGGTTCGGATAAGAAGAACAAATAGAACTAACATTTTTGATTTGTTGTATATAGCCCAATAATTAACGCTTTCATGCTACTTCGCGCATATCCTAACCTCTTTGCTTCACTTAGTCGCTATTTTAAAGCATAATAATTTCTTTGTTATCTCTTTCTTTGATTGCTTGTAGAGAAATTTTGGATTCGATCGATATATTTTGCTCAAAAGCATTTCTCCGTTAGAAATATCACTTAGAACATTTTGAATGTTTAGCTCCTTTTAAGGTTATATTTTTTTCGCTGCTTTAATCAACTAAAAGAAAACTTTATAGGCAAAGTCGGGAAGGGTCCATAGAAATGTTCCTTTCAGGGTGACAAAGGTCCCTTTTTGCGCCATTTTCTCGGTCCTTATGCACCATTTTTGCTCCTTCTTCCTTCTTCCAGCCTTTCTTAAACCTTTAAAATCCCAGAAAACATAAAAGGCTCGATAAAGGGACCTTTTTTGCTCCCTTTCTGCGGCCTTTTTTGAGCCTCTCCCTCTTAGCGACCATTATCCACCCTTTCGACTTTGCCCGAGTAAAAACCATAGCGAGATTTGTTTAGTTTCACCGTATTTTTATAAAAATACAGCTTGCCTTTAAAAAAAACTAACAATTTTCAGTTAATACCAACTCTTATCAGTTATTCCTAGTCTTGATGTTCTCTGCTTTAGTATTTTTCGTTTCGATTCCCCTTTATTTTCATAGCTTTCAAACGTTTTCTTCGGTTATTTCGCGATTTTCGGGTTCCCATACCGACCAATTCATATTTAGTTGTTATTCTTTGTTTCTTTTCTACTTTATTTTTTTAATTTTTTTAACTGAAACAAGTATGAAATAAATTATTGAATTTCGTTTTGCATTCCTTTGTGGTTACTGTTCACGACAGAGTTTTCTTATTTTCAATGAAACGAGAAAAAAGTGGATTTTCATGTCTTTTTCAGATGCTCAACCAGGATTTGAACGAGTTTTTGAGTTTGACCGTGGATTTTAATTTAGAGAACGAGGAGAAGAAAAAAGGTTGGTTCGAAACGGACATTTTGAATAATTTTTCTGTATTTTTTTGAAATATTTATTATTATGCGTGTTCAAAGTAATTTCCGCGAAATGCAAAAGTTATTTCTGACTCTCCAAAATTTAGTTATCTTTTTCTTTCTCTGACCGATATTTTGAATGTCACCATAAAACTTCAAACACGGCATTACTTTCAAAACTTTCAAGTCAAAATTAATTTATTAAAAAAATTTGGACGATATTTAAAAAAATTACCGATGGATAATATATACATAGTTGTTATAATTTTTTTTTACGTTTTTTTCGGGAAAAATGCATTTTTTCAAAAGATTTTTCAGGTCCCATCGAACTTTCGTTGCAATTATGGGACAAAAAAAATTCGAAAACGCCGATTTCCACGAGAAAAGTCCCCTGGTCCAGTGGGCAACCTTTACCCAACCAGGTAGAACTTTCGTTTCTTCAATAAATTTGAAATACTCGGTTAGATAAACTACAACGAAGTGGAGGAACAAGTTCAAATAATTGGCAGTACGACGATTGCCAGGATTCCGATGTCGTGAGTTTTAGAATTGGAAGAAATATTTTATAAATGATTTTTCCATTGAAAATCTTAAGGTCTATGCTATGCATAGGCCGTAAAGGGAAGGAAATGTGAGAATTTTCTTTTATTCAAATCTTGTGGAATAAAGTAAGAAAAGAAAGATGAGAAAGCTTCTTTAGAGATATTTTTGAAAGAATTGTCAAAAAATCGTTTACGCTGCTTGAATGTCCTTGCATTTCCACCTGAAAATGGTCCATTTTGCTGCCTTTTTGCGTCCTTTTATCGACCTGTTTTGACCCTTTTTCCACTTGTTCTTGTCCCTTCAAAACTCTGGGAAATCGAAAATCAGCGGTTTGCCTTAATATTTCTTTGTTTTTACCATTATTTAATTTTTTTTTTAATTCCCTTCTTCACTGAGATGTAATCAATGGCAAATATGAAAAAAAAGATACATTTTGCTGCCCTTTTGGGCCCTTTTATCAGCCTATATTCCCTTTTTTCAACTTTTCTTGATCTATCTTGTAGAGCTTTTCATTGCGAATCGATCGATGTACTTAAAAAATCACAGATGTAACTACTTTTGAAGAAAAAAGCAATTTTATTTCGAAATTTGCTTTAAATCAGTTTACAGAAAACTGTTTACAGTAGCCGTGAATGAGAAGTTATCGAGAAAATTTTTGAGGAAAATCAAAATCGAATCGATCACGGCGTCGACGGCGGCCAAGCATCGGTCGACACGCGTGCGGACTTTCGAAACTTTTGCCGTCGATCCGGTACCGACCACCGATAATTCCAGTCTTTTTGCTGCCGTTTCCGCAGTCATCGAAAATCCGGTTGAGTATTTTATGAAAGCCTAGCAAAATTATGTCAAGGATTAACGGGAAATTTCGCGATTTCAGCCCAATTATCGACTATAGAAATTAATATCGTTCTAGAAAAAAAAAAGAATTTATGTAATTTTGACGAAAAACAGCTTTCAATGTTTTGAAATCCTCCATTTTGTAAAGATCCTACGTTTATTTCATTTTTTTTTCCAAATCTTTGGTTTTTGTCGACTGATATTCTTCACTTCCAGTCGAAAGGAAAGCGCTGGAACAAGCTGGCGACGGAGCTGGAGGAGCTCAACGTGGCGGAGACGTCGACGAGCAGCCTGACGAACGGATCTCTGAGCTCCGTCGAGCAGACGCAGCTCGTCGACGCCCTTCGGACCCACGTCGAAGATCCCGAAACTGAAAAAGAAGCCTCCCGACGTCTTCTTTCTGCGATCGTCTTCAGTCATCTCCTCACTTTTAGGTTGCTTTTCTAGAATCTGTACTTACTGAACTGAAGTTAAAAGTGTGATTATAATTTTTAAACCAATCTTCCCCGAAAAAAAATTGAAAATTAGGTATAAAACGCCGGACCGCAACTTCATATAATGGTTTTGATTTTTTTGAGAAAAAGTCTCTAATATGAGCAATAATAAGCAAACATGAGATGTTAGATTTTTTTAAAAAAATTGAATAAAATTTATTTGCACCTTATTACAAACTTTGGTTGAGTTTCGTTAAATTTTTCGTCGAGATATAGATTTTTCGAAGGGTTCTACCGTAATCCTTTGAGCCACCGTATCTCGAAAACGGCTCGAGTGATGATATTCCGTCCAAAAAAATCTTGAAAATCGTGTTCTACAACATATTTGATTTGGAGAAAATTTCACCCTAACGCTCATTTTCTTTTTTCCAACTCAGCTTTTTTCCAAATAAGCTCATTTTCCTGTTGTAGAAAATGAAAATCAAAAAAATTAGAACGGATTTTGAGTTTGTGGGAGAAAAAGCCAGAAAATCGAGCCCAGAGTGAGTTTTTCATTCTTAGGAACGCCAGAATGGTCACTAGAGGGGCAGCCCTAAGAGCTCTTATAGGTTCTCCTCAAGGGACTACTTTTCCTCCTTCTATAAGGGTTGCTCAATATCGCAATAGTGGCAACTTTAAGGGAATATTCTAGTGGCCGCTGGATGTCTTGTCACTTCGAAGTCAGAACAAGAAACTGAGAAGAAAATTATAGGGACTACTTAAGCGTCAAAGGTCAGACCCTCAATTCCTACCAAACTTTGAGTTTTTTTTTCTACAGTAAGTCTGAAATTGGGCGGGGTTTAATAAAACCCGGTTCCAAATATTCATGAGGTTCTTCACTTTCTATGACAGCAAGAAGAGCTTCCAGGAACAAAGATGAAATTTTCGTACCAACGGTTATTCGAAAATCTTGGAGAACGTGTGCTAAGCCCTTTAGGGAACACTATCTTGTCCAGGCGCTTTTTTTTTACCACTCTAGTGACCGCTCTGGCGATCCTATGTTGTTTCTTCAATTAAGTTTTGAGCTTTCTGATTCGGTTTCACGGTGAAAAAAGCCTAGAATATTTTTTTTTCCGAATCTTGGCTTTTTGCGGGATTTCCAGGATGAATTGAAATTATTTTACTATGGAATTTTTGAATTACAGAAGCCAAGACGCGATCTTGCGTTTGTGTCTGGCCAACGGTTTCAGCGACGTCGTCGAATTATTACTCTCAACTTCGAAAGAAGCCGTTTCGGAACACGTCTTGGCGGGATACTTGAAATTGGCGGCAAGGTTTTGTTTTTGAAAACTTTTCTTAGGATCCATGAGTTCATTCGATTATTGCTTCACTTGATTTCCAACTTACTTGTACTTAGGAACGTCAGAGTAGTCTCTACAGGGTCTCTTGTAGTACACCCTCAAGGAGCATCTTACCTTCCCTGTAGGGGTTACATAAGTTTGCAAAAGCGGCGGCTTTAGTGTTTAGTTTGTCAAAAAGAGCTTGCTAGTAAATCCTATGCGGCTTTTTAATTTTCAAATCTGAAAAAAAGACCCCTATAGGGACCACTTAACTTTTAGGTTCTTAGAGGTCAAGACCTTGATCCCTAAAGGGACCACTCAAGTTTCACTTCATTAGGGAGAATTTTTTGTCCACTATAGGGACTGCTTCTCCGCAATTCCGTTAGGGACCACTGTGACGTTCTTAATAAATGAATTAGCGTCTTTTGATAGAAAAAATATTTTTCTCAAAGTTCATTGCCTCGCGAAAAAGTTCGTTTTTTTCGAAAATGATTCTAGAAAAAATAAAAATAAAGGGTCTAGGATTGAGCATTTGCTTAAAAATAACGAGATAGCCTCCACAAAAAATCTGTAGCAAGATAGATTTCTTGATTTCCCCTTATTATAATTCATCTTCTGCAGCTCAACCGATGAAAATCGAGCTAATGAGATTATTTACTCGGTCCTGTCGCGAAATTACTCAAGGCCGACCTTCGTGGAAGCCCTGTCGGAACAACTGAATCCAGAAGAAAGCGTCGGGATCATGACCCGATTGGTCGAGATTTACAAGGAATTCGAGCCGAAGAATGCCAAGGATCACCAAGTTTCCACGGATTTCTCGAAAAAGGTTAGTTTTGAAGGGCTGGAAATAGAACAGAAATGAAATAAATGGAATGGTCTAAATGAACCTTTTAAAGACTTGAAAAAGCTCCTAAAATGGGTGCAGGAAAGTTCCCTCCAACCCTCCCTTTTCAAGGAAAAAAACCCTCTTTTTGGCTTTTATTCCAGAGTTTTTTAGGACTTGAAGATTTTCTTTTTTTCAACGCTTTTTTTTCTCCTGAAAATGAATTTTTTGATGGAAAGTCAAGAAAAGGCGTTAGAAACTACTTTTCAAGGCCTTTTCTCCTTTTTAGGTGCTTTTAGATTTTACCTTTCAATGCCTCTGTCCTTTTTCTCCATTCTATTTTTCTCGTTTTTCCTGTCTCTAACTGGAAATTTCATAGTTCATCCTACTGTTTTGTTATTTTGAGAATATTTGAGTTCAAATAGCCATCATTAGCGGCTCAAATAAAAGTCAGGTAAAATTTTTAAGCGAAACTTAGTTCAACTATTTTTTTTTTCATTTGCTCTGTCTCTGTATTTTTTCTTTTTTTTTTCTGACTGAAGTCCTCATCTCATTTTTGCGATTTCAAGGCTCTCCAATTGTTGGCGATTCTTTTGGATTCTCACGGCGCTCGTTTCGTTTGGGAAGATGCTGTACACGAAAAAGCTGGCTCAAATCTCAATTTTTTTGTCAGAAGCATGGTGTGTTTTTGAAGTTTTTCTCAACGAAAAGTTTTTCATGGTAATTAATTTAAAAATTAACAAAAAAAGGTCAAATGAAAAAAATGGTTGCTTTTTTTAAAAAAAATATGAGAAATTTTTCCAGGAAAGTTCATTTCGAAGATACTTTGAATAAAAAGATAGTGGAAAATTTTAGAATTGAAAATTAGTTGAAAACTTGGAAACGCTAGAATGGTCTCTATAGGGGCACTTATAAAAGTCCTTCTAGGGACTACTTCTTATATGCGCCACCAAACCTTGCGAAAGTCACTCTATAGGGACTAAAGCTCTAGGGGCTTAGGGGTCAGACCCTAGAGGGACCACCTAAAATTTACTCCCGGAGGAGGCTTTTTTGTCCTCTAGAGGCTATGCCCTTCTACCCCTATAGGGACCACTTTGGCATTCCTAGAAAAGCAAAAACTGTAGTATTTGAGCACTATTTGGTTCAAATTTTTCAGAATTTTTCATAGTTTTTTTTTGATTTTTTTTCTTTTTCAGAGCAGCCTCGTGGATGCATTCAATAAGTTCGACGCCTTCGGGAAAATTCAACCTCCCGAAGATCGTCAAAAAGTCCGTCGGGTGGTCCTCGTCGAACACAAACTTGCTTGGTGAAGAAGGAAAAATGCAGGATTTTTTGTTGTTCGGAAATTTTCCGTTGTTATCTTTTTGGCTTGGATTTTATTGTTCAAATCGTTTTTTTTTTTTGCTCGTCATAGTTTATTCACAGCTTTTCTGAAGGCGTTGAGCCTTGAACGCGGGATTTTTTTGAATATTCTATGAAAAATTCCGATTTTTCGATATCAAATGAGAAAAAAAGGCTTTTCAAGGTCGTGTAGCAGCTGTATTACTATATAAATTTTCTCAAAACTTTTTTTTTCTATTCAAAATTTGAATTTCCCATCATTTCTCTTATTTTTCTTATTTTTATGCTACCTTCAATCCCTTCTCCGTGCGATCAACGTTGTGTAGAATCGACTATAAAAAATTCCGAGAACATTTTTTGATTTTCCACTTTCTCCTTGTGAAATTTCATTATCAAATTTACTTCAAACCATTTTTTGAGTTCAATCTTTGAATTTTCTCTTCGCTTTTGTTATTTTTGTCTTCCCCTTGTTGTTCTTGTTATTTGTTGATAATTGAAGTTGTTTTTGTCTGAGAGATGAAATTTTTTTTTTGATTTCTAAAGGTTTCTTGGTTGTCCGCTTCTTTTTGAGGTACTTGAAGATGACAAATTTCAAAAAAATAATTTTTAAAAAGTTTCATATTGAAATGATGAAAAATGGCGGCCCCCGCCGACTATTTGCTCAAGGCGTCGGCGGGGATTGATCGATCAAGATTATCCGGTCGGACCGGCGAATTTCAGGTAATTTTTATTTTTGATTTTTAATTCCCGTTATTTTTGTATCTTTTTCTTGCATTTTTGGAGCACTTCTTTTCCAAGGAAAGAATTTTTGTCAATGCTAGAGGAATATCTCCCTTGAGACCTTTTTTTGCCGCTTTGAAACATAAAACATTGAGAAGGGCTTTTTTTGAGGATCAAACTGAATTCAATTTTATTCTTCATAGTTTCATTTTTTTCATACAACTGGGTAAATTTTTAAGTGGCTACTATAGAGGCTCGCCAAGGACTACTTGGAGAGGACACTAAAGTGGCCACTAAACTCACCTCTATAGTGGCCTCTATTTTCCGTTTTAGTGGCCACTTCAGTAGTTTCTCATCCAGTATTCCTTCCAGTAACTATGATAATTTTAAAACAAACATATTGGACCAGTTATGTTGATCCATTGACCCCTAAAGTGGCCACTAAAATTTTTAGTGGTCTAGTAGTAGCACGCAGACACCTAAAGAGGCCACATATGCTTAACTCCTTAAGTGGCCGCTAATTGGACTACTATAGGGGCCACTAAACGTCAAAACCCTATAGAGGCCACTAAAATTTACCCAGAAGGCTTCAATTTGAATTCAAAAAGAGCCTCCGGTCTTTGTACAGAAGCCTCACGTAATCCGACAAGAGAATTGTCAAAGGGGCACACTTTCTCGAACTTCGTTGATTTTTTTTTTCATATATCTTCTCGGACAATTGATAACAAGCTCCGGACGTTTCTGAGCAGTTCTAGGGATCACTTAAGAATGCTGACGCCACTAAAGTGGTCACTAGAAATGCTCCGACACGTCCGTTTCCGAGTTTTTTCTTCTTCTTGGGAGTTTTTTCATGCCCATTTGGAAGCATTGGGATCTCACTGTTTTTCTTTTCTCTTTTGCAATTGAACACAGAACAAAAAAACCCTCAGCTGCTTTTAAGAGCATTGGGCTGGTACCTGGTATTGTGTAGTCTGCCTCGAAGTTGATCGAACTCGGTCCGTCATGGATCTGGTTGAAGACGTCGTCGGGTTCTCGAATAAGGAAGATTTCTTGTTACCTGAATTTTCAAAGATAAAAGAATCTCCGGAAAAAGAATATAAATACAAAAGTTGAATTAGAAAGAGCTGCTCCTAAAATTTTCTAAGCAGTTTCTATACTTATTTTTCTAATCCACACGAATCTTGCTATGGTTTTTTTCTCACGCAAAGTCGGAAGGGCGGATAATGTCCTCGAAAAGGGAGAGGCTCGAAAAAGGCAGCAAAAAGGGTCCCTTTATCGAGCCTTTAATTTTTTCTGGGATTAGAAAGGCTCGAGAAATGATGAGAAAATAAAAAGGCAGAAAAAATGGTGCATAAAAGCCTGTAGTTGTGCACTCACTGGGACGAAAGTGATGGTAAAGTGGAATTAAAGCTCGTAAAACCTTCGTTCTCATGACACCGTGCCGCCCTTGCAAATAAGAGTGCGCGCAGATTGCATGAGATTTTGCAGAACCAAATTTTCAGTGCAAAAAATTTTGCTTCTCGATTACTTTTAAATATTGTTTTCTTCTCTTATTCTTAATATTTTTTTTCTGTTTTCGCGTATGAAATGGCGTAAAAGCAGCAAAAAAGGAAAATTTCCAAAGAGCCTTTTTCCACCCTTTCAGACTTTGCCTATGAATGATACCGGATCAAGGTTTTTCGGAATGTTAATAAGATCAAGCCTTCTTTTTTTGAAAATTTCTCGAAGCTAACCTCACATCAATTGTTCCAGTAGTAAATATCCGATTTTCAGTGCTCCAGAAGTTCTTTCTGAAAGAAAAGTAATTAGAAGAGAATTGTTTAGATAACAAACTGCATTAATTGAAGTTGGCGTCGAATCTCCATCGATTAGAAATTTTTCGTTGAGAGCTTCCTGCAATAATTTTAAAATTAAAATAGAGCAAATCGATTGTTCATTATTCAAATTGCATTGTTTTGACTGATTAGCTATGTGAAGTCATAAGTAAGCTAAAGAAGCTTTATGCAGTCAGAAGAACTAACTAGGCGGTGCGCTAGAGCTCCACTCGGCCTTGTCAGAACTAAGTATCCTAGACGCCGAAGGCCGTGACGGCATTTTCCCTGGGGGTCCCATCATCGCTTTGTCAGCATCGCGCTGCCAACAGTTTATGCTTCAGCCACAGGAATGGGCTTCGGCGTGACTTTGCGTATCCAATTTGCAAGCAAAAAGGATCGGCACTCCGGGAGTCCCACGGGCCTATTCTACTAGCGCTTACTACTAAGAGAACTATTTTGGAATTTAGAATGTTTTTGGAAGTTTAAAACTCATCTTGACGTTTAAGTGCAGAAGCAGTCGTGAAGGAAAGATAAATGATATTTGAACCCAGGTCAAAAAAGAAGAAATAACACGTTGCCACGTGGTTTTTTGTACGTGTTATTATTTCCGATATAAAATGTCGGGTTCACGTTTCTTTTTTGCAGAGAATGAAAGTTTTATTCTGCAAAAAAATTTTGGGTCATATGACGTGAAACGTGGAGTTTTTTTTTCCACGTTTTTATTTTTTTTTTTCGTTTTTTTTAGGAAAATTATAACTTACCGTGGAATGGCCTCGGGACGCAGTGTGATAATTTTTTTCACGCTGATTCCAATTCTTATATCAAAAGTTGCTCAATACGTCTGTGAAAAGAGTTGTGGATCCTGGAAATAGCACGTAAACAGGAGAGGGGGGGCGGGGGGAATAACCGCCTTTGGCGAAGTAGAAGTCCAAACGTGTAGTTGATCAAATTGAAAGCATGGTCTTACGGTTCTTCGCCTTGTTCTTCTGCGCATAGTTTCTTCAGTTTCGCTTCGACGAGCTCAGATTTTAGTGAAACTGGAGCCCGGAGACCGCTCTCTAGGTCGGAGCCTCGAAAGGAGAGCGACCATTTCGAGTGAAGATTTTACACGGAACTTTTGATGGTTTTTCGACAAAATCTGCCAAACAATTCAAAGTTCTCTCTGGCCTGTTTCCATGGAATTTCTGAGTTCAAAGAAAACTGACCTTCACTGGTGAAAAAAAGAAATGTAAATATTGAAAAATCCCTCACGAAGGTACTTAGAAATTCTTGAGTGGTCCCTATGGGGGTTAGAGGAAGAAAACAAATATTATGGTTGCCGAAGAAGCCGTCTCTAAAGGGGTAGAATTGAGATAGACCCTAAAGGAATTTAGGGCCTGACCACTTAGCCTCTAAAGCACAAGTGGACCCTATAGGGGTCTGTCATTGAAAAAGCGCTTGTTTTTTCCGTTTTTCCCATGGGAAAGCTTCATAACAATTATCGACCAGCATGTCCCCTATAGGGGCCACTTTTGCAAACATTAGTGGCCTCTTTAGGGGCTGGTAAAGTGGTCCCTAGAAAGGACCCTCAAAAGGCCTCCAAGGTTGCCCTTATAGAGACCACTCTGAAGTTCCTAAGATATGTCCCCCGAGAGCATTTTTTGCCGTTTTGAAACATCAAAAGCTGAGAACATGGTGGTTTTTGTTGGGGCTGAGGGGAACAGCCGTATTGATGAGCCGAGTCGGGCTCATCAGCGCTTTTTTTTTCCTTGAGTTCTCCAGTTGCCGAGCCTTGGGGTAGATGTCGCCCGCGTAAACGGAGTGTAAAGCGGGACGAGCTTCTGCTCCAGCTCCCAACCGCCCGTTTTATCTCTTACCACTTTTTTTTCGCTGTTACGTTGTGATTGCGACTTTTTTTTCAAGTATGATCCGTTTTCGTATCACGAAATGAAGAATGATAGCTTTTTGGAAGTTTTTTCGACAAGTTGATTTTTAGATTTTTTGAACTTTGAACTTTTTTTGCGTTTTCATTGGTGTCATAGATAATATTTTTCAAAATTTTTGAGTTTTCCGATTTTTTTGAATGTCCCTAAATTCATTAGGAAAATTCCGAAAACTTTAAAATTGTAGAACATTGAATTAAAAGTTCTAAAATTGGGAATAACACTTTCTTTTGAAATTTTTTTAAGCAAGTTGGTTTTTTTATTTTTTTGAAAATGGGAACCTTTTTTTCTCAGTTTTTCAGCGGTTTCATATTTTTTTGATTTCATATTTTTTTGAATTTCCCGCTGTAGTTTCATATTGATTAAAAAGAGCTTTGAATTTTTTTTGAGGATTTTAAAATCGCAGTTTTTTCAGTTAGTGTTGAAATTAATGATAAATTCTTGGAGTTTTGTCAAAAAGTTGGTTTTTTTCGATTTTTTTGGAAGTCTGAGGGGTTCTCAAAGACTGATAATTTTTGCCCAAAATCGAGAAATGTCTGAATTTTTTTCTAATGTATCTTCAAGCTTACAATGGTCATTTAAAGAAGCTCTGGTTTTTTTTTAAACTTCGAGATCGCTGTTTTTTTAAATAATATTTGGAAGTTGAATAATGTTGACTCCACTTTTCCAAGCCCTTTTACGAATATTCCACCTGCTGGGTAATTTTAAATTCATAGGAACTTTTATCGTTCCCCTCGAAAAAAGTCCGAAAAAAACTGCAAACTGAAAAGTATGAGTAATTTTGAAGGGTCCTACTTCACTTTATTTTCGTCATGAAATTTTCCGACCGGTTTTTTTTTTTCAGAATGCGAATTAGAGCGCTTGTTTTTCTCCCCAATTTCTTTCAAAGTTTTTTTTTTTGTAGCTTTTCTGAAATTTTCCTTTTTATAAAGATTTTTTAAAAAATCATTTAGAACTTTTTTTCATTCTTGCATATAGTTCTGTTCATCATTGAGCAAAATTTCGATCGAAAATATGTTTTTTTCAAAAATATGAAGGTTTTTTTCTTTTTTTCATCTTTTCTGTATTTCATGATGCATGGACCGAAAAATGAGCCTTTTTTCAACCGAATGACTTTTTTTTTGGTAGTAGAGGCCATATCTTTCTATTTTTATTATTCGAATTTTTGAAGCAATAAGAAATTTCTAGCCATTCAAAGGTCCTTTTTTTCTTAAAAAAAGCTGAAAAGAAAAAAACTTAAAAGAACATTTTTTTGCTCCTTTTTTTGGGACTTAAAAAGAGTTTTTTTCCCTGTTCTTATTCGTTATATTTTTTTATATTAGCCTCGTTTAGTAACTCCTATATGATTTTTCAGCCTTTGAAATATAACCTTTTTTGAAAAATCTATAGACACAGGCGAATTTTTGACATTCTGAAGCTTGAAGTACTTGTAAATCTCGATCGATTTTCACACTTTTTTTTGGATGTAATTTTCTGAAACATGAGGAAAGTCGGAAGGACCCTTGACTGGCCCTTTGATCGTCCGTTATGGATGCAAAGGTTTCCAATTAATTGTTTCTAAACGGGTCCCTTTTTTCTGCTTTTTTCTGTTTTTTCATCGGCCTTCATCCACCCTTTTTGGACCCTTTTAAGAAACACAGAAATTTTTAAATTGAGAAAAATCTTTACCAGTGACTGTGTATGAAGCAAAATGTGCTACAGTAATAAAATCGGAAATAATCAATGGCCGAGACTTTCAGCACCCTTTTTTCACCCTTTTTTGAGCCTTTTTAGCCCACCAAGGAAAAAGGCTCAATATAGACCGCAAAACAGAACCTTTTTAGCGGCCGTTTTGCAGCCATTCTCTTTTTGCACCCGTTTTCCTCACTTTTGACTTGGCAGTGTATATGTGTGTTCTGAGATTCGATTCAGTTTCAATTCTCAAAAAGTGGAATTTTGTGGGGTTTCAGGCACCAAGATGCTGCCGGAAAGCTTGCAGCTGGACCAGGAGATCCTCCTGGACGCTGGAGCCCAGCTCCACCGGCTCAAGATGTTCCCCTACTTTGACATCGCTCACTATATCTTGGTTAGTTCATTTTCCTTTTAAAAATTGTCTAATTATTCTGGATACTGAATGATGAAAGTTAGAATGAAACCCAAGTGTGGTTAGATGGTTGCACCCGACTTTTCACGGCTTGCGCATTGCAATTTGTAACAGATAGATCTCTACTGCTCTCCTTAATTTCAGTTGATTCTCTCACCCTTTCTGGTGGGAGGTTTTGCTTTAAAAATCTATTAAATGCAACCTTCGTCACGATTTGAAACTTTCTGACTTGTCTGTGCTCTCTTTTCCCTCACCGGTGAGGTCATAGAAGTATAAAAATAGTACGTAAACACGAGAGCGTCTGTCTTTTTCTGGTCGTTGTCAGTTAGCTCAACCAGTAGCGCGTTTGTCTGTTGTCATTAGGGTCACAGGATCAAATCCAGCCAGTGTCCAAACTTTTTCGCCATTTTTGGATCACTGAGAAAAACTTGGGAGGTCACTTAGGACAAAAAATGGCCATTAAAAAGTTCTATAGAAGCCATTATTTTGCGTTTTAGTGGTCTAGTAGTCACGCTTTAGCCACTTAAGTGGCCACTAAAAGGTTGAAACCCTGAAGAGGCCATTAGAAATCTGGATAGAGCTCAACCTTTCCCAAAAAACGCAACAAGAAGAAAAAATACCATTTGAAAAAATATTTTTATTCATATAGTGTTGGAAGAGGTGATTGCAATTGGATTGGTGTGATTAATTGGATAATATCAACATAAGTAGAGGATTCGAGAGCGGGATTATGTATTGTAAATCAGATGGTAGTGGCAGTGATTTTTTCTTCGGAATTTTCTCTGAAGATTCAAAGTTTCCATTTGGTGTCGAGACTTCGGTTCTTGGTGGCCTCGTCCCAATCCGGCCAGTATTGCTGCTTGATTCGCTCGACGTAGGATACCTGGAATATTTTTCAGGTAAAAGGTGAATATAATCGTTCTCTTTGCCAAGTAACCTAACTTGATTTGATGGAATACTTCTTTGAGATTAACCAAAATTAAGTTTTATAGTCCAACCGCCGCGGCTTGACGTGTCTGCGTCTCTCTGCTCCCTAACCTGTTCCCTAAGGTCAGAGAAAAATGGAAATAGCACGTAAACATGAGAGAGACGTCGAGAGATAAGGAGGGCGCAGAGAAGTCCCCTTTTCAAGTCGCGATAAACGGACTATAGCTGATTCACGGCTAGCTTGGGGCGCTAAGGGGCAGGGCCTGTCTGGGCTCTCCAAGAGCCAGGCACTATATCGTGCATTATCATGCCAGGACCCTGGCTCAATTCAGCCGTGAATCAGCTATATACTGATCTTTTTTTCCTGAATAACCTCGAAAAAAAAATCAATAATTGAACGAAGAAACGTACAATATTCGGCGTGGTGGTCGTTATGAAAGCCTTGATTTCTTCGGTGAACTGTGGAGTGTAGAGCAGCTGGACCAAGTGGCCGAAAGCCGTCGCGTCGAGCTGGAAAGAAGATGATTTTTGAAAAAAATGTCAAGTTTTTTCAACCTCACACCCATTGTGTGAATAAGATGAAATTTTTCACGAATAATCAAATTTTGTATTTAAATAAATTTCTCTCGGCTTGATGGCTGCAGTATTCGCAGCTCACATGTTTTTGGCGCCAATTTTAAGTTTCTGAGACTTCTCTTTTTCTCTCAGGTTTCCTCTTGAAAATACTAAATTTTTCACCGATATATTTTCAAAGAAGGTTCTATTGGGCCGCTAAGGGGACGTGGCGTGTCTGCGCTCTCCAAGAGCCAGGCACTATCTCACGCATTATCGTGTCAGGACCCTTTTTTCGATAGCTCAAGCCAGTCGTGTTCAGCTAAAGGTCTTTTATACTAGATAAAAGAAGATGATTTCCATGAAAGGGACAATAATTATTGAATTGGCGCCAAATTGCATCGCAACCGCATTGCAATGCCGTTGAAGCCGAAAAGTTGAAGTTCGAACATTTCCGCTTTTTTTAAAAACTAACAGTCGTGACGCGATCTCCCATCAAGTACTGCTGGCCTCCAAGTTGAGCCGAAACCGCTTCGAGATCTTTTTTGGCCCAATCGATGATTTCCTCGTGGGAGAGACGGGCGATCCCTTGAATGGTGCAAGCGTTGGTCAGCTGAAAATTTAAATTATTCGTTTTGAAATCGATAAATTAGGTTGGTAAGCAGGAAATGGGCCTCTTTTCTGATTTAATAATGGTTATTACTAATAATTAACTTTATTAATTAAACAAGTACGTCAAAACGAATGTTTCTAATAGTAAACTTAATTGTTTCTTTCCTATAAAACCTACGCCAGAAACAGGATTGACACAAAAAATATCATAAAACGGTCCAAATATTCTAAAATGTTCCGGAATGCCCTTTGTGACCAACCTTCTTGCGCATCTGTCCCAAAAGGACGTTTTTGAAGAAGAATCCCTTGACCCCGGTGATCTGCTGACCGTAACCCTGATCAGTGGCCAACCAAGCGTTGTCCTGCGAACGAGAGTAGAGGGAAATCCTGAAAAAAGGGATAGTTTTAGGAAACATTTTGGATCTGATTTGGCTTCTCAATCGCCTTATTGAAAATCAACCTGCTACTTTCTCCCTTCATCGCCATTCTTGTACAGTATTGGAAAATATGATTTTTCAAAACTTTCAGTTTTTCGTTCAAATCTCTATTCTTAGTTGAGCGAGAAAAGTTCTATTCTTAGGTATGAATTACCTATTCAATACCTGTGTGAAGTTTCAAGACATTTCAATCACTTTCTGAAAAGTTAGGACCCAAAAAGTATCTTGAAATACCTTTATGATACACATTATTCGATCTTGTCCATTAATAATATACTCTCATGATGAAAAAAAAAATCGAACCAGGTGAGATGACTTTCAATAAGTGCATGAAAAGCGCGGGCCGTGGCTCGCTCTTGGGGCTGGAGATAGTCGAGGTGTTCCTGAAGTGTTTTTTGAGAAGGGATGCTTTTTTGGATCATTTTTGGCATCTTCGACAATCTCCCACACATTTTGAAAATTTTAACAGAGTTTGGACTGCTCAAAAAATCAAAACGAGAGATCAATAGTGGCCCGGAGAGACGCCAGAGAAGTCATGCTGCCCTCATTTCTCTAGCGTCTCTTCAGGCATCCTATTCGGCGGGAAATTTTTCATCTGCAAGTGTTTTTGCAAGTTTGAAGACATCAATAGACTATCAAAAACGGGAAAAATGTCACTTTTGAGAAATTTATTTTCGTCGAGTAGTTCTATTTTTTCAAATTCGAACTACTTGACATTCGGTTTAAAAGTTAAAGAAATGATATTTTTGTACCTTGTGGAACTCCTTAGTGAGCTGCTCGATGATCATGTTGCTGTCGGGAAACTGACGACCGTTGAGCTCGATGAACGGAATTTGGCCTCTCGACGACATTTTCGTGAAGTTGTTGTTGATGTTCTGAAATGGTCTTATTGATTTTCGGACTGGCTTCTCTGATTTTTTAATATCTTCTAATATTTGATGTTCAGAAGTTTCCTACTTTTGGCTTCATAAGCGCTATTTGAAACAGTCTAGCCTATCTGGGCTCTCTTTTCTCTCACCGGAAAGGTCTTGAGATCAGGAAAAGAGCCCGTAATGACAGGAGAGCACAGAGAATTTTTGTAAGGGAGTTAGTTTTACTTTGTGGTTGAGAATTTACTGAAAACCGGTCAGATAACAGATGAAGATTCTGGAATTCCTAATCTTCAAAAATTTTTCTGTAAAGGACACCGTAAAGTCAAAGGGAACCATCGAATCCTGTTAAAATGGGTCCTTTGAGACTTTGAGCCCTTATTTTTTCGAGAACTACAAAAATCTGCAGCTTGGACATGCAGGGCTTTCATCTAGACTCCCAAGAAGAAGTTTTGTGCCCGATTTTCAGATATTTATTTCTGAGACTGACCGTATAAGGGATATCGCTCATGCGGAGCCAAGTTTCGAGTTTGAGAGCGAAAGGCGAAGGCGTCGGAACGAGGCCAGGTCTTGGGAACTGGACCAAGTATACGTGGTCTTTCTCCCAGTCGCGCTTCAGAAGTGTCGTGCTCGGCATTTTCTGCAATTTCGTGATCATCAAAATGTTTTATTTCTCACACTAGTACTAAAAGTTACGAAGTAAATTTAGGGAAAATGTGGTAATAAATGATAAATGAGTTCTTAATAGCTATAGCTCATTCCACGCAAGCTTGTCACAATTTTTGTTTTTCTTTGAGCTATAGACCCTTCCCTTCGATGTGAGCGGTCTTTATCTGTGCATACGCCTTTAATATAACGCAAGATTAAAGGCGCATGCACAGAAATGGGCTGTGCGCTTCAAAGGGAATTATTTTGTAGCTCGGAGGGAAGCAGAAATCGTGGCCAACTGGCGCCGATTGGACTATATAAAGGCGTAGGAAGAAGAAAAATGGTGAAATTTTTTAAAAAGGATCAAGTTCAGACATGAAGAGTTTAAGGTAGGCTCACTGCCAAAGTCGGAAGTGCGGAAAACGGGTGCACAATGGCCGCTGAAAGGGTTCCGTTTTGCGGCCTTTATGAAGCCTTTTTTCTTGGTGGGCTAAAAAGGCTCAAAACAGGGTGAAAAAGGGTGCTGAAAGTCTTTGCCATTGATGATTTCCGATTTTATTACTGTAGCACATTTTGGTTCATACACGGTCACTGGTAAAAAATATTCTCAATTTAAAACATGTTGTGTTTTTCAAAAGGGTCCAAAAAGGGTGGATAAAGGCCGATGAAAGGACGGAAAAAGGCAGTAAAAGGAAACCGTTAGGAACAATTTATGGTATCCTTTGGGTTTATAACGGACGCTCAAAGGGCCTGTAAAGGGTTTCCCTATGCTGTAGAAAAATCTGTTACATTAAAAAGGAAACATGGGAAGGAAATGATACATTTTTTGAGGTAGATTTGACAAAAAAATTTAAATTTATATATTTTTCTCAAAGTTCACAGATAAAAAAACTGAGAGTTGGTAACGTTTCGAAATGTATTTCAGATCAAAAAAACGAACAAAGTGATAAAATTTGAAATACAATAGTTATTTAGAAGAAAAAGACGGTAATTATAAAGCTTCCCGACCAAAAATTAAGAAAATGCGAACAGTTTTGAACTGACGAATTTGAAAAGAGAACAGGAAAAGGTGTATTTTCTCTTGAGAAGAAAAAATTGTTGACGAAATTTCGTGACTGATTGACGTCCACGCGATATTTGTAGCCAAGCACTTTGATTTTTTTCCTCTCGATTTTTTTCCAGTCAAAGAGCAAATGATGACTAAATGATGATAATTATGAAATATGGAACTTAGTTTGATCAGTTGGAACGTAGCGATAGGGAGGAATAAAACTGGAGTTTGTGAGCTTTTTAAGCTGACCAAGGTGTAATGTTAAACTTCTTTCGGACTTTTGCACACCTGAGTCATATGTTGGGCTGTTTGGAAAGTTGAAAGTACTATGAGAAGGTCTGAGGAAGCTTCCCAGTAGGAATTTTGTATTTTTTTCTAAAGTGACCACTTCTTGATGTACTTGAGGAATACCAATTTGGGAAACTTCCTGATTTTGAAAAAATAACGGCTCTTAGTCACAAAATGACCCATTTTTTGGTTTTAAGGTATCGTTATCCGGAAAAAAAGACAGAATTTCATGGAAAAATGTTAAGAGAGGATTTCGGTCTCATCGAAAGAAAAAAAATTTTGAAATTGAAAAAAGTTATCAGTAGAGCTAACAAGTCGCAATTCAACGAGGCTGTTTTTTTCAACATATTTTTTCTTTATTAACTATAGTTTCTTTGTAAAATGTCTTAGGAATCCCAGAATGACCTCTATAGGGGTTAGGGGGGAAAACAAGCCTTATAGGGGCCGAAAAAGTGGTTCCTGTAGGGGTAAAATTAAGGTGATCCCTATAGGGGTTCAGGGTCTGAACTCTTAGCCGCTGAAGCTCAAGTGGACCCATTAGGGATTCAGAAAACGCTTATTTATTCAGTTTTTTCACATTGAAATGCTCCTTCGTATAGAGATCATAACAATCCTGGACCCCTTTTGCAAGCTTTAGTGGCCCCTATAGGGGTTGATAAAGTGGTTCCTAGAGTAGACCCTCCAAAGGTCTCTAAGGTTCCCCCTATAGGGGTCACTCTGGAGTTCCCAAGTAAGCAAAAATAAAGTTAGAAATCTCAAAATCCTTCAATATACTACAAAATAGAAGGATAAAAGGTCATTTTCATGAAAGGCTTCTAATGAGGATAAAACGGACTTATCGTGGGGAAATGACTTCCAGTTACTATGGTAATAACTGTGGCTAGGTTTCCGAGAGGGCGATTGTCACATGGAGTGTGAGAATGAGTGACAAGATAAGTTCGGATCCGAGGCGACAGTAGGCGTCAAAAACGAGGAGAGATTCCATTTGAAAAGACTCAAAACGGCGGACTTTTAAGTGCAGATAATCGCGAGCAATTATGTATTACCGCGGTTTTTGGCCCTGGCGGCTGGCCTTTTCATTTCGAGAGAGGGAAGATTTAATGATTTTTCGGTGAGGGATTTGGAGTCTTTGAATTTTCCGATGGCAGAAATTAGTACTGTGGTAATGCTCCGGACGTTTCTGGGGATTTCTAGTGGCCACTTTAGTAGTGTCAGCCCTCTTAAGGGGTCCCCAGAGTGGCTCAGAAACTTCCAGAGCACGTCCGTTTTGCGTTAGCGAGTATGGGGAAAAAATAGCCGCGTAAAAAACACTTGTTCGCTCTAGTGATAATTTTTGAATAATCTGATTTTTGGATTAAAAATGTGCTGTTACTGCCTATAGTACAACAACGAAAAACTTAAAAATCCTAAAATTTCTTTTCAGATTCCTAGTGGCAGAAATTAGTATGAGAAAAAATAGCCGTGTAAGAAAAACTTGTTTGCTCTAATGATGATTTTTTTGAAAAAAATGTTTTTGATAAGGTTCTAATTTTTCCTTTCTGTAGTAAAAATAAAATTAGAAATCCTACACTTTCTTTTGGATTTTCCAATGACAGAAGTTAGAATGAGAAAAAATAGCCGCGTAAAAAACAATTGTTCGCCCTAGCGATAATTTTTCAAAAATTCGATTTTTAGATAAAGATTGTGCTTCTACAGCCTATAGAGTTGAAAAAACTTGCATTCTTCAAAAAACAGGATTTAAGGAAAAGTCATGAGAACTTCGAATGTTTGCTCCATCGATAATTTGATTCAGAGACCGAAAATGGAGCTGATAGCTGATTTTTCTGAAACCTAGGAAAAACAAAGATTTTTTAAAATGTTTCCTAGTCTTTGGGTTTCTCTTATAAATAAGAAAATCAAAGAAAAAATTGGAAAGGATAATGAAGTAGGTTAATCATAGAATGGAGGAGCTTGAAACTTCACAGGTAGGAAAAAAGAGCCGGGAACGTTTTGTTGTTTGCTCCACTGATAACGGATAATTGAACAACAATGACGAAAAGTTTCATGTTTCAAAGCAACAACTGTGACGAATTGGATGGAAATTTGATTTTTTACAAAAACTTTCCAAAAGGACACAAGAGACTTGTTGGAAACTACAAACTGGGCGTTGGAAAATTGCAAAACGAGGGGTTCAAAAATTTGGCGGTCGGCCGGGAGACGTGAATTCGATAAGAGCCTTTCCGCAAACATGCACGTTCATTGTTCTTTTCGGGTTCTCTGCCAACCGAAAAATGAGTAGAAACTTTGTTGGTGATTAACTGAAAACAATAAAGAAGACAGTGAAATTTAATGAAATTAGCCTGATTCAAAGGGACAAAGAAGTTTGGAGAAACAAAGAAAGACGTTCATCCCTCTTTGGAGACGTTCATCCCTCTTTGGAGACGTTCATCCCTCTTTGGAATAAACTGGCTACATTGGGAAACCTCAATGTTTCTCCAGAACGTTTCAGGTCTTTGTTACTATCCCTCGATAACAATTTCCTTTTTGGATCTATTCCCAGCAGACTCCGTTGAACCAGGCACCCGTGCTTCAGCCCTACTCTAATCCATCTTATGCGCGTCTATATCATTACAAACGATTAAATTCCCCACTCACCTGTGCTACACTGTGTCATAACTTATACTTTCTTTTTCTATTTACTTTTTTTACCTTTGTGAAATCCTCACCTCTTATTCTTTCATTACTGGCTCAGAGGCTCGTGAGGGCCTCAAGTGCCTTTTATTTATTTATTTCAGGCTTAATGCCAAATTTTTTTCTCTTTTTTTCTGTACATATTATTTTTGTTCTGCCTGTAAATAAATAATATTATATATTAAAAACAAAAAATGGTTGAGAAATCGATAGTAGAGCTCAAAAAATAGCGAGGTGCATGGCGATTTTTAAAAGAGACAAAAAAAAATTAAAAAATTTTTGAGGTCGAGCAAATTTGCTCTACTTGATCTTCTGATCTCAATCTTTGATCTTTGTAAGGAAAGTACTTATTCGGACCATGGTAACGCGCACCGGACGCTCTTGAGCATTCCCAGTGACCACTTTAGCAACTTCAGAACCTTTAAGGGATCCCTAGAAAGCTCAGAAACGTCCAACGTCCTTTCTGAGCATTTCTAGTGACCACTTTAGCAACTTCAGAACTCTTAAGTGATCCCTAGAATTGCTCAGAAACGTCCAGAACGCTTTGGGTTCTTCTTACTGAGCGATAAATTTCAAAAAAAAATTAATTATTTGGGTTATTTATGCCCCTTGGCAAAGAAAAAGATTATTTAACCATTTTTTTTTTTCAAAATACTTGATAACACTTAAAGTGGTACTTAATTCACTTGGAATGACTTTGGAGAAAAAAACGAGGCACATAATTTCTTGGGACTTGATAGGGTTCTTTCCAAGTTTATTGACTTATAACTTAAGTTTTGATCAAAAAAAAAGGCCGTTGTTTACTCAACCTCTTGATCGATTTTCAAGTCAAGTTGCATGGGTATTTGTACAAAGATTGTTGAGGGGAAAAAAAAATCTATGAAACAATAAAATTCTCTGAAAACCAGTAAGTTTATGACATTGTGAAGCTTGCAATGAGAACTTCGTGAATCTGGGATTCTTTTAATAATTCGCTTAAACCAACTTTGAAGGTCTAGGTGACCTATGCGAACTTGTGAATTATGGTTTTCGGAAGATTCCTGAATTTTTTCGGTACTTGAGAACGGCTCAGGGGTCACTCGTGGGGTTACGAGAAAAAAAAGCCCGTTTTTCATAACAATACCATAAGAAAATGAGACAAAAAAAATAGTGCAGAATCGGGACCAAACTTTATATTAAAACCATTAAAAAAATAAGGCGAAAAAGGGCATATCCGGGACCAAACTTCGTAACAGTATCATAAGAAAATGAGGCAAAAAGAGGGCAGAAGCGGGACCAAACTTCGTAACAGTATAATAAGAAAAAGAGGCGAAAGGAGGGCAGAACCGGGACCAAATTTTGTAACAGTATAATAAGAAAAAGAGGCGAAAGGAGGGCAGAACCGGGACCAAATTTCGTAACAGTATCATAAGAAAATGAGGCAAAAAGAGGGCAGAACCGAACTTCGTAATAATGCAAATAATGAGGCTGACTTGGCGGGCGGAAGTGAACAGTTTCTGGCGAGACGCCAAAGAATCGAACGGGGAAATGATGATGAGGCGGAAGAGGAGGCCCCCGCGCACAGTATACACATGAAGGAAACCCACGGCAAATATTACTTTTGACTATATGACAGGGTGCAGATGATTTACCCCCCAAGAGAACGGAAAAAAAAGAAAGAGAGAGGCGATAAGGTAATTCGAGCCGTGAAGAGAAGGGAATGAAGGGAATTCCTTGGCGGCGGCGGCGGTGAAGGTCGATTTGGGGTGGACGATTTTTGCCGCGTTTTGGGTGAGAGAGAACTGTTTTCGTGGCGGCTAATTGGCGACGACAGGCAGGTAGTCATGCATTGGCGGGCAATCGAAGGGCACTCCTGTTTGATTCGAGGGCCTGAGCAAGGGTTGAGCTTCATGAGAGGTCATTTTAGCGTAGCGTTCAGAATTTCCTATAAATTCACTCAAACAATCTTTGATGGACTGGGAATCGACCCCACATAGTCGCTATCTGGGCAAAATTCTAGTTTTGTAGATATGATTTTTCAAAGTTTTTATCCTTAACCATGTGACGCTGTTTGGAAGGAATCTAGCCGCGCCGCCAACCTTTGCACGGCAGCTAAGAGCGTAGTGCAGTGGCTAGCGCGCTATCCTGTGGAGCCCATCACGAGGGTTCGAATCCTTTTGCCGCCAACTTTTTTTTTGCCATTTTTTTCAGAGATTTCCCATGAGAATATTCAAATTTTATGAGTAATACCGTTCCAGATAGGTTCGATAGTCATTTTATTTCTAAAATCTCTTTTTTTTTCGCGGAAAAAAATTGAAAAGCCCGTCAAAGTTTTTAAAGATTGGAAAACTTCAAATCATGGAAACTCTCCAAAGATTTTAACTTACGGAGGTTCTGAAAAATTTTTTCCGAAGTCATGGCCACAAAATATCAATTTTTGGCCGGTGCTCAATTCATGAAGTATGAAATTTTTCAAATCTGAGCGGTCCTGCAGATGATCATCGAAGTGCGCGACGACTTGGGTAACGCGGCGTCGATCTTCTCGCGGAAGCATCCGCTCTCGTGCTGGCTCAGCTCGATGCTCATGTGCTTCGCCGACGCCTTCCTCGCCAACTTCCTGCTCGGCGAGCCCGTCATCGCTCCGTTCAAGCGGCACGATGACGTCATTTTGGTAAGGGTCCAGATTGGATTCTGAAAACGGGAGATGGGATCTACAAAGGCAAAAAGAAACTTTTTTTGAGGAACCTCAGAAGAAGCTGAAAAAATGCTTAAAAAAGTTTTGAGTTCCGTTTCAAAGGATCCTTCTCAATTCCATTGGGATCATTAACATAAGAAGGGGGTCCAGAAGCTCTTTTCTATGAAAGAAACTCAAAAAAGGAGAAAAATTCTTTTTTTGCCAGAAATGTTTCCTGTTTCACATGATTTTTTGGTTTTTCTCGCGTTTATTTTATCATAAACTCACTATCTATTTTTATATAGGCATATTCAAAACTAGGAAATTATGTAAAAAAAGTCGAAAAAGTCGGGAAAAATCGAAATTTCACGGATTTTTTTATTTCTATATTTTGAATGCCTAGAAAATTTTCCGGTTTGACATGTTTTTTCGGTTTTTCTCGTGTTTTGATCATAAACTCACTATCTATTTTGTATCAGGGACATTTAAAACATGAAAAAAAGTCGGAAAATTCGGAAACATCCATAGTAAAAAATCGGTAAAATCGAATTTTTGGACTTGGTAAGATTTTGTATTGATTCTTGGGATTGAAAAATTGGCTGAAATTTGAAAGTAAAGAAATAAAAAAACACTCTTAGGCCACGGTTGTATGGTACCTTGTCTTCTACGCGCCTTTCGATGGAATTTACAAGCTTTCGAAGGTTTTGCCGGTCAAGTGTGTTCTGGCCATCATGAAGGAGATCAAGCGGGCTTACAAGGTTTGAGGAAAATTTAAAAAAAAAACTCAAACAAACGGTCAGGTCTCTCACGGCGTTTCCCACGCGGCCAAGCTTTATCCAAACTCGTATTTGGTCCAAGTTTTGGTCGGAACGGCCAAGGGAGCTGGTTCGGGCGTCGTCAGGACTTTGGAGCAGGTACAGATTCACCTATTCTTCATAATTTTAAGAAAAATTCGAGAAGTTGGTTTAACCGGTAGATTGCAATGAAGCGCTGGTAAAGTGCAAAAAGGGTCCCCTATAGGGGTCTTTCAATTGCTGTTCCTGAAGGGACCACTAGGGACCACCTAAATAGAAGATTGAAATGAAGCAATGATAAAGAAGAGAAAGTGTTCCCTATAGGGGTCTTTTAATTGCTGTTTTTAAGGGACCACTATGGGGAAGGTAAGGTGGTCCCTTGAGGGTATGCTACAAGAGCCCCTCTAGTTACCACTCAGGCATTCCTAAGTACTCTAGACTTCATAATTTTGACTGTTTCAGTTGGTTCGAGGCGTATGGCTCCCGACGCACAACGAACTCCTGCGGCCGTCTTTCGCCACGAAAGCTTGCGCCATCGCAGCGACCGTCTTGGCCATGGAGAAGAGCGGAAATTACCTCTCCGTGCCTCACGATTTGATCTACCTGGTGATTTGGATTGGTATTTATTTGGCTCTAAACTCATCTTGAAGTTTTTTTAACGGCAGCATTTAGAAAGGAAAAAAATTGATTTTTAAATTTTTCCAAGCCTATTTCTTATAATTTCTCTAAAAAAATTTTTTTAGTATAGTCAATGTTTCCCGACTTGAAAGGCGAGGGAGGCGGGGCAGGGGCGGGACGCGTAGCGTGTGCGTACGCGGTTCTTGGCGCCAGTTCAATTCAATCGCCGCCGACTATTTAAAAAGCTCGGCCACCGCTCTTTTTTTCTGTATTTTTCTTCTATTTTTTTGATGCACACATGAACATAATCAATAAATAATTAAAAAAACAAGTGAAAAAGAGCAATAAATAAGCTCTCTGAATGCTCGCTAGCGGTTGAATTGAACACGTGCCAAGGACCGCGAACGCACACGCTACGCGTCCCGCCCCTTGCCACGCCTCCCACGCCTTTCAAGTCGGGAAACATTGACTATACACATTTTTCGGCTTTTCTATTTCGAAATTTTTATACAACTGAAAACAGGATTTCTATATAAAAATGTGCATGAGATTGTACAAACTCGGAATGGTGGATAATGGCCGCTAAAAGGCTCAAAAAAGGCTCCAGAAAGGCAGCAAAAAGGCTCCAGAAAGGCAGCAAAAAGGTTGCAGAAAGGCCGCAAAATGGGTCCCTTTATCGAGCCTTCCATTTGTTTCTGTCACTTTAAAGGCTCAAGAAGGTAGAGGCAGCAAAAAGGGTGCATAAGGGCCGATGAATTGGCGCAAAAAGACAGCAAAACAGGAACATTTCTGGAGCCTTTTTCCACCCTCTCCGACTTTGCCTATGAATAATGTTGTTCATGCTAGAATCTTAATTTTTCGGTTTTTTATAGAGTATCAAAATCACATTATTCTTCTCAGGTGATTGTCGGCTTTTTCGTCTACTTCAAGTTGGCGGCCGTCGTTTTCCACGTCACTGATCCGTTTGCTCCGATTGAAAACCTCTTCTGCGCCGTTTTCATGGGCGGAATTTGGGACGCCGTATCTAGGTAAGTTACGAATTTCTAGATCACTGTAAGCTTCTTTAAGAGTTCCTTAAGGGGCTGATTAGGCAAATAATATTTTCAGAGCGTTGGCTGCCTCGCGCGACCGCCGGGCTGGCGTCCATACCAACGAAAACGGCGTGGTTTCTGGCGCCGAGAAGAAAGAACAGTAAAAACCACGATAAATACTTATCCCCTCCTTCTAAAAAACTCTAAAAACTACCAAATGTTCTAGCATTTTTTAGGATTTGATGATTTTCCTATACCAATTTTCGACGCTCTATGGTGCCTTTCTTTGAAAATCGACAATATTTGCACGAGTACTTTTATTCTGCCCAAATGAAGTTTTTCACCTTCTCTTATATATTTATTTTTATCTAACGAAACAATTTTGCATTCGTTCACAAGCGATAAGAAACGCAAGGTCAACAAAACAAAAATTACGTCCAAAATGGGATAAAACTGTTTTTCGCCTGGGGGAAGTGGATCAAATCCGGCGTTTTTAACAAAAGGAAAAATTAAAGTAAAACAAATTAGCTTTTTATCGGCTAGCCACGCCCATAATTAGCTGCAGGTTTATTGGAGAGCGCAGACGCAGGAATCCACAAAATTGCCTTGTGAACCCCTTCAAGCCGTCTATAGAGCGGGAGCATCTGAAAACTCTTTAAATCCACAGAAGGACCATCTTTTTACCCATGTCTTTGTAGTTCGATTCTACATGGCCACGACCTGTGCCCCGGAATCTACGATGAGGATCGCCCCCGCTACGAGGACGACCTCGTCCAGCTCCCCGGAATCCTTCCCCTCGGCCTCGCCGATTCTGTCCCCCACAACCTCTGGAACCATTGCCGCCGCCTCTGAAACACCTTTTTAATGTTCAATCTCAGACAAATCCTCGGGAGGTAACCAGCAGGAGGTTGGAAGGTGTATGGAAGCTAGAAGGTCTTGGGAAGGCCTGTGGAAGGTTTTCGGAAAGTAGTTAGAAGGTCTTTGGAAGGTGGAAATGAAAAATGCCTGCCAGAAGCCTTTCAGAAGCCTGCTGGGAAGATTCTGTAAGGCTTCTGGCAGCTTTTGAAGTAGAAGGTGTTGGGAAGGTAAGTGGAAGGCGTTCGACGTTTGCTGGAAAGCTTCCAAACGCCTTCCGAGGAACCAAAAGCAGAAGCTTCTAAACTTTTACCTGAGATCCAACTAGGTCATCAAGCTTTTATGAACCTGCTTCTAAAGTTCAAGTGGTCCCTATAGGGGTTAGGGGAAGCCCCTATAGGGGCTTCCAATTTTGTGATCAATGTAAGAGTTAAAAAGATTGATCGACTCCCCCTCTGTTAATATTTTCCATTTAAACAACGCTATTTTTTAGATCTTTCGCATAAAACTGCGTGACTTGTGACTTTTTCGAAGTTAAAACTTTCTTCATTCTTTATTTACCCTATAGGGACCACTTTTATGAGCTCTAGAGGCCCCTATAGGGATTGGTAAAGTGGTCTCCAGCCCTCCAAGGGCCCTAAGGTTGCCTCTATAGGAACCACTCTGGAGTTCCTAAGTTTGCAGACAGGCTACGCCCCTTTTTCATCCCTAGTTAGCTCAATCGACTAGAGATCCTACTAATAATTTTTTAATAGAGGTCTAAAATCTCCTGAAAAAGCTGCACGAACGTCGAGGGATCGACAGTTTTGACGATTTTGAGCGGCTGTCCGTTTTCCTTGTAAGCCGCATAGTGGCCGACCATCAATTCCGTTGATTTCTTCAGCAACTTTTCGAACCTCAACGTTCTCGAAGATAATCTGAAATATGAAAATTTGTATGGCGCTCGATTTCAAGAAGAAAAAACACAGAAAGGGCGTCGTCGGGCCGAGTTCTCAGATTCCTGAGCCCATAAAGTGGACCCTATAGGGATCTTTCAACTTTTACCAGCCCCTCTAGGTGTTGGTACAGTGATCACTAATGGGAGCTCTCCAAGGGACCGCTCTAGAGTTCCTAAATATTCACTCCAACCTCATTCCCTTGGTTCACAGCCCTAGTTTATCCCTATAAAATCAAAAAAACTCCTAAAACCAACCGATCTTTCGATTCCGATAATGTCCACCGGCAGTGGCATCCAAGGCATAACCGACTTTTTCTGAATTTTTCAGTTTTATTATTTTCTCCGTGAAAAATACGTTGAAGACAGCGGGTCCGGTTGGTTTCTTTTGAGGAGATTCCGTTTCATTCTTGATTTTTTCCGTTTCTTCCGCCAGGTTTCCTTCTTCGACGTCTTCTTGTTGTTGAAACTCTTCCTTGTCCATGGCGAGGATCGTTTCGAGTTGCTTAAATGGAATAAAAATTGAAATCGAAGCTACACTTTTTAAAAAAATTCAAATTTTTTTCGGTGAATCAGCGAAATCTTTTCAAATTTTTTTCTAAAAATTTTTTTAAATCTTTTTCGTGGTTAGACGTTTCATTTACTTGTCAAAAATTCAAAAACTTAAAGATTTTTCATCACGAAACTCTATTCATCTCTGTCTTTCTTATTCGTTTTTCATGTTCTCCGAGAAAATCGATAATTTTTCTATGAGACCCTAAAAAAATTCATGTTGCTTTTTTTCAAGCTCATACATCTGATACAACAACTACACAAGCTTTGAAACTATAAGTTCAGGTTTCGACAGGCTCCGCCCATTTTGAAGGTTACTGTAGCCGAAATACGAACAAAATACAATTTTTTTTTCTCCGTGGTCCAAATTGAATAAAACTTTTTTCAAACGAAAGCCAGTGCCAAAATAAACATTTTTTGTACACTAACTGTACTTGAATATTTTTTCAAACCGAAAAAAATTTTCATTGAAAAAAACGTGCTTTTTTTCAGTTTTTTTGATGTTTTTTTAGAGCCCCCGATCCGTTAAATTTTTCGAATCTCCAAGTCTTTCTACCTTGTTAAAAAAACTTTGCGAGAGAAGAATCCCATGAAAAAAATTGATGAATTGACATTTTTTTCCAAAAAAAATAAAAAAATAAAAAAAGATGATTAATCGATCAAGTTTGATCAAATACGTTTCATTGACTTTTTATTAAATACGCTTTGCTTTTTTTAATACGTTTTTTTCCGGATTATGAATATCAAAAAAACCTCTATAACGAACACTTAAGCTTTAGAGGGCTAGGGGCCATATCCTAAACCCCTATAGTGAGCCCTATTTTGACTTCTAATGGGAAAAATCTAGTGGCCACTTGAGTGGGTCCTCAAGGGCTACTTGGAGAGGACACTAAGTGGCCACTAATACCATCGCTATAGAAGTTCCTATTCTGCGTCTAAGTGTCCACTATAGTAGTTTGAGTATCCTATAAGTCTTAGACACCTAAAGAGGCCACTTATCTTCAGCCACCAATTCGACCACTATAGTGGCCACTAAAACGCAAAATCCCTGAAGCGGCCACCAAAAATTTTGCCAGGCTGTTTTCCTTCTTTTTCTTTCTCTATAGGAATCCCTCTGGCGTTCCTAAAAACTTTGTTTCATTTTCAAAAAATTGAAAAAAAATTGGCAACCAGCTAAAACTCATAATGTGGATTTTGATTGAAAAAAATTTTTTTTTCAATTTTCAATTTGATTTTTCCCTAACCCAGTTCAACTCAAATCCGTTTCCAACCTCCGGGTCCACGTTTCGCGACCTTCTTTTCCCCATTTCGATGCGTTTTCCGTCGGCTTTGCGCAGCCTTTCCGCAGCCCTTTCGTCGGCTTCTTTCTGTTTCCTCGCATTTTTCTCCTCCTGTTCTTTTTCCTGTTGTTTGTCTCGTTGTTTTCGCCGTATTTCTCGCATTATTTTTCGTGCCTCCACTCTGAAGCTCATTTTATGGATAAAAGTTAGGTACAATGGAGCCTTTTACCACCCTTTCCGATTTCGGCTATGTTCTTTTTGTAATTATAAACTCACTTGTCGACCTTCTTATACTTGAAAATCTCATAAACGAGCTTTTCATCGCCGCAATCCAACCCCTCAAGATATTCGCCAATGTCTTCTGGGGTCAGAAGAATTTTTCTTGTCTCAAAATGTCGATAGTCAATTAATCCATCTATTTCCAAAACCTCGAATTTCCGCATGTGCTTATTCAAAGCCTCAGGATCATCCGTTTCCCCTTCAGGGACCACTAAAAAAAATATCTATACATCTTTTTTTCAATTTTCCAAAACCAATCCACGGCGGTGGAGCCCTGGACCACAGGAATTCTTCGCCAGGCGGAAATTTCGACTTGACTTTCAGAATGCACGTTATACAAAATGTTTTATGCTTGAGGATACCTTGAAAATCACTTTTTTCATGCAATTTTCCAGTTTTTCTTAAAACCTAGATCATCTTCATTGTCGATCAAAGTCTGCAAAACTTGACACTTGTTAGACCTCCCGGGCTCGAACATTTTTTCTGAAATGAAAAACGGCAATAACTTCTATTTCAAGACGAGAAACAGCAATAAATAAAACTTCAAACTGCTGGAAAAAAAATTAGGTTATTGATTACGAAATTTTTCTAGTTTTTTTCTGGTTTCTAGGCTGACGGAAAAAGCATGTTAATAGCTTGAAAAAGAACAAAATAAAATAAAAAAATACAAAAATTTTTTTGAATTTTTGAAATACAAAAGTTGACTTTGGAGCGCGCTTACTGAACATTCCGGCGGACTTCGAAAAAAAATTCTTTTTTTCTTTTTTTGAAATCTTCAATGTTTATATAAAAACTATTTAGTTTATGAGCAAGTTTTTTTAGCTTTCGATTGAGGTACGCCTGTACGGAATGATGTTTGTTCCTTAAAATTTTCGCTCCTTAAATATCTACAGGATAAAGTAGAAAACTTGTTCAAAAAAAAACCTTTTTCGAACGTTTTTTTTCATTAAATTATGATTGTTTTACCAATTACAGAAGCAATAATGAAAGATGACAGGTCTTCAAAAGAAAAAGGGTCAATCGATCAAATTAAGGTTATATTTTTGGTATTTCATCAATTTACCTGTTTTTTTAGGCGATTGAATTGAACAAGTACAATTTCGATGCGATTTGGCCGTATATGCGAAAGAAAAATCAGGTCGGCCAACGTTATAGCGATTGATTTGGTTTGAGTTTGATTTTTGAATTTTTTAAACTAAGATTTAAATGTTTTTAAGTTTTTTCCGTGTTTTGTTTTATAGGAAAAGTGAACTTTCGTAAAATTTTTTGTTCAATTGTGGAAAATAAATGACTGATTTCTACAATAATGTTTAATTCAGGAACTAACCGGATTGGGATTTTCTCAAGACTTCCGGGATAAAGATATCAATCGCCGGTATAGTAACCTGAGAACCACGGCTTCAACGAGGTTTTTTTCATCGAGTTTAAAAAAATTAAATAAAATTTTCAGAAGTATTATTTCCTTGGGAGTAGCGACCTATAAGTTCCTGGACCGAAACCTGGATAAACGCGTTTTTGAAATTTGAAGCCAATGTAATCTTTTTAGATTAAAAAAATGATTTTATTTTTTTCCAGGTTTTTCAACGTGTTGACAATGTGCAGCGACGCATTTTTCCGTCGAACCGGATTCGATGGAATTTCTCGTCGATTATTCTTTCGATTTCAATCGATTATTCAAAGATGGCATTCGATATGAACGGGCTCCTGGAGTAAGAATAAGATTTTAAAAAAATTGATGGATTATTTTTGAATCCTAAATGTTATTATTAAGCCCCTGCCTCACGAAAATGACAAGTTAAAATTTCGTTTTATCCCTTGAAAAAGTTTAATTTTTTGAAAATTAGCCTTATTATTGATTGAAAGGTATCGCTAGTATTCTTAAAATTTTTCAAGTTTTTTTAAAGTCCAGCTGGAAATTATGTTTTTAAGTGCCTCAGAAACCCATTTTTTTCGATTTTTTTAATTGAAAATCCTAATATTCGAGCTCTTTTTTTCTATAGAAAAAAATAAAAAAACCTTTGAAAATTTGGTTCGAAACGATAGAAATTATCGAAAAAAACGCCAAAATCTTTTGAAAAAAACGCTCAAATTTTTTTAAAAAAACGCTAAAAAAATTCTTGTGAAAAACGCTGATGCATTGGTTCCAGATACTAAGAAAAAAACTGAAAAAAACGATAAAAAAATTACTGAAAAAAACGCTTGAAGTTACCGAGAATAAGCTGAGAATTTCTGAAAATAGCTAGCAAATATTAAAAAAAGTTTAAAAAAACTACCATAAAAAAACGTTTAAAATTACCATAAGAACGGTCCAATTTTCCTAAAAAAACGCTAAAATTTTGATTCAAGATCTTGAGGATCACTGAAAAATGATAAAATAAAACTGAAAAAACGCAGAAAAAATTTGTTCGAAATGCTTGAAATCACCGTTCAATTGCTGAAAATCACTGATAAAACGCTGAAAATCATTTCAAAACCCTTGATTTTCAGCAAGAAGGCTGCCGACTCCGGAAACTCATCCGAGAAATCTTGATCAGTCCCTCCACATTGTGTTTCCACAACGGTTTCATCGATTTGGCCTTCATTTATCATCACTTTTACCTGCCTTTACCTGAAGAGTTTGTACAAAAAATAACCGGAACAAATTTTTTTTTCTTTAGTTTTGTGACATACTGCAACAATGTCGCCGAGCTGTTCCCCGCCGATTTTTTACCCGTTTGTGACTCGAAATTCCTGGCCGTTAATCAAACCGGTATCGATATGTCTTTCCTGGAATACGTGTTCCGGTTTTGGTGAGTATTGATGGAAGAAAAATGGTTTTTCGAGTAAATTTAGAAAAATAGAAAATAAATAATCACTGTTTCAGGTATTTTTTCTGTTATCGCATAATTTTTTTTCGTAGAAACTTCAGAGTGGCCCCTATAGGGGCACTTAAAGGATGCCCTCTAGGGACCACTTTACCTCCCCTATAAGGGCAACTAGATATTGCAAAAATGGCTCCTTGAGGGGTTTCATTTAGGGACTCCTATGGGGACCACTTGAGCTTTAGGAACCAAAGGGTAGGACTCTGAATCTCTCTAGAGACCACTTTTCAGTCTCCTATAGGGGTTGTTTTTCTCCTAACCCCTATAGGGACCACTATGAGGGTCCTAAGAAGTATTACCTGAACAAAATTTGAAAAGTGAATTTGAAGAATTTTAATAATTATTTTTTTCTTGCGACAACTTTATTGGATAATTTTTGATAGCAGAACTTGATGAAGTCGTTAATTTTTGAAAATAGGAACTTTTGAATATTTTTTTTAAATTCTGAAATATGAAATTTTTCTTTCTTTGAGGTCTCCATTTGGTATCATAGAAGTTTGGATTTCTTTTTTTGCAGTTTTGAAAAAAAATTTGAATAGGAAATTACCCAAAGACCAAAAATCATAGAAAAAAATCAGTAAAAAAAGTTTTTTTCAGCCTTTGCGAGAATTTTTATTGAATAATTTCTGATAGCAGAACTTGATCTAGTCGTTAATTTTTTTGAAAAATAGGAAATTTTTGAATTTTTTTGAGTTCTCAGATAATGAAATTTTTTTCCTAATGGGTCTTAATTAAATATTATATTTTTGCGATTTTTTTAAAAATTTTTTTCAAAGGAATGGTCCAAAACCAGAAAATACAATGATCAAGTATTTTTTTAGTCTCGGCGAAAAACGTCATTGAACGCCGGAACGCCCGATTTTACATTGATATCGATTTCGGGAACAATTTGAAGCCCGCAGTTCAAGCTGCGATCGATTTAGTTATAATTAATCATTAGAAATCAATAAAAAAATTGATTTTTTTAGGTAGATTGTAGCCTTCCAGTTGATTTTTCCTCAGCATAAACGGTTCCCCGACCATCATCAGAATATTCTCTGCCGCTCTTTTTATGGTAGGAATTGAATAATTATTATTTTTCTAGAAGATCTTCATGAATTATTTGCCAAAAAAATCATTATTTTTTTCAATTTTTAGATGTATGGAAATTGTAAAAAGAAACGGGAAACCTGCACTTTTCTACATTCTATCGACTTTGCTCTCGATGTACATCGGACGCGGCAGGAGAAAATCAGAGAAAAACGAAGGAAAAGGTAGGGAAGTTGTCACTTGAGGGGCCACTTTGAATACTGTAAGAGTTCACTAAAGTGGTATTTTTGAACTTAAAATAGAAAAAATGGCGTATTTTGTTTATTCGGAAGATTTTCGGGGAAGTGGGTCGTGTACTCTTCAAGTGACGACTTGAGGGATTTCTTCTGATCCAGATCCTTGAAGTGGTCACTTGGGAGAACATTTCAAGGGGTCACTTAACGGGTATTTGAATAGGATGGCTTGTTTGAGTTCGAAAGATTTTATTGATTTTTACGAGGCTGAGGAGTATCTTCTTAAGAGACTACTTTTGGTCCAGACCCCTGAAGTGGCCACTTGAGATTTTCAAATATTTCAAAAGGCCACTTGAAAGAAGACGGTGTTTTCGAATTGATCAAAAAAACTCACGCCGATTTATTGGATCTTAATAATTTGAAAATCTGAAAAATTTTCCTCTTCAGGGACTACTTCAAACAGAATCTCTTAAGTGGCCACATTAAATGGGTTCTTAAGAAAACGGCTTTTTTTTTTTACATGAACTTGAATAATTTTGGTCGAATGATACAATTTTTACAACTTGAAAAAGCTGAAGAGTATCCCTCTTAAGGGACCACTTCAAACAAAATCTCTTAAGTGGCCCCTTGAGATATAAAAATGCGCCGAGAGTCATTCGATGGACTTCGATAGGCGTTTTTTCACGCTAATTAAATAAATTCACGTCGATTTATTTGATTTTAAAGAGGCTAAGAAATGTAGAGGGACCCTTGAGGGGCCACTCCGAACGATAATCTTTAAGTGGCCGCTCACGTTAATTAAAGAAATCCACGTCGTTTTATTCTATTTTAACAACCTATAAAACAGAAATACCCCTCTTAAGGGGCCACTCCGAACAATAATCTCTTAAAGGACTACTTGAGATACAAGAATGCGTCAAGAGGTCACTTCATGAGTTTGAATAAGGCTTTTTCACGTTTATTAATAATGTTCACGTAAATTTATTCGATTTTAAAAAAGCTGAGAAATGTTCCCCTTGAGGGACTACTTCAAACAAAAATCCCTTAAATGGCCCCTTGATTTTCCTCGATTCATTTCGTTGACTTCTTCCAGAAATCGAAAAGGCGAAGTGGTCACTGAGGTGAAGAAGGAGGAAGAGCCACGGGTTTATTTTCAAGAATTGGTGGGTAAATTTGAAAAAAATGAAACTTGAATTTTTTTAAGCTCTCAAGATCTGAGTATAATGTGATTATTCCAATAGATGCAGAAAAACGCCAGATTTTTAATTTCAGACCTCTGAGATCATAAGCGCGATGAACGAGGAGCTCAAGCTGAAAAAGACAGGTTTTCAGCCAAGAAAAAAACTTTTTATAAATAATTTTTCTCGTTGCGGCATTTGCAGTTCTTGTGCGCAGCGGTTGCGATGCGTTTTGGCGCCAATTTAAAAATTATCGCATTTTTCAAGCTCTTGTATAATTTATCATGCTGATGAGGGTGGGCCAGTCGTCCAAATTTTCAAAATACGAGCTCCCAAGATTGGTGTGTGCACGATTCACGCTCACGAATATCCGCGGACCACGGCGTTTTTTTGGCGACTTTCCGTAAAGTGTAGTGTGTCGTGTGCATACACTGCGGCGCTTTGGCACACGCCGAGTCCAACGTTTTTTTTTTCGCGAACTGAAATTCAGTTATATTTTTCACTCTCTGGTGGCTGTTTTGAATTCTGCGGAATCACTTTTAACACGGCATGTGTTTTAAAACAAAAAAAAAAACAGAAAAATCGCGTTTAAAAAAAAATGAGAAATAGGTTCGTCTCGGGATTCATTGTCTTTAATATTTCCTGTTTTTTACGCGTTTTTCCCATGACGTCACATGGGAAAAGATTTCGACCACGCCCCCTTAATTTTTGGTTTGGCATTTTGCATCGCCGTGGGACCCAAAAAATTCCTTCCTAGGATGGTCCATCAAAATCAAAATCAAAAAAATGTGACAATTTTTAATTGACATTTGACATTGAAAACAGTGAGCTGTAAATGCCGCGGCCAGAAAATAAGGAAAATGAATTTTCGAAATCCAATTCAAGGATGTCATCGGGCCGGTGTCGACGCGTTCATGACGGGTTTCGCCGTTTTATTCCAGCAAAGGATGGATATTATCCGGACTGATTCGATGAATCCCGAGGTTTTGTCTGGAAAACCGTGAAAATTCAAATCTCAAGAAAAAAAAATTTTCAGCTTTTCAAACTTTTTGCTGTTTCTATGTTTGAAAATCAAAAAGTAACTGAGAAAAAACAGCCGTATGATAAGCTCTACAAATGTGCCCCATAGAAAAAGTGTTAAATTTGAGGATTTTTCAAGAAATCGTCACGATTACAAGTCTTTCTAAGGGAACACTAGAAAGGCGTTAGCGTCACTTAAGGGATCACTAAATGGTTCGCAATCCTTCAGAGTTCAAAGATCCAAAAATTGAGGCTTTCACGAGCAAAGATCAGGAAAATTCCTTATTTTCTCAGTCCCTTCTCGTGTCACATAGTTTTTATTTCGAATATGACCATTTTAATGCTCATTTTCGTTCAGTATATCCGACGCGCGGGATGAATGTTTAATGAATAGCCAGTCAAGAACCAATAAAATGAGCAAAGTGATGAATTATGAAGGTCTTCTGCAGGCATGAAGATCAAAAAACGAGGTCTTTAAGTGAAGAGCTTGATTTTTAGAAAGTTGAGATGTTTTTGAGACCGTTTATTGTAGTTTTTTGAAGCTGGAAGTGCAATAAAGTTTGAATTTTTCGAAATTTTTTTTATATCCATTTTTCAATTTTTTTGACTTTCAGTCTATTTATGGAATCTTAAAAAGCACCATAAACTGATTTTCTCCACTTTAGTAGTAACTTTGAGGTCTTAAAAATTGACCTGATTTTGTCTGGGTTGGGTCGGAAAAAGTAGGCTTTGAAACACGTCTCATCCAAATTTTAGCACTTTATCTTGTCTTGCTTTTTTGAACCGTCCTTATGAGCAGAAGTGTCAGAATTTGGGATTCCTTGACTTTTTGGAGGGTTTTTTGGGGTTTCAATATTTGATGTAAGCTTCTGGTTTTCAAATCTCCTAAAAAATCATTTTTGAAATTGGTTTTTCGTGCCTTTTCTGGAGGTTTCAGTATTTGATGTAAGGTTCTAGCTATAAAAACCTCAAAAATTCAGTTCTTCAAGCAGTTTATACCAAAAACTCTATTTAAAAAAATCGGGTTTTCGTGCCGATTTTTTTGAGTTCTTAAATTGCAAAAGGGAGCTTTTTATTTCTGAAGTAACTGTTCCTCAACCGATTTTTTTGCCAGAAAGTTCTCTCAGAAATATGTTTTCGGGTTTTTTGGAGGGGGGTTTTGAATATTTGAATATTTGAATATTTATTTCACTCCAATACATAAAATAACATGAGCTACAAAGAAAGAGGCAAAGTTCGAGCAAGAATTGTATGGGAGTAAAATGAGCACCGGTTTTAATACGCCCTCACGAGCGAATTTACCGGTATAGGGAACAGAACACGTAGAAGGATTTTTGATCACAGTAGACGTAAGGGAATGTTGGAAAAGAGTTCTTCGTTGCTAAGCGAGTCGAGAAACTTTCTGAAACGGGTGGTAGACGTGTTAGGGTTGAATCTTGAGCAGAGTCTATTCCAAAGAGGAATGACAGTGCTAAAAAAAACTATTAAATCTGGAACCAGTCTGAATCAAACGAAAAGGATACCGAGGTGAACGACTTCTACTGAAAAACTTTTCTGCACTAGGAAAGTGGTAAATGCCCAGGACGATTTTTTGAAGCGTTACTAGAGCAATAGAAGTTCTCCTACGGAAAACGTGAGTAGAACCGAGTACATCAAGGCGATGGGAGTATGTGTCAAAGGATTTATTACGTCTCATGAAGACTTGCCTAGTATAATGACGGTAAGGTTTTTCAAGTAGCACGGACAGTTCTGAATTTATAGGCGGTGAGAATATTTCAGAGCAATAGTCAAGATAGGGTCTAGCGTACATGTTGAATAGTAAATTATACTGCTGGATGTTCAAGTGACCAAAAGCTTTGAGCAGCTGTTTAGATTTGAGAGTGGCAATGTTGACTACATGACATTGACTACATGACTACATGAATACATTATTTGATGTAAGGTTCTAGCTATAAAATCCTCAAAATTCGATTTCCTTAACCAATTTCTACCAAAAAACCCATTAAGAAACTAGATTTTTGTGCCGATTTTTGAATTTTTCAATTCTACACGTAAGCTTCTAAAAACGAATTTTCAGTTCCTGAACCGATTGCCGCTTTTCGGGAAGGATCATCCGATGACCTTCCGAAAATCGCTGAGCAAACCCGACTGCAGCCCCGACCACGTCGCCGAGTTCGCCAAAATCCAAGCCGATCGCCAAAAAGTCCTCGCGAAACAGAGAAAATAAGAGAGAGCGTTGTTTTTTACATCATAAGTTGTTAATCTTGTCAATTTTATCATTTTTCAATTCTTCGATCTCAATTTTTTTGTTTTTGATGTTCAGTCCCGATGGTCTTCAGAATGATTAAAAAAACGTTTTTTTCAACTTGAACTTTTTATTTCCCGAAAGATCGATCCCTTCAAAGTACTGCAAAAGAATAATCGAATATTTTTTTCAAGATTAAATATTCCTGAGCTGAAATGACCATTATAAAAAGGAAGGATTCACAAAAATGCGAAAACTCGAAATATCATTATTTGAATGAATCACATCAAAGATAATGATATTAAAAAACCCCTATAGGGGCCACTTTTTGTCCTCTTCAAGGTCTGTTTTCTCAGCAGCCCTATAGGGACTACTTGAGCTTTAAGGGCCAGACCCAAAACCCTATAGGGACCACTTTTTCTCCTCTTCAAGGTCTGTTTTTTCAGCAATCCTTTATATGGACTACTTGAGCTTTATAGGCTAGACCCTAAACCCCTATAGTGCCCATACAAATCCTATCCCTATAGGGACCACTCTTTTGTCTTGTAACCCCTATAGGGATCGCTCTGAAGCTCTCGAGTATGGACACGCCTTTGCACTTCGGACACAGCGTACAGAGCTTGAAAAAAAAATTGGTTCTTTTTGTTTCTTTTTTTATTTTTGTTCATCATATTCAATTATATTTGGTTATTTTTTTTATTCTCTTCGATATTCCTAAATTTACCAATTAATTGAAAGTTGGAACGCGCTGCGAATTTGTGGAAAAAATAACATTTCTTCAACGAAATCATCTTTATTCAACAACAAAAAATCGGCAAACGGACAATGAAGACGAAAAAAAAATACAATTATGTTCTTGCTGACCCATGAGCAAAAAACGCATTCAGTGGACGAAGTGAATTCCGGACCCGGATGGGAGAAGTGGGGAAATTTTTTCATTGCGAATCGATACTGGAAGATCGGAAATTTTTGAAAGCGTTCAGGCCGGAAGCGATGGAGACGAGCAAGTGGATGACGCTGAAGTAGACGGAAAGACAGCCGAAAAAGTCTTCCTCCAGGCTGATGCTGTTGACGGCGTAGGCGAAGATCTGCAGGGCGTAGAGGACGGCGAAGACGACGGTGCCGCAGATGGTTACGACGACGTAGAAGTGGTCGGCGAAGGCGGCGGCCAGCAGAAGCGCCGTGTAGTAGACGACGTGGGAGAAGAGGGCGACGTAGGTCTGGCTGAGGGGCGCGCCCAGGACCCACGTCGACGTCAAGCAGATCAGCATCATTAACACGCTGCTCAGACCACGCAGCGAGTCCTCGCTACGATCGATGACCGGCAAACTTGAGACCGGAAGTTCTGGAAAATCTTGATTTTCAAGTCTTTCGTGAGGAAAACAATTATTTTTCAAGGTGAATCTTGTGAAAGAAGTTATCACGCTGTTCTTAGGGATTTTAGAGTGGTCCCTATTGTGGTTAGGGTGGAGAACAGCCCTGTAGGGACCGAAGAAGTGGTCCCTATAGGGTTAAATCAAGGTGGTCCTTGTAGGGGTCCTTTCAATTTTATTCAAAATAGGTTATTCGTTAAGTTTTTCGCATACTTAGGAACTTCAGAGTGGTCCCTATAGGCGCAACTTTAGGGACTATTTTACCAACACCTAAAGGGGCCACTAAAGCACGCAAAAGTGATCACTATAGGTATTTCAATTAGTGACCCCTATAGGGTACATGTACACGTCGATAACTCTACGAGGAAAACTAAATAATGAACAAAAATTAGAAGACCCCTATAGGGACCACTTAAGCTGTATGGCTAGGAATGAGACCTTGAAGCCTTATAGGGACCACCTTAATTCTACTCCTATATAGTCAACTTTTTTTCGGCCCCTTTAGGGGCTGTTTCTCCCCTAACCCCTATAGAGATCACTCTAAAATTCCTAAGGATGCCAATTTTTGAAAAATTTCAATTGAAATTTGTATTCATTAAAGTCCATTCGACTTGGCAATTTTTGAGTGTCTGCGTCTCTCTACTCTCTCGCCAGCGAGATCAGAGAAATAGAAAAATAGCGGGCCGATATGAGAGAGTCTGCTAGAAAGGAGAAGGGCGCAGAGAAAAAGAGCAGTTTCGTGGAGAAAAACGGATTATATGTCCAAAAATAAATGATAAAATAAGTGATACCTCGTTCTCGTTTTCGTTCCACAAGTTTGACTTCGTCCTCAGCCTCAGGATACATTGGGAAGTCTTCCCTTTCGTAAGCCAGGCTCTCCAAATCCTGGTCCACAAACCTCGCCTTGTTCCTCGACCGCAACTGGAAATAAAACACAAGATTAAAAACCCTATCAGTCAGTCTCACCCAGTCCATCATTTCGAGAGCGTCGTTCAGGACGCGGCCAATTTCCATTTGTCGGGTCATCATCTCCGACATCCTTGAAGATGAGCTGGAACCTAGAAAAACGAGATTATTGAGGTAGGAATAAGTAAAACTAACGGCTTATGACAGAGATCCTCGTGAGTATCTCTTGGTGGACCGAGTCCTCCGAAACACCCCGAGCTTGAGCTCCGTCGGGGTCTTTTTCGAGGCTTCTGAGCAGCTCCTCCAGCTCATTCAGCTCGGCCTTCCACGACGGAGGCGCCTCTTCTTCAGATGAGGGTCTCTCCACGTCTTCTTCTTTTTCCGCAGAGTCTTCCTTCTCAGTGTCAAAGTTTTGTTCCAGCCTGAGGAAACAAGGGAACATTTCGTTCCGCTTTTTCCGCTGGATTTCTCTCTGAATGAGGAGCTCCTCCTCGTCGTCGTCAGAGAGGAACGACGGTGATGGCAGCACGGGAAGCATCTCTGCCGCTTCCTCGACAAGACTCGTGTCAGAGTCTTCGGCTGAAAAAGATGATCATTGATAAGCTCCTTATAAAAAATCAAAAAAAAAATAGAGCCATTCTTGGGAGCTCCAAAGGGGTCCCTGTAGAGGGAACCTTAGGGACTCTACGAGGGTACCCTCTAGGGACAAATTTACCAACTCCTATAGGGGAACTAAGGCTTGCAAAAGAGGTCACTATAGGAGTTTTAGTAAGCGGCCCCTAGAGGAGACATGCTAACCGCTAATTTTTATGTACTCTTTGCGAAGAAGCATTTCCGTGCGATAATTTAATTAATAAGCGTTTTTAAATGAATTTGAAAGACCTCTATAGACTATAGGGATCACCTTGATTTCATCCCCATAGGGGCTGCTTTTTTGGCTTTTATAGAGGTTGCCTTTCCCCCTGACCCCTATAGATACCACTCTGGAATCCCTAAGTTTCACTGGGAATTCATTTCCGAAAGTTTTGATACGCAAACTTCATCTTTGTTTCTGAGAGCTCTCCTTATTATTACGTATAGTAAACAACCACCTGAATAGTTAGAACGAGGTTCCATTAAGCTCCGCCCGCTTCTGGTTTACTGTAGAACATTTTTTTGAAAAATGACGATTTTTGCAGTTTTCGATTTGGTTTAGTACTAAAACCCCCGAACGACTGGATTTTTATTTTTTTGATCGGAGCCGCAGAGTTTTGTGAATACAGAAAAACGTCTAGATCGTCTCCCTATTAGGGAGCTCGAAGCCCCGCCTCTTCACACCACCAAATAGACGATTTTGTGCTTGCAAAAACGGTTTTGAGAATTTTTTTACTAGTTCAAACCAGAACTAAGAAAATAACTATCCCCCCTAAACCTACGTAATAAACGTCGCTCTAAAAAACTGAATAACTTCTGTTTTTAGTTTTTCTTGTAAATATACTCAAAAAATCGAAACGATCGAAACATTTTTGACAAACTTTACAATATCATGGTGTTTCAGAAAATGAAGTGCGCGGCACTTCATTTTTTTCTTTATCGTGTTCATCAACATATTCTTGAATTTATATGTGAAAATAAAACAAATCTGGCAACCCCAAAAAATAACTAAGCTTGTAAAGTGACACTAAACTTTGAAGCCTGAATGCGAAACATTTTCAGCGATATGCGATATATTTTTCATTATGAAAATCCTCAATATCTTGAAAAACAGTGAAAAAAAGGAAAAAATGGATTTGGAGAATTTACAAAATTATATTTTAAAAATTACAAAACCGTCCTTTTTCACTTTAATCGTAGAATCACAATACATGTAGGGCACGCTTACATTTTTGATATGTTTTTTTAGCGTTCAAAAAACTATCAAATATCAGAAACTAAACAGATTCTGGCGGTCCTTAAAACAAACCGGAATTTTTAATTTCCTTTCGAAGAAATCGTGCAAGTGTGCGTCGGTGTGTATGCATCGAACACGTTAACGCCGGCATTTAACACGCATTCTCCCAGAAAATCGAACAAATGCGAAACATTTCGGTACACAAACTTCATCTTTGTTCCTGAGTGCTCTCCTTGCTATCATAGATAGTGAACAACCTCTTGGTTGTTGATTGAATATTTAGAACCAGGTTTTATTAGGCTCCGCCCACTTTCAGGCTTACTGTAGAAAGAACACCTTAAAAACAGTGAAGCAAATTGGTCCAAACCAACTTTAAAACAAAATATGTTCCGATATGAACATTTAAAGTTATAGAACTGAACCGGAAAAAAATTTTCTTTCGAACGAAAAAAATTAAAGTTTTTTTGAAAAAAATGACGATTTTTCGCAGTCTTTGAGCCATATAGTACTAGACCCCCCGAATGTCTGGATTTTTATTTTCTCAATCGACGCACTAGGGTCTTATAAGTAGAGGAAAAATGTCTAGAAACTCTGAATCCGGGTGATCCAGTTGACCTCCATCTCGGAGAACGCGACCAACTTGAAAATCGCAGAACCTTTGAAAATTTCTATTTTTTGTGAAAGCCGGATTCTGACTTGTTTCTTATTTTTGTTCAACAGCTTGCTGCAAAATTACAGCTCAAAAGTAGCGAGCTGCAAACCTTAGAAAAAAAATTTCTGACTTTTTTCCAATTTTTCGTTTTTTTCGGCATTTTCAAACTTTTCGTTCTAACTAGTACAAGTGGGCGGAGCCTAATAAAACCTGGTTCTAAATATTCAAGAGGTTGTTCACTATCTATGATAGCGAGAAGAGATCTCAGGAACAATGATGTAATTTTTGTACCAACGGTTATTTGAAAATCTCGGAGAAAGTGTGTTAAATGTTGCAGGTGCCGTTTTTCGTCATCGATTTTCTCTTCTTTCTGTTTCTTTTCAAATTGGGAGTACTTTTTCATTTCCCTCAAAATTGAATGATAATAATTTTTTTCCTGTCAGAAAAAGAGAAAAAAAGAGCGAAAAAAATTTTTTTCCTGACCATTTTTTTCAGAATTTTTTTAAAATTATTATATCAAAAAAATTCTCATGACAATTGTATAAAAGGCCCTTATAAGGTTTTTAGGGTCTGGCCTTTGAGCCCCTAAAGCTTTAGGAGTCCCTATAGGGTTCCCCATTTTTTTATTTTTCAAAACTCCAAAATAATAGTATCAATCGATTTACCCCGTCGAAAGGTTTGAGGTTAAACAACTATTGGCGACCGTTCAAACAGGAAAAAAATTGTTTTTTTAGTTTCAGAGACCAGCACGGAGGCGAATTACCGATTGGCTAGGTTGAGAGTCGCGCCGCAATTGCAAAAAAGCCCGCGCAAGTTGCTTCCTATTTTTACTTTTTTTGAATTGTCAAATTATTCGGTGATTTTTCTTTTGTTTTTTTAATATTTACTTCTTCATTCAACTGTTTCTTTTTTTGTTCAATCTCTTCGGAGGAGGTCTCTCAACCTTCCGCGTCGCTGATATTCAAAGTATGTTTACACTTTACAATTTAATGCGCAGAAAATTTTTTTTTGAACGTTCGTCTCGATTTCTTGTATTATTATTATTTTTTTCTTTTTCGAATTAAAACTGATTGTTCTTGCTTTTGAAGTAAAATTTGACCAAACAACCAATACTATGCGAATTTTCAGTTATTTGATTCTGAATGAGATTTTTTCAATAGTCGGAGAGTGAGAAATGAATTTGATAGGAATTTCGCCCTAAGCTTTGATTCTTATAATAATATTAAATATGAATGATAAAAAAATATCGAGCAGGTATTGTTGATCGATTTTAATTTTGTCAAACAATGTTACTTCAGTTTCTTGAAACATACGTTCGTTTCTTTCAAATCTCCTTCAGTTTTCATTTCTATTTTGCTCTAGTGTTATTTCCTTTCAAACTTCGTTCGCCGCTGGCTAGAGAAATTATGATAAGTTGTATTTTCGCGAATTGGGATACAACGCGAGAAAATAAGTCGTGACGTCCCTGTAGTAATTTTCTTCTCAAGCCTGCGGTGAAAGAAAGTGTATTAGACAGTGCTGGTTGAAACTTATTAGAGCTTGACCCCTACAGGAACCCCTAGGATCCCGTTTTTGGGCTTGACCCGTATAGGTAGGGACCGCAACCAAATTTTCAAAAAAAATTTCGGGCTTCAATATTACTATGGTTGGACAGCTGCTTCGATTTACTTTTCAAAACACTTTAGTTTTTCAAAAAAGGTTGAAAATTGAGATACGTTAATATTTAAGAAATAAAAAAAGGCGGCAACGACATCTGACCATGTTAAAATGAATTTCGAAATTTTTCACTTTTTTTATTTTTTTCTGAGAAAACAAAGTTTTTCGGAATAAGTTTTTATATTAATAAAATTTTTAGTTACAATTTAATCCACAAATTAAAAATAAAAATTTTTTTACTTACACGCTCTCGAAAGCGGGTACAACATTTTCAACTTTGCGCGGCCTCACGAAGATTAGGCACCGTAAAAATTTTTAATTTTTTTGTCTTAAAAAAATTTATTTTTTTCACTTAAGAATCGAATTCGAAAATAAAAGGCGCCAACGACATGGAACTAACCCGAAGAAAAAAGTAGTTTTGGTTTTTTGTACGACACTCCGCTAAAACGCTTCGAAAATCGGGTGAAAAGTATATGAGATTGAAGAGGAAGGTTTTCTCTATGTTTCCACTAATTTTCTCTGTGTTTGGTTCAGTATTGTGCTTTTACGAAAACATCAAACACAAAATCTAAAAAACCAGTGCATTTCACCATCGCAAAAAGGGGCGTGGCTTTGCGGTCTCGACCTATAGGGGCTCTTATTAAACCCTATATAGGGACCTCTCAAAAGTTTCTCAGTCAAACTAAAAAATGCCTAGTAACTCCAGAGTGGTCCCTATAAAGGCGACCTTAGGGGCCCATGGAGAGTCCCTTTAGGGACCACTATCAACCTCTATAGGGATTTCTAAAGCTTCCTAGAGTGGTCACTGTATGTATTTTAGTTAGTGGCCCCTATAGGCGACATGCTAGTCGATAGTTGTAATGAACTCTTTGCGAAGATGTATATATATATATATGCGAAAAACTGAATAATTAAGCGTTTTTAAAAGAAGTTCGGAGACCCCTAGAGGGATCATTCAAGCTTTAGAAGATAAGGCGACCCTTAAAAAAAGGACCACTTTTTCGGCTCCTATAGGGGCTGTTTTTCTCCTTACCCCTAAGTTTTTCTCCTTACCCCTTAGGCTAAGGGGCCATTCTGGAATTCCTAAGTGGTTCATGATTTTGTTTTTAGCAATGCGAAATATAATAGTTACTTTCTACGAACACAAATTTCTTTAAAAAAATTCTAAAAAGTCCCAGTGTTATTTCAATGAAGAACCATCAAGATATCAAAACCAGCGAGCGAAAAACTGCAGTCAAGTTGGGAAAAAGACGTACGTTCTCTGTCGTGTTCGATGAAAGCGTAGTCCGAATCGTCGACACAGGTGAACATTTCTTCGAGCACAAACCTTCCTCGGCGGAGTTGGGATCAAAGAATGGAG